CGAAGATATAAATTAATATTTTATTATTCGATTGAATGCACAAAATAAATATAGCTATTCAAATAATTTTCTGCTTACATAAATACTTGAATTCAAAATTATTTATTTAAGTCATTAGAATTCTTTTTGTTAAAATTAACTCTTCTGAATTAATTAATAATATTTTTGATTGATTAACTTTTTTGGATTAATTAATAATATTTTTGACGGATCATAAAGAGGATATTATAGTAGGTATATTTAATGTATTAAAAAGAAATATCAATTGTTTTCAAAAGTGGAAAAGTCTCCACGGGATCACTTAGAAAGATTGCAATCTATCCTGCCTTGACCATGGCTTTTCTTGTCTCAACTGCGGTAAAAGTTTTCTCCAGCCAATTGGAAATCGAGGTAGTTAGGTTGTTATATTTCAAACCTATAAACCTACCCCTCTCACTCTTAATATCACTAAATATTTTATTTCACATGCATGCGCTATCTAGCTCACTTATAGTCTTATTAAATATTTTATTTCAGACACACTAGCGACTAGTTTTTAAATTAACTATTAAAAATTATCATATATGTCAGAAGCTGTACCAAGTTTTTTTCATAAAAATATAAAATTCACAATAAAAATAATTAATAATCCTATAATTTTTATGGAAAAAAATAGAATACGATACTCAAAACACTAAAAAATTCATTTTTATATTTTATAAATTTATGTCTTTTTTTTCCGATTCATCTCGTGTATATTCTGATTGTGAAAAATATACGGATAGCCCTTCCTGTGTATTGGTTAACATGACCTAATGGATAATTAATGATCCACTAATCTATCTCGTGCTATCTGAAATTATCAATCATGTTGTTTTGAAATCTTTGACTATTTCAGACCTAAAACAATTAGCACTTTTTATCTCTTTTCGGTGATGATCACATGATCATATATATATATATATATATTGGTAAGATAAGCTGCCTACCCAAAACTTATCAATCATTTGTGGCAAGAAAAAAACACCCCATCATCATCACATCCTTAAACAATTCGTTAATAATACTACAAGTTTTTATTAAAAGCAGTATTGCATGACATCAGTAATGTAAAAAAAATTATTATAATTTTATAAGAATAGTAATTATAGTGATTTTTTTAAAGGAATACAAATAATTATATTTTATTTTAATAACTATTATATCATTTAACATTTTTATTTTTTAAATTTATCCCTAAATTTTTTTTATTTTTGAAAATGATACTGTCATCCAAGCATTTTTCTTTTATTAAATGCTCATTACATTAAATATACTACAACTTTTATATTGGCCTCTGATCCGTGCTCTGATAAATTATGGGTTTAGAATCGGCAAGCTCCCAGCAGACTGACAACCTCGTGGCCGTCCAGGTGTCAGAGCGCTATTTGTTAGGACAAGTAACATCTGATATAAGCCTTGGAGAACCCGAAGCACACCCTTCTGGTATGATGCTGTCATTTTGACGTGGCAGTGGAGGTTTTTCTGGCATATGACGTCAGGGGATGACCTTCCTTAAATATGAATTGGGATACGCCAACTTGAATGATTCGGTCCTAGGGGAAGATTTTAAGAAGTCCTGACGATTAAGGCATTAGTTTCACTCTCATTTGTCTTATATTTCGACTGTCCTCAAAAGAATTATCTCATTTCTATCGATATCCGTTATAAAATATAATCTCATCAAAGCATAATATAGTTTTTAAAATACTCCTAATAGATAAAAAAAATCATTATTTTAATTTTTATTTTTCAACTAACAAAAAATAATATTCTTTGTACTTTTTCTTTAGGCATATAAATACCTTTAATATAATTTTTTGTTAAAAATATTTTTTATATAAAAATAGTTATTTTTACGTGTACTTGATGGCATGTCAAAATTTTAAGAGTAATATATTTCTCTTAGTATGTGATTTTTTTTATAATTTTTTAAATCTTTATTGTTAATTAACTTATTTTTTTATTTATCATTTTAATTATAGATATTTTTAAATTAATATTAGTTCTATATAATGTAAAACTAAATTTGATAACTAATAATTTTAGCAAAACAAGTATGTTAAAAAAGTATAAATAAAAAAATATTAATATGAAGTAATAATTAAAATATTAATATTAAGTAATAATTAATAATTTTTTAAACTGCGTAAAAATAAGTTATAAAGAAAAATATTTTTAGGACAGAAGGAGTAATATGCTTGTTTTTTTTTTTTTTTAAGTGGGAAAAAAAAAGATGTGCAAGGATTATAGTAAATTTTTAGTTTGAGAATCGGAAGGCGTAAAATTAATTGACAGCAGAAGCTAGGTCCCGATATGAGCAGATATGGGAATTAATCATCTCTATTGGTTATCAATTCTGACAACGACCTCACGCTTGAAAGCAACATAACGAAAAGGAGCCAGGCCGACTGCCTCTCTTTGGGAGGATAAGGAAAACTGTAGTTATTAAAAGCCTTATATACCTTTCGGCTGTTTCTCCTAACTTTGCAGATCATCATCATTACCTTATGGCGACACAGATCCGTTTGGTTTTGCGGTCAAATTCGCTGGAATACAAAAATCAAACAACCGTATAAATCATTGCTCACGAGGAGACCTAAATTTCGTCTTAGAACAACCCCACTAAAAAAACAAAATATTTAGAGAGAGAGAGAGAGAGAGCTATGTATTGAGATTTTAATTTGCAAGGGAAAAAAAGAAGCTTTAATATCCTGGGAGGCATATTATGCTCTTGTGAAAGTGTAGCTAGAAAGACAGGGAAGCTAGCTAGGGTATGGGTGTAGGTGATGACTTAAGAAAGATGAGAATTTGATAATAATTAGGTATGCAAGGATCTGTTTTGCAATAACGACGTGATCCTACTACCAAATTAAGCATTCATTATGCACAGGTGATGTCACATATTAAGCTCCTTTTTCACTCTTGCTTTGTTATGGTCGCTTGGTAAACACGCTATGTCAGTGGCGATCAGATGCCCTCAGTTAAGTACAGTGGAAACTAACACACGCGAGGGATCTGGACCTTTATTTATGGCTGTAATATATTAGTCAACAAGGCGTAACGCTCTGATCTCTTTCACTTACAGACTGACCATTGGTGATATCATGACTTTAGCATTAGCATAAAGAGTACTGTTATGCAAGTTGATGTGAACTAACTGGTTCAAAGGTATCTGCTCTTCCACGTGCATGCAATCTCTTATCTTTCTCTTCATCGTCAGACATTGATAAGTTGAGCACTTGTTTCTTTTCGAGTCAGCCGTCGTTTTCTACATTGGGTTTTAGACAGTGTACCTAAATTACCCGGAAATTGTAAGATTGTGAGAGTAAAAGGTGCCCCAGATTCGAAAGATGTCATCCACCATTTGATTAATCTTCTCAGCGACTACTTTGGGGGAGTCTTTTTTGAATTTGTAAGGTGACTTTTGGGGTACCATGCATGCATGGTGGCTCATCATTTGTACTGAAGTCTACATCAGCAACCGTACATGCGAAACAGTAGTGGACTTGAGCCATCTTAGTAGGAGGGCTCATCCGTGATATTTAGGATGTGGATTTATATACGTACCCAAAATTTCATGATAGCTGATAAGGATAGGGAAAGGTGTGTTCTCTAAAGAGAGAACATGAAGGACCAAACTAACGCTGAACACGATAGAATTAATTAACGAAATTGGGAAATTGGTAATTATAAAAGTATGCATAGGATCTTTGTGGTAATCACAGTTCTCGATGCAGCAAAAGGATTAACGAACAATGAATGTAAACAGATTGGATTACATTAATTTGGGCCTAGCCTCTGCAATATTCATGGAACTGGAGTTTCATACAACGCACTTGCATGAACAAACACCGAAACTGCACTGCCGAGATAGAAACAAAAACCTACACGAACTTTTTAATAGGTATTTGAGAAAGACGAAAAAGAGAGACAATGAATCTAAACTCGATTTCTCAAGCATTTTACACAAGGAAAGTTGCTCAAAATTGGAGTTCCAATGCATAACATTGAGAGGCTAATACAGCTAATGGGCCGTTTGGGTAAGACGGAGTGAAAAGAAAAATTTCCATCCAATGGGCCTGAGCAACATCAAAATTTCAACTCGATAGTCTTACTAGCCCACAGGCTGGGTAAATTATGGAGTAGTCATGCTCCAAAAAAGCCCTTTCAAACATAGCCCGTATGTTTCTTTTTTTCAGCCCGGAAAAAAAAGTTAGAATTACAGAGTTTAAACTTGAGAAAAGGTAGCTAGGAGGCGAAAAAAAAAACAAAAACAGGACAAGCAGAATTCAAACTTAAAAGTAGCCCGGATTCAAATCAAGTCTTGCTGATCCAAATTCTTATTGACCTTTGAGCCCACTGCTGCATTGACTCAAAAGTTTCATATGGGAAAGATGGGGGAAAACGTAAACAAGAGTGGAGAAAACATGCGATACAATACTTTCAAAACTAATGACTGTTTCAAGTAAAATGGAAGAAGTGAGGGATCGAATTCCCCCTTTGTTAAGACTGAAAAAAGTGAACAATCAAATACTAGCATATCCAGCGGCTAAACTTCTTAAATGGTAGAAATCAAATAATTTGAAGCAGGAGCAGTTAGGATAGACAAAGAAGTAACAGAAATTGGCAAGCTCGTGATATAGTAGCCATCTCAATATTTAAAATTTGAAATCGTTGAAAGCAAACATCAACTGTGAAGGATATAAAGTTTCCAGTTCTGTAACAGAATCAATTCATCATACTAGCATGAATCATTCCAAGCTTGAAATACTAAGAAATTCATAAAACCACATTAATTTTCCAATAAAAACTGGAGAATGCAGTATTGAGATTCAACCTATAACAAAAACATGAAATTTACCTAATGATATGTCAGTGATGAGTGTAAAAGCAAAGGATGGCCACTCTATTCACAGGTGCAAGCCAATCACAAAAACCTGACAGCAGTGCACCACCAAACCTAGTTTGTACGCCACTATCTAGTTATATACAAGCTGTGGTTCTGCCAAAGCCTTTCCCGTTGTATTCATCTTGCTGCTTGAAGTCCTTGTTCCAATTGATTGTCCACGGACTTCCTGCCCTGCCCTGTCAATTGCAATCTGTGCTTCACGGCACTCATGACTACAAAAAGCACCCAAGTAACTGCATTGCAAAAATCAAGTGTTACTCCATCTACAATAAAATGCAATAATCTGCAGATCCATAGAAAACATTCTCCAGCAAACACTATTCTATTTGATCAATGTAGGGAAAAAAAAGAGAGGTGAGTTAACCAATTTTATCTTAAGCAGGATTGCACAAATCAAAGATTGATTCAAAACTTCTGGTCAGATAAAAAGGCAGAACTCCATGCTTAACCAAAAGGGCATGCGGGAGAGATTAGAGACGCAAAGCCAAATGGGAAACAACAAGCAAGATGAAAAAGTGTAATGTCTAAACCAGACCCATTTCTACAGTTTGGGCTAAAACTTAAAACTAGAAGGCATGCTTAAGCAGTTTATATTTCCTTCCCTATTTCTGATTCCCTTATCAGCAACCACATGCATCACAACAGAGTTTCCAAGTAACCCATGCCATACTCCCAAGAAAAGCTCGAATGACCTTCAACAAAAGGGTAGCTGTACCCGAAACCAACACAGGTGGGTAGGTAGGAATACTTAGGGGCGTGAGACAACTCTCTCTAAGGAACTCAGCAAAATAGCCACGTAACTTCGGGAGAAGGGGTGCCTCCTCACAAAGGGGGTCGCAGTGACCATGCCCGAGCGACTGTTTACCAAAAACACAGGTCTCTTCAAAGTAGTAAGACCACTAAAAAAAAATATGCTGATTCGGTCCAGACATGCTACATGGAAAGATACATACTATGTGGAAAGATTCAACATCAATGATACAATTCATTTAATATTTATTTAAATTGAATATAAAAAAATAATAATAAAAGAAAAACAAGAATAAGGCCATTCTATTTCGACTCAAAAACAGAGAAAGTCACATGAATGATCCTTCCATACACGGAGCTTCATTTATTGTTTAAATTTTGGAGCAAACTTAAAATCATTCCATCAATCCTCAAATGGCACAATTGTAATCCACTTGATTAATTCTTAAAAACAATGAATTTCCTTCGTCACATTAACCGCTCTCTCTTTAAGTTTTCCATTGTGTTTTTAATAACATTATATATAATAAAATTACTACTTTGCTTGAGAAATTTGCCTCCAATTCCTCAAAACAGGCAAAAGATGCCATTATAGAATGCAAACACAAAAGTATACTTTCTCATTTTTCTCAGATATTAATAAATAAAAAATAGAGAAAATCGCTTCTTTGCTTAGAAATTCACTGATACAACAACAACAACATGAAAAACTAATTACGTATTATAATTTATTTTACAAATCAACAATAACAAAAAAAATAAACCATAAAACACAATAATTGAAAAATAAAGTGAAAATAATAAAAAGAAACAAAATCTTACCCATACATATAGACATCCTGTTTTTGACTCAATCTCTTCATGCAGCGGTGACACCTCTCGAGAAAATGCTCAGTTTCCAATACTCCACCTCCGATATCCTTCTCTTTCTTTGGAAGCAGCGGGGGAGGGGGCGAAACCGTGATAATCCTCTGGTGAGACTGATCGTCCATATTATCAGTAGTGAAACCAGCGTCCCACGGCGACAGCCGGTCGTTGCCGAAGCCAATGTCGCCGAAGCTCTGTGACTGATTTAAGCGAGAGCGCTTGCCTGGCATTAATTGATTAGTTTGAAATTTTTAGCGAAATTAGGAGATTAGGGTTTGGGGTTTTGGGGAGAGAAGAGTCCAAGAGCAGCAAAAAGAGAGTGAAACTGAGATCCTTGCGTGCGTGAGGAGCGCCTCAGAGCGACTTTGGTGCGGAATTTATTGCGAGATTTATATAGGCTACTGTGGGGTCCCCTGTTTGTTAGCGTGTTGGTGGTGGATGCGTTTTAAATTATGTTATTTTTGAAGGGTGGGTGGTGATGTACTAATGTGCGTTGCAGAGCATGGTAAGAGAATTAGGGCTACCAATGACTTTTGAGTTTTTAATTTGTGTATAGTCCGATTGGAGATTAACCTTATTTTGAATTTTAACAACATATTTTGTTGGATATGATATAGTCAAATGTGTAATGTAAATAAAAATATAATGAAATAGAATTGAATGCTATATTATATTTCTTTTTTTTAGTTACAAACTTGTGGTAATATAAAGGAGGCATTTACAAAATTTTATTTTAGTCCCTCTAATTTTTCCAAAACAATTATTTTCGTCCATTTTTTATTTTATCTGCAAATTAGTCCATGTTTGAATTTTTTTTCAGTCTTTTTACTTTACAAAATTTTCAATTAGGTCTTTATTATTAAAAAATTTATGCAATCAGATTCATGTAAGATTACTTTTCTTATGAAGTGGTTCATTTCGTAGCTTTTTTTTTTTCCTTTTTTATATAATGCTTATAATGTAATAAGTCATTATAATTGTAATGAGTGAGAAATATTATAGTACTTTAAAATAACTATCAATACTTATTTTATAGGAGAGCCATGAGAGAGAGAGGGATTGAGATTAAATGAAAATATTATTGTTATTTTTTATGGATTCGGATATTATTGTTTGTATTCCTCTTTTTTAAGGAGATGTTAGGATTCGAGAATTAAAGCAAAAATAAGATTAACAATTAAATTATAAAATACACTCAATGAAGGAAATGAAGTTACATTCTGTCATGTAATAATTTTAACCCTTCAAAACCTCCCAGTTTGAGTGTTTAGAATTTTATTACTTGAAGAATTTTAACCCTCTAAAAACCCAAGCTTCTTTATACATAAAGACTTGAGTTTTAAGTGAAAAACATTGATTAAAAAAAAGTTTCAAGTGAAAAAGAAAATCGTTTCTATCTCTTTAGTCAGTACATAAATGATAAACCTTTTTATTTCTATGGATTTTGCTCTCAAAAAAAGAAATGGAAGCCAAATCCATAGAAATAAGAAGGTTCATCAACTTTTAATTCTTTGTTTTGTTACTTCAAATTTAAAATCTCCTACATTCCTAATTCGAGTTCGAGCTATGATAAAATGAACTCCTAACGAATTTGTAACCTGCCTTGCACAAACCCTAATAGCTTTCAACAGGGCCTGAACTATGTAAGCGCATATTTGAACAATTTATTGTTAAAGACGCATTGATCTGGCGAAAACAATTGAAATGTTGATGAGGAGTTCGTTTTCCTCATTTACTAAGGAAACAAATCAACAAAGTCGATTACAATTTTAACATACAAAACACAATAAGTATTCACTCTAATAGTGCCAACGATTTCTTTTATGAATATTTACAGTCCCTTCTCTTCTACAGAGCTGTTGAAACACAATAAAAGTTCTCTCAATTTAGGCCCAACCACTCCTTAAAGTTCAATGCAGCTTCCCTCTTTTTTAGTTGAGTTTCTGTCTGGATTTTGGGAGCTTTTCCCTTATAAAGTGTTTTATGGTACTTCAAGAAGAGGGTTCGATACTTGTACTTGTCAATGAACATTTTCCCTTTCTCCATCATATCTACAACTTCATTTGCTCGAGTAAAAAATCCACCTCTCACAAATGTATAAAGTACTGAATCCAGGAGTTCCTGGTCAAACTTCATTGAGGTGGCTGAAGCAATAGATTTCATTTCGCCCCAAAGCTCCGTCACCTCTATATATTTTCCCCCAATGGCAGCGTATCCAGTTACCATGGAATGAAAAGTTTGAGCATTTGGGGCATGCCCCAGACTCCTCATCTTCTTCAAAGCCTTTTCGGCATCTTGCATCAGTCTCTTCTTGCAGAAAAAGTGGATCACATTATTCCAATCATGAACTCCAGAATCTACAGCCTGCCCTTCCGTGATTTCCCGCAAGAGCTTTGCCATCAACCCAGCTTCACCACCCTCCGCACATCCCTTAACCAACATCTCAAATTCCTGATGGCCAGTTCTTGGTATCTTAGCACTTTTCATCTCCTTAAACAGATGGAGTGCTTCCTTAGTATCTTTTTGAATCACTCGGGACTCGATCAATGCATTGTAACTGCTAGAGTCTAGCTGGATCCCTGCTCTACGTGCATCTCGTAGAAGTGCAGTGACCTCTCCTGTTCGGTTTGCTTTACAATATGCTTTTAATAGTGAACCGTAGACAGAAGAACTGGTTCTGATCCCAGCCAAACGCATCTCATCTAGAAGGTCATGTGCCTGATCTAGCCACCCAAGGGAGATGCATGAATTGATGACATGAACCAAAGTTGAATCGTCATTGGAAGCTGGAGAATCTTCTTTCTCTGCCTTGATGAGAAATGCAGCCAACTCCTGGGTCTTGCCAGCTTCTAGAAAAGCTTTAACCAGCTTAACATAAATTTTTTCAGTTGGCTGGAGAATACCACGTTCAGTTGTAATCAATTCAACTTGCATCTGCAACTTTGCTAACAGAGTATTGAGTACTTTCTTTGCCTCAGTGTCAAGTTTCAAGAACTTTCGGTCTCTAGAGAAATCTTCATAAGAAATCACAGGATCTTTGTTTGATATATTGTTCCCTAAACCTCCTAATTCTTTGTGGTTCAAACTTTCCAGAGAAACTGGGCCTGGAGAGGACTTCTTTTCATTTGGGAACAAAAGCGCAGCTGTAGCAAAGGAATTCCGTGCTTCCTTTGCTTTCCGAAGCATTATCAAAACCATGTTGGAAGCAGCATCAAGATCCCCAAATTTCAAGTGGCATGTTAGTAAACAATTATAGAACTGCCGAAATTGAGTATCAGTTAAACTATGGGATTCATCTATATGTCTCTGAAGTTTTCTAAGTTCTTCTCTTCTCCCATTCCTCTCAAATATATGTGCCATTATGATCAATAAATTTGTGTCGGCTCTGATGCCAATTCGTGGCATCATGTCAAGAAGCTGCTCTGCTTTCCTCGTTGTTCCAAACAAGAGACATCCAGTCAAAGCAATGTTCACAGCACTAGTATTAGGCTTCATGGCAATCAAAGGTGCATTAATCTTTTTACGCGGGTCCACCCTACCATCTTGGAACAAGTAACCTATCTCAAGGATCAACTCAGCAGCAAGGTAAGCTCCAGGAGCTGCGAGCGACATACGAGCCAAGATTGCAGACCAAGCAGTCACCGGTGGATATTGTTCCATTTGTATCAACTTTCTCAGGACCGTTGATGCTGGAACTGGCAAATCACATTTGGCAAGAGCAAAAGAGAGATAAATCAAAGGCTCCTTCTCCAGCTGATTCTGCTTACCTTCCTCAATAGCCTGTTCTACCAACCCATATGCCTTCTCAAGCCACTGAACATCAAGGCTTGTGGCATAACTTACAAGAAGCTTATTCACAATGGACTTTCGAGGAAACCCATCCATATGCATATGCTGTTCAAATAACTTCCATGCATCATTATATCTATGCTCATCGATTGCATTCCCTATTTCCATGCATAATTTAGCTGGGTCTCGAGCCTGGACCAAGATTGTTCCAGCCAGAGTTGAAAAAGAATCCCTTTGAAGATCGAACCCATCCTGGATTCCTACAACAATAGTTGGACCATTTAGGCTGGTCAAAGAGGACTCAACAAACTCATAGACAGGCCTGCAGCTCCAAGAACCTAGCATTCGGCATCTGGATACCCTAGTCCTAGACTCATGTCCCCTATCAGAAAGTAACGAAAATAAAACTCTAGGGGACAATGCAACAACCTGACACCTCAATTTCCGGATAGATGGCATTCCTTTTTATACGCCTCTTTCTTTTCAATAAGAAAAAAAAAAAAGTATCAACTAGAAATCATGAGTCGAAAAAGACGGAAACCTGCAATATGGACTATTTTTGAATTAACAAAACATAGTTCAATGGTATGACTTGCATATAAAAGTTCGAATATACGAACATATCTAACTTTTATCAATCATTCATGTAGATAACAAACAGTACCATGCCAAGCAAAGAAGAGTTTAACATGCCTCGAAAAATTTTAATTAAAAAAAGAAGTGGGTCTTTTTCTTTATTACGTCAAAACAGCAAACAAAAACAAAATCATCTTTCAATTTAAGATACTGATCTACTTCTAAATTTTCAAGCAACTTTTTTTAACATTTAGCAATCAACAGCACAACTTAAGACACAATCCTATAGTGTATGTCTTGTGACAGGCGCAGGAGGAATCATTCTCATATGAGCAAGAACAAAAGGAACTTCCATTTCCATTTCATTTTCTTCGGTTTCTAAGCAAACGAAATGGAGGGAAAAACAAGTAACTAGCAAGAAACCTTACAATGAACCAGTTTCATAGCTCAGTGAGGCATTTCATCGAACAAATGGGAATGAGGACAACAAGAACAAGTTGATGCCACTTCTCTCAGCTTTGCTAACAGATAAATAAAAACGAGAAGGAAGGGATTCTAGGACGGGATTGATAAAACTCACAGAAATTATCAACTTGCTGCCCCTTATGTTTGGCAAAGAGAGAACAGAACGCCTTTGAAAGAGGGAAAATCGTTCGTCTTCGCTTGGCTTTGCTTGCTCCTTGCTGCTTTGTAAACAACAGGAGAAACAATTGAGCTGGGTTTAAAAAAACAATACAAAGCCCAGAATTTGGGCTTACACTTCCAGTCTTAGGGCTTAACGAAACTGGGCCTTTTGAATTAGAAGTCCAAACCCGTAGAATGCTGTTTTATTATATTTTGGGGTTTCTACTATGAGGTATCCAAAAGATTTCATCAAGATGAGAGATTTCATATTGTGCATAAAATATTTTACAATTTTTAAACTTTTTTGAATTTCTTTTTGTAATTTTTAAAATAATGCATACTAGATAGAAGAACTAACTTTGTAGGAAGATATTCTTTTAATTCAAATTTTATAAAAGCTAATTGGTTATAAATTATTTTGAATTATTAGTATTTTTATTTAAATTCTTAACTTTTTTGCTCATATTGTTGACCAATTTCAAAAAATATAAAAAATACGTTGAGCTTTAAAAATAACAACACTATTTTGAAAGTTCTAAACACATGGATCGTTATTTTATATATCTCTCACGTAATTAATGAGAGAGAAAAAAAAGAAAGTAAAAACCGGAATAAAAAAATAAAAAAAATTATTTTGTCAGATTAATAGTTTAAAATGTATTATAACTAATTAATATTTTATAAAATATTTTTTCCCCAACACCGTCGAAATTAGATTAGAAAAATATTTGGATTCATTATTTGTGGTCTTCATTTCCATTTTTATCTTAAGATTTTGAAAAAAAAAAAACACAAAAAAATTGAGATAATTATCAGAAAAACTCTCTAAAAGAATCTTATATCCAAGTAACCCAATAATTTATTTTTAAATCTCTCAAATTCAAAATAATATTTTCTTACCAAAATACTCAATAGTTAACCTCCTACTTGACACTAGTTAACATTGGGTCTTTTGGTAAGATAATTTTTTTATTTTTAGGTTTGAGAATTTAAAAAATAAATTGATGGATTTTTTAGATAGAAAATTTTTTAGAGATTTTTTTCTAATAATAAACTCATTTCATAGTTTTTAATGAGTTTGTATTTTTTTTTTTTTAATGATCAAGCCAAGTTTTTTTTTAGGTTCTTTGACTTTTAAACACTAACATTTGAATACTTTTTTTTATTATACTAAAAAATTTCTTATATTAGAGTTTTTTTTCTATAAATCATTTGCTTAATTAATTGCGAGATTAATTTTACTATCTAATAACTATAGCAACCAATGCAATATAACTAATTAATATTGATGAATGAGACTCTTGTAATTTAATCAAAGGATTATTATAGAAATAAAAAAATAAGAATATGTATGATTATGAATATCGGTGATTTTTTAAATCCTAATATATCGATAGGGAAAAAAAAGCATAATTGGTAATACTATTTTTTAATTAATCAAAACTCAACATTTATTTTTATCAAACAACTAAATCAAATTAAAAGATAAATGTATAACATATTTTGGTACATTAATTAAATAAAACATGATAATCTATAATAGAAATACATATCTTGAAAGATAATTGTTTCATTTAAACTATGGATGGTTACCAAAACACCTAAAAAATCTTCTATCTAAAAAATTCACTATTTTATTTTTAAATCTCTTAAACACAAAATAATATTTTTAAATCTCACTCACAAACTTAAAATAATATTTTTTGTACCAAAACAATCAATAGTTAACAATAGTGTTAATTATTGATTTTTTTAGTAAGAAATAAATTTGGGTTTGAAAGATTTAAAAATAAATTTATGAGTTTTTTAGATAGAAGATTTTTTAATAAAGTTTTTCTGATAATTATCTCTAAAAAAATTGTTTATTTCTCTCACGATTTTAATTTTTAATTTTAAAATTTTCCTAACACCTTGCCACATCATCGAAATTGGATTAAGAAAATATTTGGATTCATTTGTGGTCTTCATTTCCATTTTTATTTTAAAATTTTGAAAGAACAATCAACCAAAAAAGTTTGTTTCTTTGGAATCGTGGTCTTTACCAAAAAGTCCGGCCCAAGCTCGCTTGCCTGGCAGGCTGGCCCGACTCACTCCTTTTATTTGTTTATTTCTTTCTTGATTTTTGTAATTTTGTTTCTCTTACTATCTTAAACAGATGTCTCTATGAATAAAATGAATTCTTAAAATTGCTTTAAAATTTTCCTCCAAAATCCAACTATGTAGAGAAATTAACAATGTTTTAGGAAAAAGAAAAGAAATTAAAGGTTAACCACAAAAATGGCCTCCAACCTAGCAACAGAATCAAGGAAATGAGAGATGGTTATTGCACACCGCTGTATTACAACTCAGGACAAAGAAAAAGGACAAAGAAAAAAAAAAAAAAGGAAGAAGGCATAATTAGAGATCAAAACCAGCATTTTATTTAACAGTAGGAATCACTTGTCAGCAGTAGTATTTTTTGTCTGCCAGTAGCCGGAGATTACATAATTTACATACCGGAGAGCTTTATTTATGTATACGAACTCTTTCAAAAACAAAACCAAGAAGCCTGATCGTTCCCATCTGTTAAAAATCTCATGCGTATGCGTGGCCTTGTCTCTCTTGCCTTCTCGGCCCTGGGAAGAAGAACTCTTCTGGTTGTCTTCCGAAAATTTCTTCCACTTCTCTTGCTGGCATACCAAAGGACAATTCTTTCGCTTCCCTGTCCATCTCGCCTATAACGTTCCATTTCCCTTATAACACACAGCCCAAAAAAAACACATTTGATTAAGCTATAGGCAGGGAGATAACAAATGTATCATATTTAACGTGCATTTGTTTATTAGGACGAATTCATGGAAAAGAAAAGCTAACAAATTCATAAATTGATAAATCCGGGGGTAGCATTTAATTACCTGCAAGAGGGTATCTTATGTTTCCTTTTGCAAAGACTTCGAAGCAAAGTACTTCCAAATTGCTATTTTCGGAAGCCACAATGGCCACTGGATGGCCGGTAAGGACGATGAAGACAGTGCCAGGGCTGAAGCGCGAGCTTATCCTCTGGTAAGTTTGGCTGCCCTTTCCTCTCTTTGAGCCTTCGCTGTTCATGTATCCCCTGCTTGAGCCAGAAGAGACGCGAGGACATGCCATCTCAAAGTATCCCTCACCATCCAAAACAATGCATATCTTGGTTGCCTTTGAGTTGTAGAAGGGTCCGGCCATAGATCCCTACATACAAAAGAGATGGAGGGAGGATTCGAATTAGATAGATTTGTAACATTTGCACGTCAATAAAATACAAATTGAGAATTAAGAAGAAGAGGGGATCAATATACTCGAGTGATGTTGGCAAAAGAGACTATAAAGTCAAGGTCTTTCAGCTGCTCGTTATTTTTAGGATTGGCTGCAAAGAGCTGGCCATGGTTATTAGATTTGATCGGACCCTCGTCAAAAAGGTTGAATGGGCCGCTTGATCCGCCAGTTGGGAAAGGCCAAATGCCACCACCGCCATGGCCACTTTCCTCACCGTGGCTCAAGGCCTGGATCTGTTCCTTGGAGGCTCTGACAATTTCTCCTTGCTGTTGCTTGAAGATTCTCTCCAACCTTCCTCTATCAGTCTAAGAAGGATCCCATTAGGTGAGACGTAAAGACGCAGCAGGAAAATCACCTATGCATCGGTCAATTTTGGGTCTAATTATACTCACCTTAAGAGCAGCCTCGAGCAACTCCCAGCTAAATGCCCTTAAGAAGGACTCTGCATCTTCACCACCTGCTGCATGGAATATCTGCATCGTAAAACCATTGTAATCTATAAACCATAACACTCAAAATAATAGATTGTAAATTGACCCCCAAAATTAGGTTTATCTTCCAATTTTCTTAGCAACGATCAATGAGTCTTCTGTTATTGAAAATATCAATCCATGGATAAATTTGATATTGCACTTGATTACCTTGTAATTGCCAGGAATATCAATCGGCCAAAGGATCTTAGCAATATAAAGTTTCTCGTTTTCATCTTTATTAACCATATAAAAAGTAGTTCCTGCAGGAACCCTGAAGAGATCTCCACATTTAAGGTTAAAGGTCTGTTTCTTTTCCTCACGGATTAGAGTTATGGCCCCCCTTCCTACATGAATCAAATCAGTAAACGAAACATATTAAAATTGGCTAGTAAATATCCACGTGAAAAAAAAGGGGATCAAATACAGCTAGATGAGAGAGCGTAGGCATACCCTTAGCAACAAAGAGAACAAAACCAGCATCCAAGTGGGTTGGAGTTATAAATGTTTGAGGATTAGCTTCAAGAATTGCAAGCCGGATATTCTCTAGTCCTCGGAGAAGATTTGATTTCTTGGTGAATTTTTGAAGAACACGAACTCTTCCATGTTCAGTATCAACTTTTGATTGGAAATGCCTATCGTCGAACACATAGGGATTCCCTTCTTCTTCTTCTCCTTCTTCTTCTTCGAAGTTTCTCTCTTCTGCTCTTCCTGGCTCTCTCTCATACTTCTCTTGGCACCTTATGTGACACAAGGCTTTCTGCTCTCCTCTTTCCTGCCTCTCGCATTGCTTTAGGCACTGCCCCAGCTTCTTTTTTGCAGGATCAACCCTGAAGCTACTCCATTCATCATCATCATCATCTTCTTCTTCTATCCCTCTTGTTTCACCCTCTTGCTCTTTCTTCTGTCTGATGTACTCCACACAGTCTCTCAGACACTTCTCAACCTCTCTCTCATCATATTGTAGTTGCCCTTTACAATGGTGCTTGCAAACCTTTAGCTCCGGGTCCTTTTTGGCTATAGCTATTCCAACGCACAAAGCTAAGAGAGAGAATACTAGAACTGCTACTGAAAGCCTCACTTTCACAGCCATATTTCAGTACAAACAGAAAATTGTGCTATTAATGCTGCAGGTAATGGACATCACGGATTGTGTGTCATATATAGTTGGGGATAGAGGGAGCAAGGAAGTGAATAGCATGCGTGTAGACGAGTGTCCAAGTAACGTGTCTATCATGCACAAGATCAATCGCCGCGTATAGCAATTGCTGTAAAGAAAAAAATTCAGGTCTTGCTGCGAGAAAGTACTGAAACGTCTGCTTGAGAATTTGTTTTCAGCAGGTTGCTCTCTTTATCCGGTGACGTGCCAAACCCAAACGAAATTTTGTTTGGCGGTTTGTTTGTTTCCCTAATTTCCAACCTCTGTGTGTGCTCGTTGTTTGGGACTTTGCGTTTTAATTCATTTATCCTATGTTTTTCTTTTCTTTTCTTTCCTTCTATTCTTTTTTTTCCCCCTAGGATTTATCCTATATTTATTATGTAAAGGTGCATGATAGTAAACTAGGAAAATTTCTTGTTTGGATAAAGTAAATATGTCTATTGATTTTTTCTGCACTCTGAAATAGCTTGAAATTTGAATTGAATCACTGGGCTATTACTTGCAAGCTGACTATAAACAATACCGGGGCGGTGCTTTTGGGTCATGTTTTGCAATAATACAATAAAAGCATAGCAATCATTAAAAAAATTTGTGTAGGGCATTAAACTTCGTTCCGTTCATTACATGCAAAAGCATGCATCCATGTGTCAGGTTGAGGGCTTCACGTGGCATTAAGTTCGAGTCGGCTGTCGGGTTCTAAGGATGAGTGCTGATGCCTTTGCTTGCCCTTTTGGGACACGGTGGATTTTGCTTCGATAAAACTAAAAAAAGGTGCGATAACGAAATTCTATGAGCTTCTTCTTCTTTTGGATGGTAGAGAGGTAAATGCCACGTCACCACCGCGTCAATTAGGTCGCCATTTAATCAATACGTCGTGTGCAGAACCGAACCCAGGTTGGGTTGACTTCTTCTAATTCTTCTTTTTGATAAATCAGGTTGAGTTAGAATCGGTACCTAACTAAGTCCTTAACCGATTTTAGATTTTAAGCTAACACGGTAGGTGAATTTTATTTTAGAGTTATGGCGCAGGGATTTGGATTTTGAAATTTTTTGATTTTTTTTTAAAAGCTTTTCAGATACATCAAGCTTAAAAATTCAAATTAATGTTTAATTTGTCGAATGCAAAAGATAACTATTTTTTTAAAGAAATTACATACATAAAATTTTAAATTCAAAATCATTTATTTAAATAACTAAAGTTACTTCTATTCAAAAAAATTAAAAGTTTATAATTTTGATTTTGAAATTGGACTTTGACCTCTATTATAATAATTATTATTATGTAATGCATAAATTATAATTTTTTAGTTACTTTAACGAGGTAAAAAGAGCTTTCTGAGAAGTTAATATTGGTAATGCCAGTTTAAATTCTGATTGAATTTGGTTGTAAAAAAAGTTGATGTATATTGAATTGTTGGATGGTATACCCAGTGGGTTAACAGGGACCTACTCCCATTAGACCCAACCCAAGCCCAAATCGACTAGATGGGTTTGGATTTTCCGAGTGGTGTCAAAAACCCACTACCGACCCGATCCCCACCACCACCATCACAAGTATCAATTCAGGAATTATGATACCGTCGATATGGATGAGGACAGATTCCATCATTTTTTCTCGACAGAAGAGTTGAAGAAGGAAAACCTAATTATGGACATAGTAATCATGGAACATATCCTTCTATGGCCGCGAGCACACGTGACTGTAGCTTAGAGATACATGACGAGTTTTCTGAATGCGTGAAAGAAGGAAAATAAAAGGCAGATTAGGATCAGCTACATTTGAAGAACTAGAACTAGAACTATAGAACTATAGAACTTGCTGGTAGAACTATAGAACTAGAAGAAAGCTCAGCGGCTTACAAGGCCATTATTTTGGATGCGGTGCTTGGATACATCTAACAAATTCTGCATCATCTTCCATCAGCATATTTTATGTCTGCTATAAAATTGAATAAATAAGGCTATCTCCAAGGTCAGGCATGCCCTCCCGAGTTTTAGCATTGCATGTCTTCTCCAACACGAGATCCATGGGATTATTACTGGGACCAGCTGGGATTCAGAAAAAAAAAAAAAAAAAAAACACCCTGTTGAAGCAGTTTTTGGCTAAAGATAATTCAAACAAGACAAGGGGGTAAAAAATTCAGTTTATAATATACGTCATGTGCCCTTGGTCTTACCCTTTTGATTCCTATTCCGTATATTACGATACTTACGAACATATATCTGCAACCCTTGAATGATTAATACAGTTTATAATAAACGAACAAAAAAGGCACCATATATGTCTAGGCCATATATATCCCTTTTTCTTTTTCCTTTTTTTTTTTTTTTTTTAATCTAGCATCCTCATTGTAGATAGAACTAAACTTTTTTACACAGAGGCTATAAAATTTAATTCTTTTCAATAAATATAATTTTAATAGTCTAACATTTTGCATTGACAAGAAATTTGTCAAGACCAACTCACTTACAATATAAACAACTTGTTGGTTATATATATGTATATCCCTTTTTATGTCTTTCTTGAAATGCAAATTTCATTTATATTTAATTAATGCTAATCATGAATTAGATAGCTAAACATGATGAGCTTCAGTGAAATACTTACTGTAGCTCTTGGAGTTGTCCTTATCTTTAAAATCGCAAGACGAGCGATTACGGACCCAGATGCTCCTTGACATCTTCAAAAACTAACTTTCGTACCATCCTCTAGATATCGAATCCCAACCTTGCAAGGTTTTCTGCATAAGAAACCTAGTTAATTTTTTATGTTTACCCACAATGTGAATCATATAAGGAGTAAAAACCAGTGATTTTTAAATACAACCATACCCAGTGATGGTGCCAAGAACTTGAACATTTGAGGCATGAAGTGGAGCTTCAACTGTAAAGATTCCACTTTCATGACCTTCATCATCGGGAGAGAAGGCAATGAAGGATATGGTACAAAGGAAAATAAATTCAGCCTCTTATGGATGAACTCATTAACAATTGCATCTGTTCAATTCATTTCCAGGGGACAGAAGAAAACACATACCAAGTTAGGCTCATAAAATGCAGACGAATACTAACATACATGCACAGACAGTAAATGTGACAGAAGAGTTTACTAAGAGAATGAAAAGGCAAGCTTATATGTACTGAACAGACCACATGGCACTACTATTTTGTCGAAATAGCCCATCGTCAAGTAAACTGAAAATGGTGATGAAAATATTTCTAACATAATGTTGCAAATAAGGGCTGTTTTATGCTTTTAGCTGTTCAAGCTCTTGGAAGTGGTCAGCCATTTATGAACTAAATTTCTCAGTTTCATTCTCGCATCAAATTAATTATCAAGTAAGCATCTTTTGTGGCAGCACAGATTCAATAATTGTTTGAAGTCCTCATAAATAAGGAAAAGCATTCTTAAGCTACGAAAATAAAAGGAAAATCAAGATGACAAAAGTCAATTTTATTTATTTTTGCTCCAATATGAAATACGTTAGGAGTAAAAAGCTTTGGGAATTTCATCCACAATTTTTCATTTTTGGTATGCAGCTTCAATCTATTTGGCGGAAAACTGCATGCTTGTCAGCCTCTTCAATGCAAGTGTAGATCCTTCAGTTTGACTGGACAACAATAAAACAAACACATATAAATAAATAATATTAATTTGGTATTAAAAATTTATTTATTTAAAAAAATTAGAAAAACAAATTAAAAAAAGTTCCGTAGGATGTTCCCGTTAACTTACCAACTGCCTGCTTAGCCAAACAGTCAGCGTCGCACTTCATTTCGCAGAAGGTGTAACCATTGCCATCACTTTTGCATTTGTCCTCACAATCATTGAAACATGTCACGTATTGATCATCCGCCAAACCGGCCTCGGAGAGTTTCATTGCTACAGCAACAACAATGCACATGAGAAAAAGTGCTACAAGTTTGTTGGCCATATTGTCTTTATTTTTTCTTGTGTGTTTCCTCTCTTGAATCGATGGATGATGTACGAAGGAGAGCAACGGATGACCGACAAATTTATGGAATCACAGAGTCTAATTTTATACTGTTTAAACCCAGTTCTTTTTTTTTTTTTTGGGAAAACTTGTGGATGATATTCCCTTACACACCATTTTGGTATCTGATAAGAACATCGAATGTTGGAACGTGCATAGTGCAACTCCGTCAAACTTGTAAAAAATCACCAAATTTAGCTCTCTCACCGGAAAAGAGGGGACAAGAAAGATCCGGTCAAAACTGAAAACTCTTTTGCATGAGGATGAGGGTGTCATTTACGGAACTAGGCTTTTAACCAAAGATAAAACTTAAAAGGCTTCTTTATGGGCCAGTACTTAGAAGACGGTAAGGCTAACATGGGCTTTTATAATCGGCCCACTTTAAAATTTTCGCCTCTTTGTTGATCGCTCTCCTGTCGTGGATTCTTTCTTGTCTAACGAACAAGAGTTGTCGCTGCTTCACCCTCCCTAGTTTTGCCAGTTGCGAGAGCGGATGACGACAGGTCTCTCTCTCTCTCTCTCTCTCTTTCTCTCTCTCTATTTCACTTCTATTACTGCATCTCTTTTATTTTTGTTTTTTAATAGTAAATTAAATCGATTTTTTTATAAAAAAAAATTGTTGTTAATTACTGGGTTTTACTAAGTTTTTGTGGTATTGTATGCATAATGTAAATTTCAGTTGAATTAAACTGCTGAAGTCAGGCGCTATGAATTGTTGTAACTTGTAAGCGATGAAATTGGTGAATTGAGCTGTCTGGGGACAGGCTTCAAAAGATAGAAATTTGGAAATTTGGAAATTTGTTTGTAGTTGAACTGATCTTGTTTACTATTTCAGACATTTGATGCGGCTGGTTTTTTTGTTGCTTATTATATCGTCAACCTCCTCTTAGCAGGCTATGACAAAAAGACAGGATAAATCTCTCTACCTTGAGTTTGTTGTCACTTTCACAAAATTGACAAGGGAGCATTAGGTTATGGATCCTATTTTTGTCTGCCTATGATGGATCTATACTGACACAGTGGAATGACAGTTCAAGAAGCCATCGATTTGGTGGATAAATGCATTGCCCAGATTTGTTTAAGGCTCGTAGTTGCTCCTCCAAATTTCGTTATCAAGGGATTCCTGTGTCAGGATCATCATACTCCCCAATAGTGAAGTGCCATGGCCTTGGTAGTGAGTTTCTGTGACTCTTTTAAGTTATGGATACTTGTCTGGGCGTTACAGTTCAAAGGGCCTTAGTTCATGAACTGCAACGAGAAATATGAAGTGCTATTCAGGAAAGAAACACTTATTTTTTATAACATCAAATGAACTGATTTTACAATATCAACTAGGATATACAAATCATGAAATCAATAAGAGGTATTCTTTTCCCATATTCCTTTTTTTTCCTTCCAACAACATGGCATTGAGCTGTATTCGTCAAGTTTGCACACCAACATAAACCGAAACAAATAGGGATGAAGAGGTTGTAGCTCAATAGAATTTGAAAACCATGATTGCTAGAAATATTAGAAAGGAAGATGGTGGTGAAACATAGGATGGCATAGATGCTGAGGGGGACAGCACTGGTCGGATCCCTGCAGTTGTTGGGGGGCTTCTACTGGCATCGGTGGGGATGCTGGTGTTAATGGTAGAGTACTGCCAGATTCTGGTGCTGGAGCAAGTGCTACTGCTTTGGAAGCTGCCAAAAACAAGTCGGTAACATAATTACTGTCTTACTGGTACAGGAACTTTCATATTTTAGTCTTCACAAATAGGTACATTTTTTTTTTTTTTTAATTCAAAATCTGAGAACAGGGGTTACCTTGTGGGCTTGCAGGACCAGCAGCTGACGGTGGAAGAGTTGGCCCTAATAAGACGGGACCTGCAAATATCCCAGTAAAACAAATGTTTAATCAAGGCAGGAATACTTGTATTATGTTCACAAATAACAAATATAGTTTATGTTTTAATTTTCATAAATCTTGTTCTGTTTTTTTCTCCAACATAGTTAAGAATTGTATGTAAAGGATCATGAATTTTCAATTACCTGGTGCTGGCAGAGGAGTCCCAGATGCTGCAAAATACAATGAAATCATCATTAGAAAATTTATAACTCATTGACAGAACTTGAAATGTTCCTTAGCAGGTAAAATCTGAGTCCTACCTTTACACTGCAGTGGCACGCCATTCATTTTACATGCTCGGGGGAGAGAGATTGCTAGAGTGCGATTAATCGGTAGTTGAAGAGGCACACTGGCAGTTACTACTAGACAAGTACAATCCATGCTATTGCTCATGAGTGACTTCAATGCATCGCAACAATTAGAAGTTGGTGATGAGCCATTGCTGCTGCTTCCAGTTATAAAATTTATGCATGGGGTGAAGCTAGTTATCATTGAGGCTGTGCATGGTGTACTAATTTGTCCATTCGCTGAAATTACTAGTAGAGTTGATAAGATTGCAATCAGTTGGAATACCTGGAGCCCTTCCATGAATAGATTTGAATGTGCTGCAAATATTGTTGGTTAAAAGAGTATGGAGAAGAACTGAGTTGCTTGGATGGAGAAAAGAAAATCATTTATAGATTGGCAGGGGCAAAAGAATTGAAGGGAAAGAACTGGTAGATTTGAAATGGGTTCTGGAGTTCAACAACTATAGCCAATTGCCCGTGGTTGAAGGAATCTTTTTGTTTATTTTCTCGAGTCTTTAGACCTCAAAGGAGAGGAGTTCAAGTTAGGTATGTTAGGCATGACGGTCATCGTTTTAAATTTCTTATGTACATATGAATTATACCAATGTCAGTCATAGGATGATTGCCCATTTGTCTCTGTTTTAACTCAGTTCAAAGGAAAGTCCAACTCGATGGTTGGTCTTAAAGTGCGTAACAAGATGAATGCTAAAAAAAACATAAAGCCATACATTGTCATGACTAATGAATGTTTCAGTAGAAGTTCATCAGAAAACTATTGAATTGGTGACCAGGCCATCGAGATTACTTTGTTTATAGTGAATAATTAGAAAATTAGAACCCTCCCTTTCATGAGGAGCAGTTACTTGGAAGAAAGTGTATACAAGAAAGTTAATAGTTACCATGTACTCCTATACTCTTGAGGGAAAAATGATGAAGGGAATTCAATCATTCAGCTTTGCGTAGAGATAGATATAAGAGGAAGATATGATTTTTTGTTTTTTGGGAGTATAGAAAGATATGCTTATTGATTGTTAATTAATGATAGAACTTTTGGACCTTAGGTAGTCTAATGAGTAAACATAGAATGGTTGAGCAGAACATTAAAATATACGCTGATGACAAATGAAAACTTGCCATCTTTATGTCTATAGCTGATTAGTTATATAACAACCCTTCGATTTAGTTGAAGTTGGTCATCCAAATATACCAATAAGCTTGTCTATATTACACAAGCTTTCCTATATAAATCCAGTCTCTTCTTTTCCCTTTCACTCAAACTCCAAAGCTCGGAATTCCAACCAAACATTTGACTATCATTACCAGACCATTCTAGGCATCCAAAAAAACTTGTAACTGCAGTCGATGGCTTCAAGCGGGATTCGCATGGGTCTAGTCCTGGTCCTTATGGCCATAATAAGTGGTGGAGCTATGGCTCAATCAAGCTGCTCTAATGCTATCATGAGCCTAAGCCCATGCCTGAACTACATTACAGGAAATTCGACAGGTCCATCATCTTCCTGCTGCTCACAGCTAGGCAATGTTGTCCAAACATCACCACTATGCCTTTGCTCACTACTTAATAATACTGGTGCCTCATTAGGTATCACCATAAACCGGACCCTTGCTCTGAATCTCCCTGGAGCTTGTAAGGTGCAAACTCCACCGATCAACCAGTGCAAAGGTAATCCAAATTTTTAACTCTTGCTTGTCAAAGTTATAAACAAGGGAGTGCTAGATTCATACTGACTTGACTTTGGCTATGGCAAAACAGCTGCCACTGCACCCTCAGCTTCAGCAAGTCCACCAGTAACCTCACCAGCCAGTTCACCGGCAGATTCACCTGATCAAACACCTGAACCAGATATTACTCCATCAGCGTCAGACATTCCTTCAGCTTCAGGTATGTTCAGGAAATGTAAATTGTGCAAAAGCCTTTCAAGCTTAGCTGAATGACATACTTGATTTGTACAGACTAATCGGGAATTGAATTTTGTTCTTTGATCATATGAATGAAACAAACTGTAATTTTGGCATGAACCAAAATTCATATGGCTGACACATAAAATTAAAGTGCACACATGAAAGCACCAGTCTAAGCAATTCGAATTTATAAATGTTAATAGGAATGGATTTTGAGGTCAGTTCTTAATTGATAAATGCAGGAACTGGAAATGGGTCTAAAACAGTCCCATCAACAACCGGAACATCTGATGGAAGTATTGTCAAAGCACCCCTTCATTTTGCGCTCTTCATTCTCTTTGTGGGATGGTGTGGTTCAACTGTCACCAAATTCTGATTCCGAAAAAGTGATTTGTCGAATTATACTTTCGAAATTTTCCAGAGTGATTTGTGGCCTTTTTTATCATTCATTATGATTACTTGATCCTATTTATTTTTGTACTATTGTGTCAAAGATGATTCTTCCTATCACTTGTAGAGTGTGATTGTATTAGTAGTTTGATTTGTTTGATGATGAATAAAAGCCATATTGGTTCCTTCAAGGCAAATTGCCCAAAACCATCGCCAATTCTTCAGTTCTTCCTTTTCTTTTTTCTTTAGCAGAAGAACTAAAAAAAATAATAAAAAAAAAGATGGATTCCAAACCAAATTCCAATTTTCTTAGCTCTTGAAGATACAATTAAATTTTTTTATCTTTAATGATGAATCCAGGAAATATTCCTCATCCATCTTAAGGGAAGTTCACATCACATTACAGAATCCTATACATAGTTCTGTAAAGCAAATTGCAGTATAAAGTACCAATTTTATAAGGCTTCCATTCTAGTCTGGGGGATGAAGCATATGGATCTTCTTCTGCCAGCAGATTGCTGTGGAACACAGGCTTGCCATGATAAAATTGTACAAAATCGTATGAATTGAACTGTGTAGAAATGACCAGAGAGTAGAATTATCAGCAGTATGAGGACAAATGAAAAGCAAAGGAGAAAACTTTGCTAAAATGACCTTCTAGTGAGTGGAATATTTAATGTGGTTATCAAACTTTCCAAATGCAGAGTGAAACTTCTTGAAACTAGCCGGCCAGATGATACGGTATGCATTTATAACACGTACAATTTGCCAGACCAAATTATGATCCAAAGGAGAAAACTTGATCAGACTCTTCTTACCCTCCAAGTTTAAATACAAAATTTTGGCCTGAAAATTTCAAAACATGTGCCATCTGCATTTGGAAAATGACGAAATCATATGTTACAGGACCTCTGACCTCTGTCCAAGTGAACCTAGAAAAGTTCTTCCCTCCAAATTCTGAACCAACCACTATTTTGTTCCTCATACTCAGGAAGAAATTGAACCGTCATAATTATTTGTACCGAAAGGCTATGTGCATACGATACATTTACAACTTTTCAAGTTTGACAAGTCTTTCAAATGGAGCTACGGATGTTTTTTGTAAGTGAACACACAGAAGGTCACAAGTGATTGAACCCAGTTTCTTGGACATTGGTTTTAACGATATTTGATTTTCTTCAATTTATATGCTTATTGATCAGCACCATCCTATCAGTTAGCATTGATTAGAGGATTTTGTTCTTAATTTCTTGTGGGCTGTCAGCTGCATGCAAACGATATTGGAGCAATTAGGACCTTCTTCAGTTCCCATCTGATCGGATGAACAGCACATCTTGTCTCTTTGCAAGTAGATTTGGTACAAAGTAACATGAGTCTCATATTCAATGTGCTTGTTTGAGGAAGAAAGCTGATATTTATAGTTTAAAAGCTCCATAATTTCCCAAAACTTTCCAGAAATAGGAAAAATTGTCTATCCCAAATCTAATAGGATAACTTAACAATCACAAATTCAAAAATAGTTCGCCAGCCAACCATCATATACTTAACTCCACTAGCATATCCACACATCACCAACGATGTCTGAAAAAAATTATTGATTGTTAAAATTTACAAGATAATTTGGAAAATTTCTACCAAATTTTCTGTAATATGAAACTTAACTTTCAAGTAGCAAGAACAGTTGGGCTTCAGACAACATTTCTACCAAATAATCCCAACTTAGTAGAAGTTGGCCATCCAAATATGACTAGTAGGGTATGTTACACAGTACTAGCTGCCTCGACTATAAATCCACTCCTGATCGCACTCACTTCAAACCACAAAACCGAGCTCCTGTATGTGAACTGCCCACAACTTCACATATAGAGATCCCATTCTCCTAACATTTCTAGCTTTCTTTCTTGTGACAGAATTCAGCACCTCCAAATGGCTTCAAAAGGGGTTCAGTTAAGTCTACTTCTAGTCCTTGCAATGATGCTTTGTCATGGAACCACAGCTCAATCAGGCTGCACAAGCACCCTCATGAGCTTATCACCCTGCCTAACTTATGTTACAGGAAATTCCCCAACCCCATCATCTTCCTGCTGCTCTCAGCTAGCTACTATAGTTCAGTCACAGCCACAGTGTCTTTGTGCATTGACAAATGGGGGTGGCTCCTCACTGGGTGTCACTATTAACCAAACCCTTGCTCTAGCACTCCCTGGAGCTTGTAATGTGCAAACACCACCAATTAGCCAGTGCAATTGTAGGTGTCTATTTTATGCTTGTGATTAATTACAACTCGTATTTTACAACAAGAAGATTGATATATATTCATAATTCATGTGATTTGTTATGTTTAATCAGCTGCTAACAGTCCGGCAGCTCTGCCAGCAAGTCCTCCAGTCCTGAGTCCTCCAGCAGATTCTTCAGATGCAACACCTGAAAGTCCCACTACCCTATCTACACCAGGCATTCCAGCAGGTTAATTACATTTCAGGCACCAGTCAAATTCAAGCAGCTCTATATTTCCCCCAAACAAAAATTTGCATGCCAGCTATAATCATCACATCGGAAAACATGTGAAATTTTTGTAGCAAAATAAATGTCCATTTCTGCTGTATATATCGTTCTGTTTCTCTAACTTGACATGTAATTTCGTCGATGAATGCAGGAAGTGGGTCTAAGACAGTCCCAACATCAACAGGCACATCAGATGCAAGTATCATGAGACTGCAACTTCATCTCGCTGTCTTCATAATCTTCAGTGCTTTATGTGCCTCAGGCATCGTTGGATTCTGAGCTTTCTACAAAGAATTATCAGAGCTTAATTGTTGTCCTATTTTGCTACTATATATTCACTTGTAACTATGTGGATTTTTCGTTGTTGCTGTATTATTGTGAACGTATTATTTGACTGTTGTAACTTGTGAGAATGACAAGCACTTCTGTTCCTGTCTTGAAACTGAAAGTATTGAAGAAGTGTGCTATTTTTAACAGCTTACAGGATACAGTGACTGATATCTGAAATCAAGAAACTACAAAAAAAGTTGAAATATATCTTAGTATTTATGGATTAACAGACAATGACTTTAATTATAAAAACTGCAAATTGCTAGAAGAAAAGAATTAAAATTTTCTAAAAAGAGAAACAGCATTTCAGGTTCAATGAGTGGCTGCTTTGACTTGCTAATTTTATTATAAGAAATTAGCAATAATGCATATTCAAGTTTTTGCAGTAAAAATAAACAGCCTATTTGAAATTCAAGTTCCCATACAGGTTGCAGAAATTTTGTCCTGGTTTATGTTAATAGCTTTGGCATGAATAGGGGAATTATCTAAAACATAAACATGAGTTCATTAGATTGAAAATTAAAAGCTATCATCAAGTTGAAAGTCGAAATCATCCTTTCACCAATTTATTCACCCATTAGCCATCCACTGAAACCGATCAACTAGTAATGACTCAAAAACCTATAAACCCCTTAGAAATTAGAAAGCATCCAGTAATGATGTAGGAAAACAGGCTGTCTAAGCAAATTTCCAGGATTTATTATTAGCAGTAGTAACTTTGGAGCTCTCGAAAAAAATATTTCTCTATGTAGTTTCCTGATGTACTCCACATCCTAAAATCTCTAGACTTAGTTATCAACTAGCAGTAACCTACTTTGTGCTTTGTTAAATATCCTATTCTTTGTCTTCACTTTTGAGTTCAATTGGTAGCAAATTTGAGTAATTAACCTAATAATGGATGGGGTTAGATTGGCTTATTTTGAAGCAATCTGTTACTGCCTTTAGCATCTATATATTGACCATACAAGATAGCACCTTTTATTGTTCTTTCATACCTTGCACAAAAAGAAAGTAGGTGCACTATAAAGCCGGCGTACAGCTTGGTTTTAGCCCAACATCAGCATTTGATTTATATGTTATAGATTCTGCAATGAAAAGCAATGCAAAGCTGAACAAACCAGAGAGAGACACTTAGGTTTAACTTTATTAAAATAAATTTAGATGTACCAAAGGTGAGTTGTTCAACAAAGATTCTGTTTTAAAGTAGGAAAGGTTGGTAAACCATATTAGCCAGCTGCCACTCTTTTGTTCGCAATCTTACCCTTTATAAACACAGTCTTTACATCCTCTACAAGCAACCAAAAACATTCTTCATTCTACATTTCTTAATCATTGTTGGCAGGAATTTCGATAGAATTGACCCAATGGCAGTTGGAAGGATTGAGGTTATGCTTTCTATAGCCATTGTAGCAACTTTGTGGGCAGGAGCTATGGCACAATCGTCTTGTACCAATGTGATCATAAGCATGTCCCCGTGTTTGAACTACATAACAGGAAACTCATCGACCCCATCTTCATCATGTTGTACACAGCTTGCTAATGTTGTCAAGTCGCAACCTCAATGTCTGTGTGAGGTCGTTAACGGTGGTGCCTCCTCACTTGGAGTCAATGTTAATCAGACTCAGGCTCTGGCTCTCCCTAGAGCTTGCAATGTCCAAACTCCCTCTATTAGCCGCTGTAATGGTAAGCAATTGCAAACAATCCTAGTTCTAAGATCATTTTCTTCCAATGCAAATAGCTAATTCATTTTATCATCTGTTCGAACAGCCTCTTCGCCTACAAATTCTCCAGCAAAACCAAATTCTCCTTCTGCAGGTACAAGATTCAATCAAAATTTTCCAATTTACGACTTGAATTTATGAACAAAGTAGATTGTTTGGTCACTTCTAGTATTAGGACTACTTTATTACAAGAGTCAATGTTAATATTTTTTGTGTGATGGGTGCAGGAACAGGATCGAAGACGGTACCATCAACAGATAATGGAACATCAGATGCAAACTCTACAAAGTTGACAATGTCTCTGCTCTTCTTCCTCATCTTCATAACATCATATGCTTCGACCCTCATCACCATATAAGCACCATCTACTTCCAGATTTTGTTGAATCTTTTGCTACCACAATACATTAGTACTGTTGTCTGTTACTGCAACATAGGAGTCCCAATATTCATTTTCTTTTGGTATGAGTGAGTCTTGCTTGTGTATGATGGAGAAGCATAATTCTTTATTTTGGGGTACTATTTTGGAGTTGATTTGTATCATATTCTATTTCCAATAAATAAAAGATTCTTGGTTTCCATACTGATCTGAAAACTATTGGAGGCAAAATTTGTCTATTGATATCAAAATGAAATTGTCAAGTTCCAAGAAATATAATGGTAGTGGATCCTTTAATACAGATATAAATAATATGTTTTCAAGCGGATCAGAGAAGTAAACTTGGCCTTAAATCTTCCACAACCTAAAAATTTTGGGTTTTAGTCTCTTCACTGTTTTTTTTTTTTTTAAACGATCATATTCCATGGGCATAAAGGGATAAAAATATTGGCAAATAACAAGCGGCAAATTATCAAGCAAAAAGATGCTACAAGATGTTTGACTAATCAACTCTATTGCTGTATACGTGATTTATACGTGATGGAGATTTTTTTATCTTATAATATTGGGTAAATTCATTTTGGATTAGATGGTAAGGTAATGTTTCTTTATTGTTTTCTCCCATGGCAACATTCTTATTTCAATTTGGATCAAGACTTGATTTGTCAATTTCTTGGGACCATAAGAAATGACTTTACAATCGAATTAATCGGCCCCAAAACTCTAGAAGCACATGCATTTCAACACAGCACTGCTTATTTTCCATGCATTAAAGATTCAAAAAGGAAGTCGAACCGCGTTGCCTTGCTGAGAACTCCAATCACTCGCAAGTCATAAGCCACGCCATTTTTTATTGGGAAAGTTGCACTGCAACATAACAAGATGTTGGCGGGTTTTTTTTCCTGACAATTTAGCATGTTAAACAACATTTGTCACTCTAGATGGCTGTCTACGTATGTAACCATATATTCCATGACCCATAGAAATTGAAAATTATAGACTTTTGCCCCCAGCCGTAAATTTCTGTATAATTTTCAATAGGGAGATGGCGTTAACTTGGAAAAAAATAAGAAAAGACGTGTGATCTGCAGAAATTGTTAGGCCCAAATGGAATGGTTGATCCCGAGACTACAAGGAAGCGGGGTTGATTTTCAATCAGTGACACAAAATTTTTGTGGGGCCAGCCAGCTTGCCAGTTCTATGTCCTTACCGCTGTCCATACGCTGCAATCGCCTTGAGTCAGTTTTGTCTGATCCGGGCTACTGTTGTACTGGAAAATTGGATTATCATTTTATCTTGAACACTTATTTATTATGAGACTGATTCTGAAAAGGCTGTCAATGCTATCTGTTAATGATGTTTTTCATATTCTTTTTTATTATAACATTATCGTAGACATTCATAGTCTGTGCCACAACAGTTGAGAGTATTTTCTTTAACCATACTTTCAGAAAAAGAAACTGGGATTCTAACTATTTTGTCCGTGTTGGTTCGTCAAATAGGATTCTTTTTCAAGTTTGAAATCATCTTCTGCTCGAAGACATTCTGTTTAGTAACGCTGCAGGTGTTTGTTTCTTGAGACCTTAGCTTTGTCTTCATCCTTTGTACCAAAAAATAAGTTTTGCTGAACTCAAATAAGAGGATTAAAAAGTTTTGAGAGATTAACTGCACCAAAAGGATCAGATCTAAATCAGTAAATTTTAATCTTTTTAACACTATAAAATTTCATTGAACTACTAGAAAAATTCATTTAATATCAAGCAACCATAAAAATATTGACAATCTCGACTACAAATGTATTTTTTCCTTTCTTTATTGTATTTTTCATATCATATGCTAATTACAACGGCATTCATGCTTTAATTTTAAAATTATTAAAAAATAATATAAAATTATTCATGAGATTTCGTATAATAACTTAAAGTTTTAGATGAAGATGATTTTTTGATATGATATTATATTCTTGATCATCAAATACTTGTGGGTTCAAATCTCATAATCATTATTTTTCTTTTAATTAATTAAATATAAAATAATATGAACATCTATATTTAACAATTTAAACTTTATGTTGTGTTACATTCCAAGCGATTAATACAAAAATTAGAGTTTATGTGCTTGTTATAAGTAATTAAACGCTGAAATTTGTACATTGAATGTCAGAATTAAATTATTTTTTTAATTATCTATTTATTTTTCACAATTAAAATAATAGGTAGCAAATCATATCACTTAGGAAAGCTCTATCCTTGTACATATGATTGTTTAATAAAAACTCTCACCTCCGAAAAGATTTTTCCCCATGGAAAAGATCCGGACCAAGTAACCAACCCTTTTGCTATTTACCCTATGGCTATCCTTGTTAATTTCATTTCGAAGATCGGCAGAAATGGCTGGACGTGAGGTGAAAGACAAAAAATGATTTACTCCTAGCAAACTGAATGGAGACAGTAAATGCATTCTCATTTCCCTAGCCACGGAACTAATAAATAAATAAAATAAAAAATTGGCACTTATCTAAACTCCGTTTTACTTATTCACATAGTTATACAGATATTGAACTATACAATCAAGTAATCATTAAATAAATTAGTTATCAAAACTCGAATTTTACTAATACAATTGTCCAATAACTTTATTTATGTATCATTTTAGTATTTTGACTATAAAATAGTAGCATTTGGTACTATTTTTCTATGGGATAATTATATTATAATTACACTAATTTTTATTTTTTCCAATCGAGTACATATATTTTAATTTTTTATTTAAATATTTAATTTTTTTTAAACGATCAATCGAGTATTTTTGTTAATTTTTTTATTAACTAATGACGTATACTCTACTATCGGAATATCAAATTATAATTTTATCTTTTTTTCAATAGAGTACATGAATTTTAATTTTTTTTAGTAAATTAATTTTTCAAAACTGATAATCATGTACTTCGTTAATTTTTTGTTAATTGATGGCGTGTTGGAGTATCAAATTATAGTTTTTCTCTCTTTTGTTTTAAGAAACTTTCTCCCTAAATTATTTTACTATTTTAAAATTTGTTAATTTTTTTTAAAGTTAATTTTTTAGTTATAAAATCTCGAACTAAACTCAATTAAGTTTGTTGTTAAAAAATAATAATAATGCAATTATAATTTCATTGTTAAATTTTGAAATGATAAAATAAATTGACAACAAAGTTTTCCTCAATAAAAAAAGAGTTAAATTATAATTATATATTTGAACACGTCACCAATTCATAAAAAAGCTGACAAAAATATTTGATATTTAGTTTTTATTAAAAAGACATACGGAAAAAAATTAAAATCCATATACTCAATTAAATAAAAAGTAAAATTATAATTTAGCATTTTAAGGATAACGAACATATCATTAGTTAATTACAAAATTGATGAAAGTATTTGATTGAAAGTTTTAAAAAAATTAGTATACTAAAAAAAATTAAATTCATATATATTTAATTGAAAAAAATGAAAATTGGAACACATGCAATTATCCCACATTTTTTTTTTTTTGTGTGATAATCAAAAGTCGCGCAACGGACTACGTAGCAGAAATTTGATGAGCCTGGCGTGGTAGTACTATAAGGTTAAGTAGCTGGCTGACGATTGTCGTAGTCTTTACAAACAAGTTAAGGGCGGGCCCAAGGTGGGAACTTATCATGATTAGGACTTTGTTAAACCAAAAATCAAGAAAACGAAAACAAACACAATTTTCTTGGCGCATTTCTACCACGTGCCATGAAAGCGATTTAATTACAAAAATACCATTGCAGTGGAGGAAAAAAAAGGACTAGGAATATCCTCTAATTCCTATATTCTAGTTTAGGGTAAGAAAGCACAAATTAAAAAGACTTGGAAAAAAATAAAAAATAAAAATAAAACGCTCAACAATCGTAAAAACGCCCATCAAACCCTGTCTGTTTCTTTTTTGTAAATTTAGCTGTGGAAGTCTCTGTTGCAGGCAATCTGACGCTACTCTTGATTTCTTCGTGTGTGTCTGTTGAAATCTAATCAATAGAGCCCCGAATCTTATTGGGTTTCAGGTAAAGCGTGCTGTCTTTCTATGTGCAAGCAGAAGAATGGAATTACTCTTCTTTTTTTTGCTTATTTTTGTGACCAAATTTGACGGGATTTGCTGCAAGTTTGTTTTGATTTTGAAATTACTGAATACCTATTGTTGTTTGTAGTGAATTGGAAGTGGGTTTGGCATTTGAAGTGAAGAAAGTTGAGTTTGGTTGTTTTTGGGTCATATTGTTTGTTTCTGGGGCTGAATTTGGTTTAATTTTCTTTGGCTTGCGTTATTGGCTGATTAATTTTGGTAGAGCTTTGCATGAATTCAATACAAGTGTGCTTGGCTTTGATGTTGAATTGATTTTTTGTCTTCTCAGAAACGACAGGTGAGATTGCCCGTTGCACTGGTTCTTGTGTTGAATATTCAGAAATGTATGTGCGGCATAACTAAAACTAACAGGGGCTATGATGATGATTTGCATGTGTTAAGATACTTGGTGTTGAGCATTTATTAGTTAAGGAGACTTTGAGCTTTCTTCAGTTAGATTTGTTGGTTTTTATTCCAAGGTCTTAGTTCATAATTTGTGTTTAGCTCTAAACTCTTAGATGTGGGCATGCGAATGAGATTTGTTAGTTTATATTCCAAGTTAGTTTGAGTCTGGAATTCAAATAATTTATGGAGTTCTTGCGCATTTCTAAGAATTTGCTGAAGAATATGGAGAAAATTGCAAAACCAGATTGCCTATCACAATTCAATTTGTGAATGTGACATGCAAAAGTGAAAATGTATGGTCATATTCTGTTGTCTGTTGAATTTCACTGACTTATCTCATTATTTGGGAAGATGTCTAACAATATTAGTGATGGTATGATCTTGGCAGTCTGTGCAATGAAATTGCTTCTGGTGGTTAATATTTAAAATCCAGGCAACATGAAATGTCAACATTCCAGAGTGGAAATGGTAACCACACTACTTGGAATCTGGAAACCAATTTAAATTTTAGAGACACGAATGGAGACCATAAGATTGGTTGCAAAACCTTCATCTCAATGAAGATGGGTGGATTAAGATTTGATTTTAAGTCAGAAATTTTGCACTACTTGAATGGTTCTAAATGAAGCAATGGCAGCCATGATGGTCATAAGAGTCTTATGGTGCTTTTGAATTCCTAGACTGCAAATATAGTTCTGATGATTTAGCTTCTTGTCTGCGGCATTCTTTTACTCGTATCTTCCTTTTTGCAGTCTGCTTATTTCATTTGTGAAAGATTTTTTTTCTGGTTTGGGATGCTTGTTGGACGTACATAACTTGGATAAAACTGTTCTAAAGTATTGGTCCTTTGATGGTGCCATATAGTTTACTTGTTGCAGGCTAATTTTTTTTTTTTTTTTGGTATGGACAGTGTTTATATGTGGGCTCAGGGACATTTCAATATCATGATTAGAGCATCAAAAGCTCTCTTAGATACTTGATTACAATTTTCTTCTCTTGGATTATCAAATTTTTGGTTGCTTTGTAAAAATCCTATGAGCCAGTGCATTGACACGCACACACACACACACACACACTCTTATAGTGTAATCAAGACTAAAGTCCAGTAACTCGGTAAGTCTAAGCTCTGATCATGAGAATTTGTTGGATACTTTTTAGTCTAGATTGAATTTATGATGGGTTATCTCGTTTTTTTTTTTTTTTTTTTGGTTCCATTTTCAATTATAACATGTAGCTCGCTGGGGACTTTTGCAATTAGAGTTGATACTTTGATTTGGCCTATGAATTAGTTGCGCTTTTGTAAATTTAATATATTTTGACCATAGATGGTAAAAATGAGAGAGCTAGGTTTCCCCTCATATTACTTTTCATGACAACACTGATATGTATGAAAAAGCATACTCTTTGACTTGTGAGTCAGCTACCTCTGAAAGCAAATGATTGCTTCCACAATTTTGACTTCAGGTATGAGTAGATACTGATTTGCATCCCTGCATACCAGATCAAGTGATTGAATGGAGAGTCCTCTCTGTTCTTTGCATGCTCTGGATTTCTTCTCTTTTCATTTCTTATTTTCCCCCTATATGGTGATATTGAAAATTTTGTCACCATTCTGTTTGTTGATGAGGGTGGCTATTTAAAGGATGAGTTTTCTCTTTTAAGTGCTTAGAGTGTTATGAATAGACAACTGTAGTAATTTTTTTTTTTAATTGAAACTTGGATGCACCTTTGTTAGTACATTGATCTTGAAATACCAGAACTAGGAATCAATTTCGTATAACCATGTCCATGCGTTTTGTTTTGTCAGATAGCTTTTGCATTGCTGTCAGCAGTACAGCAAAAAATAAGAAGTGAAGAAATAATTTGAAACTGATGCAACAGTGATTAGTATGTCTGAACTGATAGAAGGTCTTCCAGACGCTGTTGCCATCAGGTGCATTGCACGGGTTCCTTTCTACCTCCACCCCAAGTTAGAGCTTGTTTCTCGTTCATGGCGAGCTGCCGTGCGTAGCCCCGAGCTGTTTAAAGCCCGACAGGAGGTTGGTTCAGCAGAGGATCTGCTATGTGTGTGCGCATTTGATCCTGAGAATTTGTGGCAGCTTTATGACCCCCTCCGAGACCTTTGGATTACCCTTCCTGTTCTCCCTTCTAAAATCAGGCACCTTGCCCACTTTGGTGTTGTCTGTAGTGCAGGAAAGCTATTTGTGCTTGGTGGTGGTAGTGATGCTGTTGACCCATTAACTGGTGATCAAGATGGAAGCTTTGCAACAAATGAAGTCTGGTCATATGACCCTGTATTACGACAATGGGCATCACGTGCATCTATGCTTGTGCCCCGTGCAATGTTTGCATGCTGTGCTTTGAATGGAAAAATTGTTGTTGCAGGTGGTTTCACCAGCTGCCGAAAATCAATATCGCTAGCAGAAATGTATGATCCAGAGAAGGATGTTTGGATCCCGATACCTGATCTCCACCGGACTCACAATTCAGCATGCTCTGGAGTAGTTATTGGGGGAAAGTTGCACGTCTTGCATAGGGGCTTGTCAACAGTACAAGTTCTGGAAAATGTAGGGTCTGGGTGGACAGTTGAGGACTATGGTTGGCTCCAAGGTCCCATGGCAGTTGTTCATGATGCTGTCTATGTGATGAGCCATTGGCTAATTTTCAAGCAGGAAGGGAAAACCAGGAAAGTGGTGGTTTCAGCATCTGAGTTCCGGAAAAGGATTGGATTTGCTATGACGGGGCTAGGAGATGACATATATGTGATAGGAGGGGTGATTGGCCCAGATCAATGGAATTGGGATATCAAGCCAATGTCTGGTGTTGATATCTTAACTGTTGGGGGTGACAGACCTACATGGCGCCAGGCAACTCCAATGACTAGGTGCCGAGGAACAATCCTAGGATGTACACAGCTGAGAATTTAACCTCCATATGTTCTTGTTGTTGCTTTGATGTGAAAATTGTGCTCTTGTCAAGGCGCTGGTTCCCTCCATAATCTCTCTCTGGCTATCTTGTTTTATTCGTGAGCCATAATCTTTGCCTCTGTTTTCTGTAATTTAGGAGTTTTTTTAGGGGAACTTCCATTTGGAAGGCAAAGCTGAAGGTATTGAATCAGTTTTAACAGCAGTGGTACATCAAATTTATTTAGTAGCAGCATGCATGACAATCAACGAACCATTTTGTTCTTTTTTTGTATTTAAACCGCACAAATTGTTTGCCTCCTAATTTCTTTTTATTCTTTCCACTCCATACTTTTGCTGTAGACGAAAGTCTGTGCTCATTGACTAGTTCGAATTTCTCTTTCTATTGGATGTCCTGGCAGTAATTTTGATTTTATTTATTATTGTTGTTGTTGTTGTTGTTATTATTTAAGAAACGGTCATTTTTATTTTGAAAATGACAGAGAGCACTACTATTTGAACCTACTATCATGGGTAAAAATGAATATGATTCCGCCGCTAGCGTAGCGTTGGGACGGAAATAATATCAATGGGTCACAATTGCTTAAGCCCAGACAAGCCCAATGCATAAAATAAGTATGCTTCAGTAAGCCCATGCAGTTTTTCCCAGGCCCATACAGTTAAACCCTGAAAGTTGAACCTTAATCAGCGACTAAAACCCTAAATAGAACTCTTCTTGTGTTTTGTCTGTTTAACAGAAAAGGAAAAATGGAGGACGCTCAGCCTGAAGGAGGAGAAAACAACAGAGACGTAGATGTAGCTCCGGCCCTAATTTCAGTTCACCCGACGCAGGATTCCGTCGCTGTCGCGGTCGGGTCGGACCTCCGCGTCTTCGACCTCCGGTAAGAAATCATCACCACAATTCTATGTGATTCGACCCAATCAGAATTCACAGCTACAAAATGAAATATTTTGAAAAATCTTCAGATACTGGAACTTAACTTGTTTAATGGATTTTTGAGTAGAGGAAATTGTGGAATAACTTTGGTAGATGAAACTGGTGAGGCTTTTCATAAGGATTCAATAAGAGCCATCCGCTATGGGGCAAATGGGAAGCTGTTTGTATCAGCCGGTGATGATAAACTTGTCAAGATTTGGTCGACTGATTCTTGGCGCTGCATTACTTCCGTGTAAGTTATCTTATGATTTGAAGTTTATGTTTCCTAGATCTTATGATAGGATATTTCTTAAGTGGATTTCACCTGAATAATGCAAAGAGTGTAATTTGATTCTTGTCTTAGCTGAAACGTAGGAATTATTTCTAGTGACATTTGATTTATACTTGTGATTGGAACAGGTGCTCCGAGAAGAGAGTGAGTGCAATTGCCATAAGCAATGATGGACTGTATGTTTGTTTTGCTGACAAATTTGGAGTTGTTTGGGTATTGGATCTGCATGGACTTGATGGAAATGAAACTTTAGTCGATAAGAAGGCAGCGCCATTGCTTGCGCATTATTGCAGCATCATTACTAGCCTGGTGAGTTCTTCACGTTTTAGGTCTTTCCTCTTCTTCAGTGCTGGGGTTTGTGGTTGGTTATAACATGACTTACCAAAATGAATGATTTTAAAAGTGAGTGACCCTTTACCAATAATGAGTACTTTTTGCAGGAATTTTCACCTGATGGACGGTTTATTGTTAGTGCAGATCGAGATTTTAAGATTCGGGTAATTCACATTGCCCTTGAATAAGATAAAATATCTAGCATGATTACCTTTTCTCCATGATATTATCGCCCTTACAGGTAACTGTGTTTCCCAAGAAACCTTTAGATGGAGCTCATGAGATACAAAGTTTTTGCCTTGGTCATACAGAGTGAGTGAGTTTTTATGGTCATTTTTTCTTGCATTTGTGGCATGTTCATGCACAAGATAACCCATCTGGAATGTGAAATTGGAATAAGAGACTCGAATTTAAGTTTTGTTGGATGGTAGTTTACCTTCGTCATACCTTAATTTGCAAGGTTGCATTTTATAGAACTACTTTGATTTTCTCTTAGCTGCTAGGCTGATATTTGTCCAATTTTATGGATCAATTGGCAGGTTTGTGTCCTGCCTAGCATTTCTTTGCACTGCAGAATACCCTCAGGGATTTCTTGTGTCTGGTAGTGGCGATTCAACTGTGAGATTCACAACCACTCACACTAGCATGATTTGAATCATTTGCTCTTTTTTTAATTCGACTTGCAAATTGAGAATTAAAGTCGCTCTGTACTGCTTCAGGTTCGCTTGTGGGATATTAACTCTGGAACTCTCCTCGATACCTGTGAAGTTGGCAGTCAGGTATCTCATTTCTTCTTAAATTGTCACAAACATTCTTGATGATTGCTTGTTCATAGTTTCTCAAATACTATGTTGATTGAGTGAGTATTAAAATTGGGACAATTTTTCATTTATTTCCCTTCTTAAGTTGAATAAATGGTCAGTATGTTATCGCGATGTTACAGGGAAGGTTAATTAGTGTTGTGATAAATGTCATTTATACTGTGAAAAATGTGATGCTGATTTTTTTAAGCTGAAAGTACCAATTTCTTCAACTGTGCTGATGGTCAGCTAGTTACCTTTTTTTCTCCAATTCCTTCCTGAAGGCAGGGCTTGTAGATTATTCTGGAAGTGAATTGAGCTGTTCTACTGTCACTGATCTATGTACTATCCCAGGTGGTAATGTTGTTGCCGTGGCCATTCAAAGGCAAGTCTCTAAACAGTCTGCTTGTCATTCAGCATTGAACTGTGCTTCTGTTGGTTCATTATCTGACTGCTTCATATTTATTCTGTTTTAGCTTGCAAGGTATACTCCTGGTGAGCTGTGATCTTTCTTCTCAAACTCTTGGTGCTGTTAAGGTAAGGAGCCGAAATGCTTGACAATTTTAACAGGAATAGTGACCACTAAACCTATTCAAGAGGACAAAACAAGCATTTTCTGGCACTTTCATATTAATCAAACTTGTAAAACTGTTTCATTTGATAGATCTGTGTTTTGATTATGCATCAGATCGCCAATGTGCATCATTGTATTATCCATTCCCTCCCCACTTCTCTTGGCACTGTCATAGCTGAATAGATGCCACTTACTAATTGTGAGCTTGGAATTCATTGGCTTTCTTCTGCATGGAAGTCCTACCGTAACAAATTCATTGGCTAACTCCAAAAATTAAAAGCTAAACTACCGATACACATATATTGAGCATGCAACATATATGAATTTTCATCTGCAGCTGGTGTGATTCTTTTAGGTTGTTTCGAATATGGGAGATAACTTCATTCCTACAAGCCTGGGATGTAGCTCCTCCGCAGAACTATTGTGGACCATAACTGGTGTCTCGAAACTACATGGTTCTGATTACAACTCCTTGGCCCGTGTAAGGGTTCTTTCTGGTTTCAAGAAGACCGTTCCCGGTACCACCAAGCATGAGTTAACTGTGTTGGATGATAATGAGGTACCTGGGGAAGAGAAACTGCTTGAAAAGTTGCAGGGAAGTGTAACTGTTGAGGAAGAGGTCTTCCTAGCAGCTGCTGAAGCCGTAAAAAAATCAATGTGCAATCTGTTGATTAAGAAGCAGTACACGACAGAGAGAAGAGAATTTAGAAAGAGAGGTAGAAATGACAAGAAAATCAAACAATGACAGGATCTCAACATTGGCAAACAACCTTGCTACATAGCAAATTCTTGGAGGTATCCGTGTGGGAACCATTTTGTAGCTCTGTTAGTTTCTTGTAAACTCCGTTATTTATGAGGGCAAGGTATATTATTTTGAATTAATGCAATATGTGGCTTCCAAGTGTCATCTCTCTATTTAGCTGTTCACAAAATTGTGAATGAACTGTAGCCAGCCATATAGGTTTGATGCTCATTTCTGGCAAATATTGATAGTGATGTTGAAGCGGCCCATTAAATTCCATTTCCTTGGAATCATGATCGGTTGCTGGGCATCTGCAGCAAATATTATTGGCATCGTTAAGATTGCGCAAGTTTTATTGCTTTTATTCTTCTTTAAGTAGTGTTTGATTTAGTGTCCAAGACATTTGGTATACTACCTATGCTTGATTTTATATTCTAGTTTAGCAGTTCTGAATAGATAATCACATGTAAAGAATTCTTTCTAGATTTTCTTCCATAACTCCCAGGTGAAGGTGGCCTTGTCGAGTCAACCCTTTATTTTCAATGGAGAAAAAATTGAATGCAAATAACAAACCTTGGCAGTGCAGAAACGGGGAATTAAAAACTTTTGTGAGTGGGAGTGAGACTCACCAAGAAGCTAAAAGGCTTGTGAGCAAGCTGTCTACATTCTCAACGTGGGTGTTGATCTGGATAATCAGAAAAAATAAGTTACTATTTTCTGTTTGGTGGCATACCTTGTCTAATAGACGAACCAAGTTCTTTTTTTTTTTTTTTTGGGGCTTTCTGTTGGCAGTTAAATGTAGATTACCAAGTTCCTGAAGATCCAAGATATCCCGAGATCAGCAACTAAAACATGTAACTCATCTTAATGGAATTCGATCCTTTGCCGACACTCTACATACTTGTTTCTTTTTAGTCATCTCATCTCGAAATGACTTGACCCTAACCCCATATAACTTGTAAATACCTCCATTCAATAATTAGTGGGTTAAAAGTTTTACATTCTTAAGCTCTCGAAACGAGTCCCCCATTTTTGCTCGGTGGCAGTTCTGCCACGGTTGGCTATCTTAATCTAGTGTGGTGCTTCTTGGCTACTAAACATGTTGGGCCACTTAATTCTGACGGGCAATGATTCCTATAGGTCTAGAAAAAGACACCAACACAAATCATGTTGGGTCCTTGTTTGAAAATGAAATTTGGACCTTGGTTGCGAGATATGATCCATTAAGTGTCACGCCTAAGGCTGGCTTCTCTTGGGTATGGTTGGAAGTTGGAAGTTCAGAGGAACCTGTTTCATCCTCAAAGGTGACTGATAGAAGACATATTGGGCTCACTAGATCTTGTGATGCTACCAAACGAATCCTTTTTGTTTCTTGAAAAAATATATTTATAAAGGAACTTCGCCTTTCACAACAAGTTATAGCACAGCAGATCCAGAATAAAATAGCTTTTTGACATGGTGTATGACACGTCTAATATCCAGAGATGCAGGGCTAGATTTCTTCTTCTTCTTCTTTTTTTGAATTTAATTTATTTTAGGTTTGGCTTGTGGTTGGTTGCGATATTAATTACTATCAAGCAAGCAACGAAACTATTTGCAACTTAAAAAGTAATGAGGTTTATATCCTTGAAAAGGAACTAACGAGAATCCATTTGGATGGACTGATCAAGTTGATAATGTAATTATATCCTTGAAATAACTTCTCAACTGAGGTTTATCAAATTGTAGTACATATATGGTGTAAATTGGATTTAACCAGAGATGCTTGGCCAAAAAAAGAAAAAAGGAAAAGGCAATATTGAAACATTGGTTTTGCTATGCCTCGAAGTACTCCAATAGTGACCAGCCAACCTAAAACAACCCATTCGTGGAAACCCAGTAATAATACCCTATCACATGATCAGCCATGCACGAACCTTAATAACCCATCTGGGGTTCTCTTTGGCTCTTGGGGCCTGAGCCAGCCACCCCTCACTAGTCATGACTACCCCATGGAGCCACTCTCCTGCAAAATTTCAGTCACATAGAAGCTGATCAAATGTCACATTTGATTTCTCTCACATAATCACAACACATATCCACTCACTCGGTCTCTCAGACCTTATAGTTGACGTGGCCCTTCATAGCTGGAAAGGGGATGATATTACTCCTCTCTCTCTCTCTCTCACACACACAAAACAGTTTAGCAACTCCTTTGATGATTGTCTTATTCAGTTTCCACCCATATATTCGTGCCTGCGCGCTAGCATTTTGGCTAGACTTTAGAGAGGGTAACAGAAAAGACAGAGAAAAATCGCTTGGCTAGAAAATTTGCTGATTTGGGGCTGCACTACTACAATGACACTAACAGTAACACTCATTAGTGCCCTTAAAAAACAAGTAGATATCACCATTTCTGTCCTTTTTAATTTCTTGTTGATTCCATTTTTTTTTTTTATTGCTCTCAAAACAGTGTTCCCATCCTGTCCTTCTCTCTCCTGCAAAGTAGATGTAGGTTGCTAATTATAGCTATGGTACCTTTGTTAGTACACATTTGATGTAGCATTATGGACAAAAACTAATTTGTTAATAGCTACACATTCATGACATACCATGGACTATGGTGACTCCCACTTTCCTACCTTATCCCAACTTTTATTTTTCTTAAAACCACTTGATACAACAGCTATTAATTTTCTCTTTTTCTTAGGGAGTAGGAAGTAGTCACCACTAGATAGCGAGCTAGTACAGCAAGAGTACAGGGATGAAAGAAAGAACAACTTTGCCACATTTCTCTCTTTAGTAGTTATTTTAACTCGACCTGATTTCTTTTTTTTAATTATCGAGAAAAACCTAAAAGCCAAGTAATGAGCTAAAAGCAGTCATGGTTTTTGTTTTGCTTAGATGTAGCATGGAACAATGCCACCCGTATATGTGAAGTCAAGGAGGGGCATTTCCGTCCATTACTCACAACCAATCACCTTCTTCCATTCTCTCTCCACATACAAACAAAAAATCTTAAACCCCATAAAAACCTCACCTCATTCACTCGCTCACTGACCCCTACACCTTCAGCTTTTTCTCTTTGAGAAAACAATGGCAGACCCATCAATCTACAACTTCCTCAACCATCAACAGCAGCAGTTCCCTTCTCCTTCTTCAAAACCCACAAAAAAAAGCTCAACAAACCTACCCCACTCCTCCTCTTCTCGTCACTTCCCATGCCCTTACTGTCCTCGCAGGTTCTACACCTCTCAAGCTCTCGGTGGCCATCAAAATGCCCACAAACGTGAAAGAGCTGCTCTACGCAGAAACAACAACATCCTCAACACTACCATCTCAACAGACCCTTCATTGCCAATACCTTCATCATGTGTTAACCATAACGGCCACCCAGCAGCAGCAAGTCCTCCTGAAGTATTAGTTTTGAACCAATACCACCAGTATCAGGCTCCTGACCACCCCATGATGAGTAGCAACCACCATTTTCTAGGACCATCCAGTACTGCAGGTGTATATGTTTCGGTTCCTCAATATAGTGGGCTTTATGGTGGGTCTGCAGCTCCTACTTCTCTTGATCATGATATTGGTAGTGATTATGATCTTTCAGCAATTACTGATCCTAACGACAACCCTAATGACCCTGCAAATGTGGACCTTACTCTCCGTTTATAAGCTATAATTATTTTCTCGATGTTCGGGTTAATTAGGTTTAGAAGTAACTAATGAAAATGGAGATGTTTTATCTGGTGTTTTTCTTAGCGTTATATATCTGGCTGGGGTTAGAGTTTAGATCATCTTAGATTCCATGTTTTGAGAGTTTTAAATCAGTTAGCAGTGCTGTCATGGAGATTAACTTTGGATCAGTAATGGTGATGTTAATGTCATTAGATGGAATCTTATAATTTCTTCTTTAACTTCATCCTCATCTCGCTGCATGTTCTTATCAGAGCAGGACAATCTTTTTCTTCTTTTTTTTTTTTTACCATCCCAAAAATGCTCTTCCGGTGACCGGAGTGGAGTTTTCCGGTGGTAATACTGAATGAACCGTTTATCTCTAAGCCAGCTGTAATTTAAATATTCTCTTAAAAAAATTTTTGCAGTTATGTTCTTTTTGTTTTTTTCTGTTTTTGGAAAAGAGATACTCTAGAAGTTTTGTAAGCACCAGCAAATTAATTTGGGCAGAGATTGCTTGTTGGAAGGGTAACAAGCTTATAAACTAAAATTCAAACAATATATATATATATATATAAACCTCACAAAATATTTTCTCTTAGTAGATTGATTCTATTTCTCTCTTTCTAACTGTTATTAGTACATAAATACTGCACTCTTGATCTTGATCTCTCTTGTTTTCTCTAATCTTTATGCATGCATTACAAACCTAAGGATCATATTTATAAACAAACTTAACCTCCTCATTTGAAACATTTAAAATTAATTAGAAGTTATAAAATTTGATCCTCTCCTTTGAGCATCTCTTTTGACCATGTCCATTGAGTATCTCCTTTGATCACCTCCTATGACCAACTCCATTGATCATCTCCTTTGATCATCTTCATTGATCACCTTCTTTAACCATCTATATTGAATGTTACTTTGATCAAATACTTAAGAATTAAGAATTCTTAATGACTAAGAATTTTTTATGAGTTGAGAAAATTCTGAAGACGGGTTTGAATTATAACAACTATTAAGATGACCTCTTTTTGGTTGTGTGATTTTGTGGGATTGATCCAATTAAAAAGGCTAGTGATGATGAAGCTTTTAAGTTTTTAATAAGTCAGTTTTAATCCCCAAGCTTAAATTATGGGATATTTTAAGCCCAGGCAGGAATTCAGCTAGTAGAAATTGAGATTTAATTAGCATCATATCTCATATTTCAGATCATTGATGAGTAAATAATGTTAGGAATTAATTATAAAATTTTGAAAGAACAAAACCTGCTTTGCCATGAAATTAATGTCAGGAATTAATTCAGCTAGTAGAAATTGAAATTTAATTAGCATCATCACTCGGTACTTCCGTGTAGGTTCTCTTATGATTTGAAGTTTATATATGTTTTCTAGATCTTAGGATAGGATATTTCTTAAGTGGATTTCACCTGAATAATGCAAAGAGTGTAATTTGATTCTTGTCTTAGCTGAAACTTAGGAACTATTTCTAGTGACATTTCATTTGTACTTGTGATCGGAAGAGGTGCTCCGAGAAGAGAGTGAGTGCAGTTGCCATAAGCAATGATGGACTGTATGTTTGCTTTGCCGACAAATTTGGAGTTATTTGGGTGGTGGATATCTGCATGGACTTAATGGAAACGAAACTTTGGTCGATACGAAGGCGGAGCCAGTGCTTGCGCATTATTGCAGCATCATTACTAGCCTGGTGGGCTGTCCACGTTTTAGGTCTTTCCTCTTCTTCAGTGCTGGGGTTTGTGGTTTTTTTTAGAAATGGGGTTATAACATTTTTTACTAAATGAATGATTTTAAAATTGAGTTGCCCTTTACCAATAATGAGTACTTTTTGCAGGAATTTCCACCTGATGGACTGTTTGTTGTTAGTGCAGATCGAGATTTTACAATAGAAGTGAAGTGAGCTGTTCTACTGTCACTGATCTGTGTACTATTCCAGGCGGTAATGTTGTTGCAGTGGCCATTCAAAGGCAAGTCTCTAAACAGTGCCAGTTACTAATTGTGAGCTTGGAATTCATCGACTTTCTTCTGCATGGAAGTCCTTCCGCAACAAATTCAGAGATTTTTTTGGCTGACTCCAAAAGTTAAAAGGTAAACCACCGACACACTTATATGGAGCATGCAAAATATATGAATTTTCATTTTCGGCTGGTGTGATTCTTTTAGGTTGTTTCGAATATTGGAGATAGCTTCATTCCTACAAGCCTGGGCTGTTGCTCCTCCACAGAACTCTTGTGAACCATAACTGGTGTCTCTAGACTACATGGTTCCATTACAACTCCTTGGCCCGAGTAAGGATTCTTTCTGGTTTCCAGAAGACCGTTCCCGGTACCACCAAGCATGAGTTAACTGTGTTGGATGATAATGAGGTACCTGCGGCAGAGAAACAGCTTGAGAAGTTGCAGGGAAGTGTAACTACTGAGGAAGAGGTGTTCCTAGCAGCTGCTGAAGCTGTAAAAACATCAACGTGCAATTTGTTAATTAAGAAGCGGTACACGACAGAGAAAAGAGAATTTAGAAAGAGAGGTAGAAATGACAAGAAAATCAAACAATGACAAGATCTCAACATCGGCAACAACCTTACTTCATAGCAAATTCCTTGAGGTACTCGTGCTGGAACCATTTTGTAGCTCTGTTAGTTTCTTGTAAACTCCGTTATTTACTGTATAACATTCTCAAAAAGAAAACAAAATAGTCAGGTATTTATTTATTTATTGTACAAGAAAATGAATGCAACGTCTTGAGACGATGCCAAGGGAGTTATGAACGATGGCAAATCTTTGCCCCTTTCTCTAGTGATTTACCATTGAAATATTTAAGAGCGTAGATCACATTCTTTAATGAGATTCAGTAATCTTTCCTCCGGAGAATGAATCATTGGTTGCTCGAGAATTTGAATCCGCAGAAAAATATGCAAATGTTCAGATCCCAAAATTTCTACTACTGGCGGGCTTGGACTCAGCTCGGTATCTAAGTGTTCTGTAGCAATTATTTAGAGATAACAAAAGCGTTGTTGTGTAACCCACAGCCCATAGTAGAAATTTTGTGATATAAACTGATGCTACAGCCCAAAAAATATTGAATCTGTTATCAGATGGGCTTGTAATTTAAACCGACTGGGCTCTTTGAGGATAGGAATGAAACGATTTTATGAGTATCCAGTAACTACTATCACTCGCTTAAATCTGTTTTTAGACGGCATAAATAGTTGGGCCCAAACTGAATAATATAGAGTTTTTTTCATGTACAGAAGAACCAACAGGTGGTTAGATTTTCTCTTGTCTGGTATTAACAAAATCGAGCTAGGATAGGGCTTTGGTATATAGGGGTTGGCTTTTTACTCTAAAGACTGTCTAAAGACTGTCTAGGTAATCCAGTCTCTAACACGTTCTGTGGGGAATGCCATGCCTACTCTCTAAGTCCCATCTCATCATCTTTCTCTTATTCTTAATTGGGTGTTACCATCATCCACGTCTTGTATATCAATCCCATCGAGTTCGTCACATAATTGGGCAGGGGTCCATGCTAGTATTTTAAGTCTTAATCGCTTGTCTTTTCTTCCAACTTTCAAAATATCAATCTATTTGTCTTACCTTTCCATGGTCAAAAGATGGTTTATTTATACTACTCCCATCCTAATGCCACCTTATCAACGCAGCACCTGGTTTGGATTTTGTACTCTTAATCATGCCAATCGGCATGTAATCAAGGCAACAGATGGCATTGGCAGACAAACAAAGAGATGTAACTTCTCTTCTACCAAAAACAGACAAACTACTTCATTTTTTTTTCTCTTCATCCTACTTGGTGCCAAGACCATTCTCATCCTATCTTTGATCGAAAATTATTAGAGAGAGATAAAAGAGATGCCCACGATGCCTCAGTCAAGAGACCAATTATTTAAGTAATACAATTTTGCTGAAAACAGAAAATTATTTATTGTTCTGACAACATATTATTTTGATTGAATTATTTGCATTTGACACTTAACACCATGAAAGAGACCTCCACTGGTTGATACTGATAGTGGGGTCGCTTAGCCTTTAAACCTAAGGAAGAAGACAAAAAAATGGACCCTTCCATAATTCATCTCCCAATTTGGTACCGCCAAGTGTCGCTAACTATGAGCCACCAGCTTGGGTGATTGGGCTACTGGCTAGTTGAAAAGGACGTGCCTGTGCGTGTAGAGACGAAGAAGAAGAAGAAGCTCATTCGATAAATGCGGCTTATAGGTGTGGCAAGCATATTGAAGAAATATAATTAAAGTCGTGAAAGAGTCTCTGCTTTGATTTGGCCGATCCCCAGTTTAGAAGGGTGATTGTCATGGGCTATACTCAAATTAAGCAGGCATCTTTGTGAAAATTAAGAAATGGATTGATGCCTTCTTAACAGGACGTGATGAGTCCGGAATAGAACTTTTGATTTTCTTGATTTTTTTTTTCTTTCCCACCCATAATTATCGGAAAACTCACCGCATTCGACAAAAGTTTGCGTCCATTCAACAAATAAATTCCTTTAAATAATGTAATTACATAATTGTATTATAGAATTTATTCATAAAAAAGTTATCAACTTTTGGATTTACAAGAATTATTAACAAAATCCACTTATTCACGAGATACTCGTCAAATAATTGATATTTTTTTATAAATTAATTTTGTAAAAATAACATTATTGTATGAAAAAAATATCAAATTTATCTTTACTCGTTATGCTTTTTTAATCAAGTATGCATAATCTAGTGATTGTGTAAAATTGATTCGAGCTTACTACCTTTAATTTTTTTTTCCTACGTACAAAAAAAAAAAAAAAAAAAAGCGCTCTTCGTTATACAGTCCAAGACTCACCAACCATCAAATGAATAATATGGTTTTTCTTTTAAAGTAAATTTGTTTACAATTTCAGTCTAATTAGATTTGAATTGACCAGAAATCAGGGTAAACTTGATAAATATTTTTGTAAAGGGGTTTGTTTGTCGAATTGACACAAACAAATATGGTAGTTTGGCAATCTGGTTATAACCAATCTGCCACAATGAACTTAGAAACTTTAACACTATTTTATGTTATCCAGACGTTGCATCAAAGTTGATCCAACGGCTTACAAATAGAGCTAATAAATTTATGATGACAACTAACTAGAGTGTACATGTCTCTTATCTATCTTCACAATCATTCTAAATTAATTTTTGAATAAACTCTAAATGAATATAAATTTTCATTATGTTAAAATGAAGTGAAATAAAAAACTAATATTTATAAATCTATTAATTAAACATAGGATTATGTTAAATAGGTAATAATGTAGGAGGACCTTTAACTAGAGAACCCACATTCTACTGACCTAACTCGACATGGGGTCGTCTCACAATCATCAATATTCAACCTTTTTATGGACCTACCCGGAGACCCACGCCCTAAAATAACAAGAACAGATCGGAGACCAATTTGCCAAAACAAGGGGTCGCCGCAAAATGGGCCCAAGGGTTTGGGTCAGGCAGTCAAGTCCGCAGTAAGTAATATACACGAAGATAATAATAAAGTGTAAAGGACACTGCACCTAGGTGGAGCCCACCAATTGTATTGGGATTGAGTTTGTATCCGAGTGGAGTGAAGTGGGACCCAACACTCTTTTAACGTTTCCAAACAGCCCAAGACTTTGGCGTGGTGCAGAGAAGTGTACGTCTCTCCGGGACAGACACCAACAATGTCCTACCGTTACTTTCCATGGGCCCACCTCCTCAACTCTATGTATGTACGTATGCGACTACGTGTGAAAATGATACAACTCATAAGTTTCGGGTACGCTAACCATCCCGCAAGTTGAGACTTTTTGTTTATATAAATATTTACGGGTATTAAATATTTTTTATATTAATCAAAATTAAATTTATTATTTATCAAGGTAAACCAGTACTAAACTACTTTTAAATTTTGATTTTTTAGACCAAACCAATTAAAATTTAATATCATTAAAAAATAATTATAATTAATTATTTATAAATAATAAAAATTGAAACTTAATTTTAAACCAACCAAAATAGTTTTTCTATTAATAAACCACGTCCCTTTGAAGTAAGTTAGAATCTTGTTGTCATCTTCTTTAGGAATAAAAACAAAAGCTAATTTTTTTTTTTTTTTTTGTTTTAAAGGATAATGATAAGAAAAGAATCCATATCGGAAGAAAATGTCTATATATGGATAATAGATAAAAGAAACAAATGTGTCATTTGCTTTTATGGATGGTACCGGAGTTGCTCTACTCTACGGATTCCCAACGATCTTCGTATTTGCTCCATACTTTTGAGAATAATTTTTAATTCTTCGGATATATTTCCAATCAGATATTTGTGAACTTTTTTTTAACCTAATTTCTTAAAATAAAATATATAGGAGCAAATTAAAATATTTTCAAGTATAAAACAAATTTAATCTAGATAACATTATAAAATCTATCTATATATATAAAGTTTATGGCATTTGAGAATCCTTACTTTATTCTCCGCCGTACTTGTGAATAATAGAAATAGATTGTGATTTTCTCTTAGGTCTTTAGTGAGAAATTTTAACAATTACATATAAAAGTAATTATTTAGGAAGTATCCGTAGTAAAATCACGTTAGTTAGTCCACTAAGGACAGTCAAAATTAATTAATTAATTAATTAATAAGGCTGATGCGTGTTGAGCGAGAGAAAGAAATGAGGTATCTGCATTATGTAGAATTATAATGTTACGTAAGAACATCCAATGCCCAGGTAGGCTTCTAACGTTAGGCTAATGATAATAGGAGAGAGAAAATAGATGTTTAGCTCATATCTTTTCAATTTCAGCTTTGACCTTCTTATCATTTGAAATGAACTCTTTTTATAATTTTTGCAAGTTTCTATCAATATTTAGCACATAAAACTAACGGAATAACTTAAACATTTTCAACTTCAATTTAACCTAACTTATAAATTTTAAGGCATAAGCAATACATACATATTATTATGTGCACATTTCCTCGTTTTTTTCTTTTATAATCCTCTCTTTTTATGGGTTTGGAGGCACCAATCCCACTTTTTTTCTCTTTTATGTATTCTTTTTTTATTATTATTATTCTCAAGATATCCTAAGTTTAAATATCTATACTAATACGTTGCTTTTCTGCATATATAAGAATTCAAATCTAAAATCATTTACTTAAACGACTAGAACTCATTTCACCTCTCTTTTATAGTGGATTTGAAAGTTAAAAATAATAATAATAGTAATCGGTAGTTATCAATTTCCAACTACCATAAAACTTCTCAATTATTTATAGTGTGCTATTGGATTTTTTTTCTCTTTCCCTTCTATAGAAGAATTCTATCTAGGAAACCTTGTGCCCTTGAAGATCCTGTGATTCGTGACTGAAGTCAGGGCAAGTAACCAAAACACAAAACTGTGTTAATTTCCATTCAACCGCGTGAGAATTAAGTTGAAAGGTTCAACTCTAGCAATGATAGCAATTTGAAAATGAATTTTGTGCTGGAGGAAGAAATGAAATCGGACCTTCTTTATAATAATTTGTATAATTCCGTGGAAATGAGCGGTTGAATTCGACAAATTAAACGACATGCATGCATATATAGAGCCAAGTGGGGGAAAAAAACCCCACAACTCGAAGAAAACAATAATTTGGAATTAGTCCATTGAATCATCGAGCAAACCATGAGAGTTGTTATTTCAGTTGTCTAACACTAATTAATTAGCCCTTAAAAATTAAAAGGCTAAGAACATGAGCTTTATCTTCAATCTATTCGATCCTCTGACAAAGCCGAAAAAGAGAAAAGATTCAAAGCCAAAGCTTCTTTTAACAAAGAATATAAAAGATTTGCCATAGATGATAGATCAATATTACATCGAAGCAAATAAAGATGGAGCTCTTTCCCTTACCTCTACGACTACGAGGACCCACTATCATGGGCAGATACACGGACGTGGTGTCTAAATAGCTATGATAACGGGTTTGATCAAAGCAGGTTTTCTGGGTCCCATGTATGGTGTCGTTTAACGAACATCAAACAAATTTTGAGGTAAATGACAAGAGAACTTCGACATTTTTTTCATGGCTTTTTACTTGTTCTCGCACGTAGTGGTTTATAAAATCTTTTTTTTTAATGGTTTTTTTACTTGTTCTCGTACGTAATGGTTTACAAAATAAAAAACAACCTTAAAATATATTCTACACTTGTCTTTTTCTTTTGGTTTGGAACGCACGTATGCATATGGAAATCTTTGGATTAAAAGCTTTCATGGTGTCTATGTTTTTTATTTTATATTAGTTTCTTTCTTTTATTTTTATTTGTTTTAATATTTTTATTTATTTTTAAAATAGTATTTGATTAAGTTTTTTTTTTTCAACATCCATAATTTTCAGTCGCCAAATCTTTAACCACTACAACAAAAAAGGATATTTCAAGCGGGTTTTTTATCTTCTAGAGGTGGTTTTTAGCACCGCCTCAAAACCGCTTGTAACGCCGCCGTCCCTAGAGTGTAGTGGCGGTTTTGCCAATCGCTGGAGAATCCTAAGGCGAGTTACAACCGCCTCAAAGTGATTTTTGGAGGCGGTTGTAACCGCCTCTACAATGCCTCTTTTAGGATTTTTTGGCGTGTAATTTACGATGGTTGGAAATCGCCTCTACAATTCTACATTTTTTTAATTTCACATGAAATTTTTAGGGCGGTTGGAAGTTTAAAATTTATGCCCCAAACTCGTAGAATTTATAGAGGTGGTTGTTTGACTACCTTTAGCATTATAGTTTTATTTGGTCTTCAAATTCAATTAATTACTCCATTTTTTGGTCAAAAAACAAATAAATTTTTTAAAAACTTGTCGAATGAAAATAAAAAAAATTATATAGCTTACATAATATTTTTAAATTTGTAGTTATCAAATTATAAATACTTAGAAAGTTTTCAAACATACGTAAGAAGGAAAAAAAAACTAAAGAATTAAACACTTGTTCAAAATGCATAAACAAAATTTTCAATATGTTTTAAAATAAATGGCTAATGTTGACAAAAAAAAAAAAAAAACTCTCATGTTTTTATATAGAAGGCTTCATTTCGCATATGACTTTGAGTGTGATGAATGATTGGGAGAAGGAGCATTTTGACCCATCATTACGAACCTATCAAAAGCATAATTTTAAAGTGAAAAAAGAAATAATAATATAAATACATATAAAAACTCATAACAAAAGAAGAGATGACACTTCTATGACTAAACGTCAAAATTTCATCAAGTTTTCATTCAAAGCTATTTTGCTTAGTTATACTACTATAACATGGAAGTAAACTGACACTTTCTATAAAAATGTTATCTAATTCTACACATGGGTAGGCCACAAATGCCACACCTAAGTAATTCTTTTCACTTTACTTACCTTATAGTCTTATCGGTATTCTTTAAAATTGCTTTTAAGTAGACTTTACTTTAAAGAAAACAAGTCTACCAATTATGAATTTATAATTCACTCATGCAAAGAGCCGACATGGTTTGTCATGGTAAAATATTATGCCACACAAATCTTTTCAATACAAAACTTAAAAGTACATTTATGAGTAATATATTATAACAAAGCAAAAGGAGGGAGTAGGGGTTAAACTTTCTCTTCAATAAAAGGGGAAAAAATAATTAAAGTATTGAGTACCGAGTGCTAACATTGTGTAATTGCCTCGAAGTTGCATCAATATCTAACCAAGGGTAGACTATATTCACTAATCTTTTTGTAACTTTCATAAAAAATGGCACATGACATTGAAAATTGTCATAAATTTCACAAAAAGGTGTAAGCACTATTGGCTTTGAGAACCCTCATAGTAATGGGAGAGAATAAGGGGTTTAATTTAGTTATGCCCACATTAGGTGTTAAAGGATGGTGTGCTAAGTCATATAAACATTAGATTAAAAGACGGTTATGCATCCGAGAATTACAAACCCTTTTAGGCATTAAGATTAGCCACAATACAAGTACAAATATAGGTGTATAATGTATAACGAACAATAACTAAAATAAGCTAGTCAAAATTTAACAAAGAAAATTTGCAACGCAAGAAGGACCTATATCTTTTCTTGAGGATTTTCATTAATGAATTGTATATAGTTTGCATGATTTTTGTTAATAAGCATTCAAAAGATTAATCGAAGCTGGATAGTTTATATTCTAACTCTAAATTTTTCAATTTGCTAGTTTCCTTGAAAACTAACACTAAATGTCATTTTATTGTGCAATTATCACTCTACTACTTACATGGTTTCTAAGTAGCCAAAAGAAAAGGCTCTAGGCAGGAAATTCCAACCTTGAGAATAAAATGGAATAACTCATTTGAGCTGAATGGTTTATTTTCTCTAATGTGCTTTGTTAGTGAGAATATAATGTTCCTATTTATTTCTAGTTTTATTTTCCAAAAATACCTATGTGGAGAAAGACTTGTATCTTTTCCGAAAATAATTTCATAGATCAAACGAAGGCACTCGGTCAATAATCACTAATGATATAAGTTAAACAAAAAATCAAGATTGGTAATCATTTTGTGCTGAAATTTCTTGAAAGCTCTTATCATTCCCAAATGACTAGATAGGGACTTATGGTGTGAGGTGAGATTTCAATCTTAAAACACCGAGTCCGGAGAAACCATAAGGTCACTTTTGTCTCTTAGTTGCTAGACTAGTTTCCATATGAAGTTGATGTAAAATGATACATTGTTTATAAAAGAAGGATAGGTTGCCTTCTTCCTACTTTATTTTTCAAAAAAATTTAAATGTAATCTAATTTATTAGCCATAAAATTAATTTAAGCATCTTTACCATTAGAGAGATCAATGAGAAAATCAATAATGAATACCCAATTGATTTGAAATAAGCCAATGTATGAATAGAAAAGACTCTTCAAATTATAAATTAGGTTTTTTGGTAGATAGGTATAATTTAGTTTCTAATAAGAAGGGGAGAAGGAAAAAGCGAGATGAGAAGAAGAAAAAACGGAAGAGAAGAAGGAAGAAACGAGAAAGAAGGAAAATCCTAAGAGGAAAGGTATAATGAAACATCTCTTCTCCCTTTCGGAACCCAAAAAGAAATAAGAAGGAAGAAGCGAGAGAAGAAGAAAAAATAGAGGAGAAGAAGTAGAGATTAAGAGGAAAACTCTCGATAATGAAGCTTCGATCTTTTCCTTTTAAAAAATTAAAAATGAAGAAACGAGATGAGAAGAAGGAAGAAGCATATCAAGGAAAATAATCGAGCGAAAGAAGAAGAAGATGACAACCCTAATTAAGATAAAGGAAAAATGAAACGTCCTTCCATTAAAAAAAATTTAAGAAATAAAATTGTGCGCTTCTCCTTAAAATTTAGTGGCGGTTTACATATTTCTTCTATAGACTTAACACCTCGCTTAAAATGCTAATAAACTTTGAGGCGGTTCTATAAATCGACTCAATCATACTCGTCTCTACACCCTTATTTTGTTGTAGTGAACCAACCTAATCTATTAATATATGTCTAAATTTATTTTTGTTGTTTTTCCTTTTCATCTTTTTTTTCCTTCTTATTTGTCCTCTCCCATCCTCTCTTTACGATGGATCGAAACACTTTCTAGTCCTCTTTTCTCCTTATTTTTTTCTCATCCACCACTAAATTTGTCATTTTTATTGTTCTTCTTTCTTTTCTCTTTTCATGCAAACCCAAAAAATTGGTACAAATAAATCCAAAGAATTTGAATATAACTCGTTTCAAATAATTTTTAAGATAAACTCTTTTATCCTCTCGATAATTTTTAAGATAAACTCTTTTTATCCTCTCGATCTCACAAACTACAAATACACAAATAAACAAAACAGTGGCAAATAAGAACAACATCGGTAAGTAAAGAATGAAGAGAAAATTGAAAGATGAAACTTAAAAAGAAAAGGATTGAAAACATCATTATATATATTTACATGTGTTATACTCTACCCTATAAAGAAGTGCTTCTATACAATCTATATCTAACTTTGAGAATAAAAATTTCATGCCATCTATATGTACAAAATAACTCGCTTTTGTTGTATCCATTCAATACTTTTTTTAGTTCATCTCGATGCCCTAAATCGGAGATAAATTATATTTAGATTTGTTATATTCAAATTGTTTGGATTTTCTTGAACTATTTAAGTAAGTTTGTATTAAGAGAGAGTAGAGACAAGAAAAGTAACGGTGATGTTTTGATTGTTGAGGAGTTAAAAGGGTGGCGACTACGTTGGAGAGAGAAGGAGGAAGAAGAAAATGAGAATGGAAAAGGAAAGGAAAAAAAGGAAAAGGAAAAGAAAATTAACAAAAAAATAAAAAATTTGAACAAATATCTCGCAGATTGGATTTGTTATATATTTGGTGGTCGAAACCATGAATGCTAAAATATCATAGTTTTTCTCTAAATATAATTTTTTTTTAAAAAAAGTTCCTTTCAAATGAACTTTTTTTAATTTATTTTTTTATTTAAACTTAGTGTTATGGTGAATAAGTTTGTTTGTCAATTATCCATAATCATATTCGATTTGACTTTAAAGAAGGTTATGCAAAAAAATTCTCCTATAAAAAAGAATATATATATAATTTGATATGAAAATTTGAGTGGTTTATCTAAAACACAATTGGTTTATCAAAGTTAAAAATCTGAAATTAATGAACTATATTAACAAACGATGTGACGACCTTATTTTGAATGAGAGAGTTAAGAAACAACCTTTATGAACCGAGGTCATTGAAGGAGTTTGATTCGAGACGCTTGGCATATGGTCTAGGACCGAATTCAAAAAGCATAAGGGACGATCCAAATCTAGGTTCGAGACACTTGGTGGACGATCTAAGGCGAGACTCGAGAGGCTCGAGATTCAAGCTTGATCGGATTTAGAGTGCCATAAGTTAGGTTGTGTGTAGGTTTAAGGGTGTTTATGGTGCGAGTCGGTACCAAAGTGTATGGTGTTTAGGCAAGGACCAAATCCCTAGCTCTCTAGGGGTTGGTTTAAGACCCAACTCGGGGTGCTTTTGTGCGGTATGGAACCAATGCGAGAGATAGGTCCGAATTGGTGCCTAAGCATTCGTGTTTTAATTAAAATAGGATTCAAAATGTCCGATTGTCGAGACAAGACCAAATCTAGGCTACCCGAGATTAAAGGTCAAGCGTAGGTCTAAAAATCCGAACTTAATGAACTCTATTAACAACCAACGTGATGATCTCGTTTTGAATGAAAGAGTTAAGAAACAACCATTATGAACCGAGATCATTCAAGGAGTTTGATCCGAGACGCTTGGCATATAGTTTAGGATTGAATCCAAGACCCTTGGTGGATGATCTAAGATAGAATTTGGGAGGCTTAAGATTCAAGCGTGATCATATTCGGAGTGCCATAAGTTGGGTTATGTTGGGTTTGAGGGTGCTTAAGGGTCCAGTCGGGACCAAAGTGCATGGTGTTTAGGCAAGGATCAAATCCTTAGCTCTCTAGGGGTCGGTTTAAGACCCAATTCGGCATGCTTTTAGTGCGATTTGGAACCAATGCGAGAGGGAAGGTCGAGATTGATGCCCAAGCATTCATGTTCTAATCAAAATAGGATTCTAGATGCCTAATAGTCAAAGTGGGATCAGATTTGGGCCGGACCAACTTTGGACCACTTAGGATTAAAGGCTAAGACTAGGTCCAAAGAGTTCAAAAATCAAATTCGGATCATCCGGATCAAGTCCTAATAATTCATGTACAATTGAAACGAAGTGTCTTAAAAAAAAAAAAAAAAACCAAAATGAAAAACTAGCTATTCAAATAAGTTCTTGATTTTTTAAAAACAAATAAAAAACTTAAAAACCAAAAAAATAAAAATAAAAAACAGAAATAGAAAACGAAAATGATACCAAAAATTCCTTAAAAATTGAAGGGTTCTCTTGTTTGGTTTGCGCATTCTAGTATAACTTCAATATTTTATTTTTTATTAATAGTTAGAAGTACGTCATTTACCTGCTGTTTTTTTTTTTTTTATCGTTTGTCTTTAAATATCTGGAAATAGAAATAGAAAAGTTGATTGTTTTGAATTTTCTGATTATAAAAAAAATCAAAACCAACAATTGCGATTTGAAATCACAATTTTTAAAACCATTTTATCTGGTTTTGAAAATTTTTGACAACCAATAATTAATTTTTTATGTTTTTTCAAACAAAAAACCTGAAACGTAAATATACTAAAGTGACCCCTTAAATAATAACAATGGTCATAGTTTTTTTTAATTATTTGGTGATTTGTCAGCTATATATACAATATGCAACAAAGGAAGCTAGTTGTTCAGAAAACCAGAAAAAGACAAGCTACTATAAGGAAAAATGAAAATGACGAGTACACAATCAATAGTACATAGTCAATAATAATTATTGGAAGTACTTGATTACTAATTCAGTTTTTTTTTTTTTTGGGCAATGATGTCACTTATAATTACCATTCAGGTTAACAGCAAATTAGTACAAGCCATGGAGAAGGGCCCAGTAGACAAATTACGAAGATGAAACATGATGTCATTGGCGTCTTCTTCGAGCGGGTGCGTTTCTATGAACTCTAATTCATGACGGTACCGTGCCATACTGTACACGAAGCACAAGATTTGAGTCAGGACCAAAAATGCCATAAACTGAGAGTGAAGAAAGAATTTCAATTCTCAAGGACAAGAATCGGTTGATTTGATATATACACACACATTAATTTTATTTTCGAAAAACAAATTAATTGATCTATATTATTTTGAAAACTAATTATTTAGTTTTTATATTTTAAATTTTCTTATAATTTATATTTATCTATTTTTAATTTATTTTGATTTTTTTATTTTTTTTAAAAAATAGAATAAGTAAAAAATATGAAATCATTGATAAAAATATATTTTATGAAATAAATAACATTAATTAAACATAATCAATATTGATTAAATAATTAATTTTTTAAAATAAAAAATAAATAATTAGTTTTTGGGAAATAGAAAGATCAATTTATAATTTACTTCAGAACAAAAAAAAAAAAAAAAAGACTAAAAAGGCTTGGAAAAAAAGAAGAAGAAGGTAATTGCAGCATGGCAAAAATACTGTAGTCCGGGTCCCTATCTAGTAAGAAGAGGAGGGTAATAAGTCACTGATTCTCTTGAACACGCCTCTCTCTCTCTCTCTCTCTCTCTCTCTCACACACACACACACACACACACACACACACACAGAATTGTCTTCTCTCTCTTTAAAAGGTAAATCAACTAGGCTGTGTTGTCTTTTAAAGTCGATAACTCTTTTTACAGCTCTAGCTATTGGCCTTTGCAAGTTTGTAAACTTGTGGCGATCTTGCAGGGGTTGAAAGTGAATAAAGAGGAAGTGACAAAGTGAAACTGATGCCAGGAATGAAAACCCACTTGCAGAATAGTTGAAAGGGGAAGGATGCAGTAGCTTTTCTCGCTTTATTTTTGCTTTATAGTGATGATTGCTTGCCTTTTTTTTTTTTTCTTTTCATGGGGATTTGGAAAAAACATTTTAACCATTGTGTCTGAAAAACACAGTCTTGAGTATACAGTACAGTAGTACTACTGCTTTTTCTGTAAATAACTGTGGGGCTGTCCTTCATATCTGCTGCTGATCATGTGGCTTGCATGCGACTCATTATGATGGGGAATTGATTCTTGTTCTAATTGAGATAAAAAAAAGCGAAGATAAAGGACAGAGAGTTGGAGGGCAAACATCGGTTTTTCTTATGCTTGTCTTTTTTAGTGTTCAGTCATGGAGGCTACAGAGATTTAGGAGTTTCAAGTCCCAATAGAGCGTGTGTGTTGTCAGTTTTTTTTTTTTTTTTTCTTTCCTGGCGTCTGAGTGCGGACTGTGTATAGCTAGATAGCAAGCTTTTGCTTTAGTTTTTTGGAGGAATAAAAGGGACTATACTTTTTTATTCTTCTTCGGAGTCTCTAAAGGTGGTTCTTGCGACTACCATCATTTGGAGCAATTTTTGGTGATCTCTTGCGTCGTATTTAACTCTCTAATATTTTCAGGTGAGGAGTCATCTTATTATCTTATTAACCATTACTATATATCTAGTAACTCAATAATTTTGATATTGGTGAATTGGAAACTAATTGCTTAATCTTCTTTTCCTTTTTGGAAGTGAATTTGGGGTGCTGAGAAGCAAACACGAGGTAGTTATGCTGAGGAATAGATCTAGAGCAGTGACCAGCAAGCAAACTTTAATGACTGATCACAGCACTCAGTCACCTTCCAATCAGAATTACGCAAAGCCGGCAACATCTTTTCTCGGTTCTCCAAGGTTCAAAGCTTTCACCTTCAAGGTTCTCCCAGAAGCTGAACCTATGATGAGTCCAACTTCGATTCTTGACACTACTAAACCATACTTTCCCTTGAAAATCCCCTTCTCTTATGACATAAACCAACCTAAATCCCCAAAAGTTTTCTCAGAGAACCAACACTCATGGGACAAATCAGACTCAAAGGGCATTGGTCTTGCACTTATTAATGATGATGCGCCAAGCTGTGGCAAACCCATCAAAGAGAATGATAACAATTGTTCTAAACCCAGTAACAGAATGGTCTTGTTTGGCACCAAGCTCAGAGTTCAAATCCCACCGGCACCAAACTCTATACTATCTCCAGTTGAGTCACGTGAATCTCCAGGCGACTTCGGAATTAAGACCCCCAGGAGCTCACAATTATCAGCATCTGGTTCAGTCAATTCTGGCTTTCAATCAAAAGATTCTCCTCAGCTCTTCACCCGTTGCATATCAATGAGTGAAATGGAGCTCTCTGAAGAATATACATGTGTCATAACTCATGGACCTAATCCAAAAACCACTCATATTTTTGACAACTGCATTGTGGAGAATTACTGTTCTTTATCAGATATGTCCAAATCTGAGCCCAAGAGTTTCCTTAGCTTCTGTTACACTTGCAAGAAGAATCTTGAACAGAAAAATGACATTTACATTTACAGGTTTGGACCATTTCCCTTCTTTTGTAAAAAATGCAACTTGTCTCTCCCTTTTATTTCATTGCTGGGTTCTGTTTGAAAGACCAAGTCTCCAAAAAGAACTGCTTTTATTATTCTCATCCGATTTTTATCATATTCTCTTCTGTTCTTCTTAACTAATATTTCTGACCCAAAACTTCTATAGGCCTAATTGTCTGTTATCCTTGCAATGCAGAGGTGAAAAGGCTTTTTGCAGTCAGGAATGCCGTTACCAAGAAATGTTGTTAGATGAAGTAGAGAATTGATCAGAAGTTCAAAGATACTGCAAAAAAAGGGAAAAAAAATTCTTCATATATTTTCCTGCCTCAGAATTCTCAAAAGTTCAAAAAAGAACTTGGCATACCATGTCAGTTTGCCATTCTTGATCATGCTCAACTGAGAATGATTGATTGTAGGACCAAAGATTGCAAATATCAAATTGGGTGCTATTTCTTTTTGCCTTTTCCATTTTTAACCTTCTCACCTGCATATAGAGATAAAGAGAGGGTGAGATCATATTGTAGAGTGGATTTTGTTGTTTATTAAGGTGATTACTAATTAATTTGATTGCTTAGTTTTATCTTTTGCCTCTCAATGTGGATGATGATGAATGGTGATTGAAAAATTGTCTGCAACTCTTTTTATTATTTATTTTACTTCTCTAACGTATATATATCAATCATGATACGTACTGAAGCGTCTAATTATTTCACCGAAGAAGATTCCCAACCCGTGTGTTCCTTATCCTTTCAGCTCATACCAATTTTTGTTGGAGAAAGATTTATTATTATCATTATAATATTATATTATAATAGGAAGGTTAATTTAATCCAAAAATGACTTTTTCAGGTTAGAAGATATAAAACTCTCCTCTCTATCCTACTTAATTCTCCTTAAAGACAAAATAATAATAATAATAATAATAATTCCAGCCGTTGTTGATGATTTTTTTGACTAAAATACAGGCGATAGCCTTTTTCATCACTTTTTCTCCTTTTTTTTTTTTCATAAAATAATTTCTGATCTAGTTCTTTATGAATCCAGATCTGACTTTGTTTTTTCATTTATTTCCTCCATCAGTATTTTTGTTTTATGTATCTATTTACTGGGTTTTTATCTCTTTTCAATAAAGGTTTGATAATTGTTTTTTTATTATTAAGAAAAATTGACAATCTCGGACAACTATAGAGAGATGATCGGATCTTCGTCAATAGAGTCTAGCGTGTTTCTTTATTGATTTATGGTGATTTAAATTTTTTTTTACATGTGCGAGTTACAACAACAATGTTACTTTAAAAATTCCTAGATAGAATAGATCAGAAGTTTCAATTTGATGTCAGTAAGAATGGTAATGACATCGAACATTATATTTCAATATTTTTATTGGATGCTTTATTTAATCTATCTTCATTTATTAAGTTTATAGTTTTTATAGCCAATGGTAGTGGAGATAGCTTTGTATGTTATTTTAATTCAATGAAATTGCCATATTCAATGATGAAGAAGAAGTTAGAATTAGGTCCTTTTCCCAGACAAATCTTAGCCAAACAATTAAAATAATAGTGTGTGATAGTTAAGAACTTGTATACGTACTCACATAATTGGTAAGAGTCCAAAACTTCAAATCTTACCTAGAATTTGTTTTCTAGGCCTTTTTTATTTACTTGATAAGATAATTAGTCATCGTGTCAAGTGATCTAAAATCATAAGTTGTCTACGCTTGTAATTAGTGAAATTCAGGAGAGAAATTTGCTGTTTATCACATATATATATTGTTGATGCATATCTTTTTTAAGTATCCCAAGTCCGGCAATGAACAACGGTGGCAACAACTACTTAGGATTTAGGAAGGGTATGAGTTAGAAAACGACGCAACACAAGTCAAAGTTCTGCATTGACGATTAAGCACCTGATCAACGTTAATTATATTCTTCTCATGATAAAATAATTGACTTTGACAAATTAGGAAGATGATAAAAAAAATCAAATGCACGAAAGTCTTTCTGCACTTCTTTATCCTCTTCTTCGTTTTACACATTTTCCATAGCTTAGCAAACATGATGTAGCCAATTCGGTGAACATAAAAATAGAAAATCCATTCTACAAGTTTTACGTGTCACCTTTACTATCTTCTGGCTTTTATGTTCAATTTAGGCTAAAACAGGGAGAAAATCCATTCTACAAGTTTTACGTGTCACCTATCTTCTGGATTTTATTTTCAAGTCAGACTAAAACAGGGAGCTCCCAAGTATTTCTCTTCTGATTCTCATCCCACCACGGAGGGGAGAGAATAAATTATAAACATCATATATTTCGAACGTTCCCTATAAAATATGAAGCAAATATGACCATCTACGTGGATAATCTATTGTGAACTGAAAAAAAAAAAAAAAAAAAACATTGTAAGTAATAAAGGATGCTACAGGGCCATAGCAGAATTACATGTAGACTAAGCCCAGTAAAAACAAAGAGCAGAAGCACCAAACAGGATTAAGACTAACCGCTGCAACTTGCTTCTGGGCCGCAACTCCTGAAGCCTCAGAACTACAGGCTTCATCCCTTTAGCACCAAAAGAGTTCTAGAAGAAAATAAAGAAAAAGAATCATACCCTCTTGATTTTTATTTTTTATTTTATTTTATAAGGTAAAGATAGCTAACAGCCGGAAAAGAAAAGACGGAAATTCAGATTTGCAACTGGAAGGATCATCCATGATCCAACAGATGACTCAACAGCCAGCTAGTGCGTAGCATGCTTGGTTGATTATGCAGGTTCTTCGGCTGACAGAGGCTTTTGATAATTGTGCCAAGTTGCCAACTGAAATTCAATGGATTGTGAGCCGGCTTCCCACAATCAAACAGGCTGTATTTTACGGTAGCTCACATCAACCATGATGATTATTTTTGGCTTTGATGGGAGAAGAAGGTTGCACCCAACAGATTCAAGGCAGTCAAGCAACATTTAGGTTTTCAATATTAACATAAACATTGATGTTAATGACAATACCTCATCTCATTGAAAAAAAAGAACGGTAAAAAGAAAGATTTCAAAATAATAATAATAATAACAAAGAAAGAAAAGCATATACTTAAAGAAACCTAACAAGCTGATGTTGCGAGTAATTGATGCATGGCTATGAATGGCATGCAGTCTCTCATGAAAACCTCCTCTTTTTTTCCAAATCACATTCTCATGAAAATCTTGATGCAACACATTCTCAAGAACATCTGTGACCACTCAAAACAAACTCTCATGAAAGCCTCACCGAAATTCTGTTGACTAAGTATATACCATCGAATGCATAGTTTTCCTAGTAAAGGAACTGGTGAACAATTTCCGCATACACAATTCACGTTTTCCTATCAGTCATCTCAACAACATCCTGTGCACCCAACAAACAAACCAGAAATTTAGAAACCTTGTCGCAATAAAGCATATCATGCATGGGGTTCAAAAGCAATATCTTAAAGACGTGTCCCTTTCAAATCAAAGGTTATACAGTGGGAAGCAACATAAGGTTGTGATACGAAGCCTCAGCACAACCATACTAGAATTCAATCACCAAATTGAGAAATCGGGAGATGAGTGAAGCAGGAAAAATAAAGTTACCAATGACCATGGTTGAGCAACACTAATTTATTCTAACAGGCACATCTATTTTTAAATTATTTGGGTTCTGACCAATAGCTACAATTAAATTACTCATAAGAATGACCTACTCTACAAACTAACTGATGTTTCCTATAGTTACCTGTGCATATAAGAATTTCCTTTCTATAGACAAACTCTACAAGACTATTATTTTTACAGGGGCAAATAAATACATAACACCAAAAGGGGAAAAAGCTAGAAATGTGTCCGGAATAAACCAGAGAGGAGATTATGGATGCACATTGAACAATGGGAGATGCCAACCTCCAGGCAAAATTAATAAACACCATCCAAGATCAAAGATATTTAAAAAAAAAAAAAAAAAAACTAATGCAACGGCATACAACCACCACAATACCACATTATCCCATTCAATGTCCATAGTGCAATAATGATAACAATAAACATAACAAAGAAGATGCAATAAAATTCAATAAAAGTGAAAAGATAAAACACTGAATATTAAAGTCTGGACATAGAATAACGTAAACATAACATCGGTCCAACAATACACATAAACTCGACTACTCAAAGTACTGCTGGTACAAAAGACAAACAGCAAGACACATATTGCACTAACATCTTAGTCACGAGTGACAAGAAATACAAACCACATATGGATGAATCCTGATAAGACTTTTAGGACTACCATCTATCACGAACATATCCTACTATAACAGCAGCATCCTGAAAAGTTCCTGGACAAGCAGCTCTCTGGAACACATGTTGAGTAAACATTAGTAACAATCGACTAATATATATATTTTTTTTAACAAAAAAAACCAATTTTCATTGACAAAGCATTCAAGATGAAGACTGGTAAACCATTACCTTGCAAATAGCTTGACATGGTCAACAATCTCTGAGGAACATACACTTTATAAAAGACAAAGAGAAGGCAACATTAACAGCTCAAAAGAACAAGAAACTAGTATGCTTACAACAGAACAGAGCAACACGGATAGGATTGACCTTAACAAGATAAAAGGAGCAGAAGACGCTAACAATTTGCTTCACTTCCCCTTCCCACTTTTCCCTCTTAAAAAACAGAAAAGATGGCCAAGGAGAAACAGCACCCATGCAGGGTGTGCAAGGAGTTAGAGCTACCTAAAGAAGAAAGGTTGTAACAGGGAGTTAGCGCTACTGAAAGAAGAAAGATAGAAATGGAGAATACTAGAGAAGAAAGATAGAAATGGTGAATATATATATGAGCAGGTGTTGATTGTTGAGAAGTGACGAAGCAAGTAAACTGTTACAAGAGAACGGACCATCTAGGGTGCCAATTGAGGCAGCACTAAACTAGGAAACTAAGAGACTAATTGAAGTCAGCAATCAAAAGGTTTAGCTAGAAAAAGACACCAGAATTGAAAGCAAGAAAAGAAAGTCGAGCTATGAAAATAAGATAGAAACCTATGGAATTGGAAGACTAATCAAGACACAATGCAGTATACATTGTATCCGATGCTAAAGGCCTATATTCTGCTCAAGAACTCAAGTAGATTGAATAAACAATCCCACAAGGAGATTTTGCAAAGAACTTCACATCATAAGGGCATTATAGAATACAGAATATCATTTGTCCCATCCTGCTGAAGAGATGACACACTTTCCTTCTGCTTCCTGAATATGTTGGAGTCAGCTTCCATCCGCTTCACATAGTCCAACTACTATCAACTTGCCCCACCTTAGCTACAAAGTCATGTACCTGGCCTGCCTGCTTTGCTGCCAAAACACCACTCCAGCTAATTTATCTAGCTACCAAGCCATGACTGCTTCTTGTGCCACCACCACCACTACCAAAAGCTAGACAGACTCAAACCAACTGACACTACTGGCCAATTTATTCATATATACACATCTACCGCTGAAATTCACTATTTACAGGAGCAAAAGGCTCCTTGCACTTCACTCATCCGCCACATCAAGGTTGAGAATGCGACGCAGAGTCTTCGTCGCAGAGTCAGCACTAAGAAACAAATCTCTCATAGACGGGCTATGCTCCCTTGCAGGGGAAGCTGGTGCAGACTTGGCAGTTGGTTGCACAACAAAATCGGTATCATCAGACACAGGTAAATCAAGTGACACGGTTCGCTTTGGTGGCCTCATTGAAAACTTGGGAATCGGTAAAGAACTGGGTGGTGGAGAATTCGAATAAGCAGGACCAGCCCAACGCTCCGAGAACGGTAAATTCTCATTAACAAAACCCATCTCCTCATTAAAAGATGTCTCCTTTCTAGGAAACTTAACATTAATAGTTATAGGACAGCTTTTTGAAGCAGTCTTAAAGCCACCATCGTCAACAGAATGAGAATTGGAATAAGACTTCACAGTTGGTGATGGTGTTTTTGGAGAGTACGAAGCAGGAGGAACATGAGTGGTGCTTTCGGTTACAGGAGTAGTGGAAGTCTGAAACGGGGTTGGGAGTAACCCAGCCCCTGTTTGAAAAGTCCTGCAATTGATATCCCTAAAGCTCTTAGAAGGTGAAGTCCCAAATTTAGCAGGCCCATGTGGCTTAACTCTGCTATAGTATTGATTCCTGTGTTCAGCCACAACAACAAGCGTCTCCATAATGTGCAACAATCACCAATTCAACTACAGTACTCCTTAAACTAAAACCCAATTCTAACAAAACCCACTAAAAATCAAAACTTTTAGGGTTAAATTTGAAGCAAAATCACAACAAAAGTTCTAGATCTCCTCCATGATAAATCCAAATCAAGCATCAACAGATCCAAAGCCAGCTTATAATAAAAATAAAACTCTACAGATTCAAAACCTGATTAGATCAGATCAGAATCCTCTCCCAGTAAGGAGCAAAGATCACAAAACCCCTTCACCAAACTGTAAAAACACAGAATAAAATCGCATCAGAGACAAAAACCCAAATTGAAACTCGAAAAATACAACAACTTCATCATAATTTCCACAACAAAGTGAAAGATATGAGACACAGTAAATTACCTCAGCAGTGAAAGAGACTGAATCAGTGATAAATCTATGAGAGAAAAGACGTAGAATGATTATTAGCGTCGCAATTAGGGGTCTGCTTTTCTGTTTTCTGTAAAATCTAAATACCATGGAAGTTTGTGTGTCCGTGAGAGAATAAGAAACAGAGAGACCACGAAGGGTCAGTCAAGTAGGAAGGAAGGAACGAAGGAGGAAGGCAGAATCCACGGATCTTGAAATGACGCTCTACAGTTATTTCACACACCTACTTTACTTTCATCCTCTGTACGAGATAGAGTAGGCACGCTCGACTATGGTTTGGCAATAGGCATGATTTTTACTTTATTTACGAGAATGGCATTTTGGATTATTTAGTCTTTAACTGGATTATTATAACTCACTTAATTACTACCTTACCCTTTTCTATTTGAGTTCCAATACTTTGAATTGTTTGGTTATCGTCAATAACGTGGTGGGTATAAAAATAAAAAATTTTATTTCTATTTTATAACTGTTTGATTTTAAAAAATAAAAAATAAATAAAAAACTATACATAGTTTTATTATGATATAGAATATGAGAATAAAAATAAAACATAAGAATATATTTTTTTAAATAATAATATATTATTTTTATTTATTGTATATTGATTATTTTTATCATCACCACTACAATTATGATCACCGTCATAAGCATCATTACCATAATATTTATTATTTTTACTATTATTATAGTTGATAAAATTATTTATTTTAATCATTATTCTTATTCATATAAAAAATTAAATATTAAAAAATTTAGATTATTTATTAATATTTCAAAAATAATATAAAAATATAAATGTCATTCTACTTCTTGCATTTTTATTTCGAACTTTTCGTTCCTTTTAATCAAACGATACCAAGAAAGAGATTTATCTTCTCCGATAATAGATTATTTTTACTTAGTATGACATAGTTACGTGACTAATGTTAAGTTATTTGATTTGAGAATAACCAAATTAAATAAATCTAGATCCATACACCACATCATTTATTAGCATAAGATTAAGAAAGAGATTGATGCGTAATATAATACTAGAGGTTAATTTTTTATTGATGTTTAGCATAAGATTTGTTGAGATTTTCTTATAATAAACATTGTACACACTTCATTCAATTATTTATTTATGGAGGTTGGTGATCAAAATTTTGTATGTGCTTATTGACTTGCCTATTAAAAAAATTGTTAATTTTTCACTATTTTAATTTTGTCAGATCTTTATAAAATTTCTAATAATGCTAGTAATTTTTTTTAGGAGCTAAAAAATAAAATTTTTAATTATAAATAAAATTCAGATTCATGGAGATCTGCTAATTTATAAAGATTTGGATATTTGCTAATTAATAAATTATTGATAAACCATTGACAACGTAAAAAAAAAAAAAATTATATACATTGACTTTATATATTCTTACAGGCTTTATCCATTTGAAAAGTTAAGTGTTAGATGATTCAACAAGAAGAAAAGGACAAACACATTGCTTTTTAAAGTGTTGAGAATTTGCAACTCTTTTTTATTCAAATTTTAGTTGGGAATAAACTTTTTGGCTAAATACGAGGAAAGTAATAGTGTCCACATCAAGTATCGTTCCCTCCCACTGAAAGAAGGATATTTTAGTCATTTATTCCTAAAAAATCAGTGGGTAGATTGCCCTTGACGTACTAGCAAACTTGGGCAGATTTGTAAAGGAAAAGAGCGCATCTGTTGGGACCCACAAATGTCATGCACAAGAGTTGGTCCCTAAGCAACAGGACAAAAGGATACGGATAAAAAGGTTAGTTGGTGCACAGTGGGTATGGCCGTGGCTTGGACTCTGAATACAATCCGTTTATCCACTTACAGGTGTCTGTTTTCGGGAGACTAGCCTCGTTCCTTTAGTTGCTGGCAACCGGTTTATAAAAAGTTGGTGAAGAATAAAGGTTGATAAAGCCGGTGATCCGGCATTTTTGTGGTCTTGTAGAGTCTGGGGAGAAAGATAAAGGAGGAGGTTCTTTGCTTGGTGGCTTTAGAAAGCCAAATATGAGTTGAAACAACGCATCGATTCATCTTTAAGATTGCACGCCGAAAGGGATGCCAAACACGTCCTTGCTTTGAGATTCCGAGTTCAGACACCCAAAAACATCAAATTGCCTTCGCATTAGAAATTTCACTTGTCCGATATGGTCCAGACATCATGAATTTCCAACAACCAAATAATAATAATAATAATAATAATAATCTGAGCTATTTATCTGAAACAAACTAGTTCAATTACCTTCTTGATGACCAAAAAGAATCTATCTATTCATGGAGGCAGAAAACAACACTGTTGTTGTGTTTATCTTGTATCCTAACCAATACTCTTTTGTGGGGTACTTTTTTTAAATTGAAAAGTCTCATTCTGGTTATATCAATTCAACTTTTGATATCATTATATTTACACACAGAATTTAAAACTACGGTTAACATGGTATATGCATGAAAATATAGATAAATATGGAGCAGAATCATTCATGCCGTTGAATTAAAGTCAGGAAGTTTTTATTAAATCATTCATGCTTTGATTATGGTTCTGACCAATGCCCAGGGGAAGAAATGGGCCAGTGAGATTTAAAAAAAAAGAAAAAAAAAAAGCTAAACTCTACAGGACCATGACAGCCAACTTGACTTTTTATTAAGTAGCATCGGTGCATTCACCAGTCTTTCTCCTCGTCGAACGACAGAGATTGACAAATGTCTTCCGGGTTGGGCTTGAGTATTGGGCTTTAAGACATGGCTTGCCCACACACATGAATCCAACTTTTGCACTCAGCCCTGTTGCAATTAACAAGCCGAGAACCGTAAGGATAATAATAATAGTAGTAGTAGTAGCAGTAATAATAACAAGAATAATCTGGCAGTAATAAATAGAAAAGAAACCATCGCGACTCGTGAGATGTGGGCAAACAGGGATAGTCGTTGCGGTGCGATCCAAACCCACAACGTGGAGCATTGAGATTGGAAGGATGAGTAACTGAATAAGGACGATCCTCATTCAGCCAACAGAAGTTTCAAAGGTTTCTGGCTTCATCAGGAGCCGCAGGAAGCTTCCTTTGCTGTCCTAATTTTTTCTGAAAAATAGTATCAGAAACCATTAGGAATTTGCAACGCATATGCAAAATGTAAATTTAAGAAATGTTATGATGGATAAATCAAAGACAAACAAACGTCCAGTTAAACGGAGACATATGATTAGGGGCGAATACCATTAGTTTAAATTTAAAAATTGAACCCAATCGAAATATGGTGGGTCAATGATGTTTTTAATGTATTTATATTATTTTAAAATTTTAAAAAATTATACAAATAATTTTTATTTTTTAAAAAAATTTTCGTTTTGTTTAAACCTTAAACCATTTTTTCTATTTTTTAAATTTTTAAATAATATAAATAAACTAAAAAATTAATATCTTAAAATTATTGTAGATATATGATAGATTGATTGTCCTTTTAGTCTATTTATATTATTTTTAAAGAGTTTAAAGAAATTTGAAAGAAAAAAATTCATTTAATCTAAAAAACTGAACAGTAATTTAGTTCATATTCATTTTTTTATTTTTGTAAATTTAGTTAACAAAAAACTAAATCAAATTATTAAAAACCGAACTGAAAAGTCAAATCATCACACCACCAATTTATTTGCAATGAGCCTGGTTCAATTGTACAAGAGCCAGGCAGGATGTTCCTAGAAATTAAAAGAGAAAAAAGGCGGGCAAGACACTGTTCATCAGATTTCTTAATGCCGATTCACAAGGGTCACCAGCCCTTCAAAGACAGGTTGCTCAGTCCAATTATATATATCTAAATTGATTATTTTAGCCTAATACTGCCACTATTTTGCTGCTCGATTGCAAAATCTGAACCAGCAGATTCTGAAATTTTTTAATTAGCCAAGATAGCAACGTGGTAAACCTTCACTTGTCCCCAATCTTTGTCTGCTGCCGAAGGATCCAAAACCACGAGGGCCGTAAAGGACCTTCCTTGCTCTTTCGTTGCAGCGAAAGATCCCTTCTTGTTTTCCAATTCTTGATTTTCTCATGCATTAAATAAACTTTCTCAGAAGATTTAGTATCAATTGACACGCTCTAAACAAGAACCCCTGAATTAATTTCTTTCTCGGATCCTTTTCTTTTCTTGCTATCAAACCCTCTCAAGGCATGAACAGATGAAGGTCCACCCAACTCCAAAGAAGCGAAACATGACTACCACCCAATACGATGCTGCTTCTCCTACCTACATCCCAAAAGCAAAAAAGCTCAAAAGACTCCCTCACGTATTTGCTAGAGTCCTGGAACTTCCATTCCACTCAAACACTGACGTTTTGGTCCAAGAAACTCCAGACCGTTTCCGTATCGTGGCCAACAGTGAGAGCATAACCGTACGCGACGATTATCAAGCCCACGTAGTTGAGATATTTCCAGGGGTGACAAAGATAGTGGTGATTAGAGAAACGGACAGTGATGATCACGATTTATCTGTGGATGTGCTTGATAATCAAACGTGGAGGTTTCGGCTTCCGGCCACGGTGCGCCTGGATATGGCGAGTACGAGGTGTATTAGAGGGCAGTTGATTGTTACGATTCCGAAGGCCCTGAATTTTGAAGATTTTGCAGGTCGACAAGAGGTTGAAGATAATGTAGAGAGTTGACTCGATGGATTGCTTTGAATTATTATTAGTATTATCTGAGGTCATGATGTTTAATTTGATATGACTTTGTCAAAGCATGTCTGAAAAGCCAATGCAAAATTCTATATTTAGAATAAAGCTCTGATCAGGGTCGAACTTTTTGTCAAGTTCATTAAGAAAAAGACCGTTGTGTAAATACCTTTGATTAATCGCACAAGTCCCGAATAAACAATCATGATTATGCGTTGCCACTGGTCTATTCAGTTCTGGGAGATCCTGATCAGATTGCAGGAAAGCTCTTTTCAATTTACTGCATCCCAAGCATGAAGGATAAATTTTTTCACAAAGGAAATCCTTCTAGAACATTACATCCACCTAATTGAGAAATACATTTACATATCTGACTTGAAGGTAGTGTATCTCCTCAATGACATCCTAAGCTATCCAAATTTTTCTAACCCCAAGTTTGTCAAAGTTTCTGTTACTGACTTTTTACACAGTTGTATTATTGCACATTATGTGAAAGAATTTGATCTTGTTAGTGAGCACAACCTAGGTAGCATATTCCTGGGGCATATGCCCATTTGCCACATGGATGGTGAGTCTATACCCATCAACATTTTCGTTGATAGGCTATGAACTAGAATAAAACGAAAATTTCCATCTTTTAGTGACGGATACGAGATTCCATAGTCGATATTGCACAACAGTTGTTGGAAGCCCCACCATTATCTCATTGAACGTAAGCTTCATTATCCACAGAAATACTTAAAAATATATTCAGAAAACATGGCCAAGCTTTCTGATATCAACATTTGGCCGTCAGGGTAGCTTGCAATTGAGAAAAAGAGACATGATCCTGAAAGTAGAAGCGTTTTGGTCCATATCGTGTGTCGGCATCTAGGTCATTGGTGTTGGATAATTGATTAATTTTGACATAGATGATCATTTTTAATTGTTACTCTTTTTGGAAGATGTTGTTGATTGATGGCATCTTATTGGCTATTATTTTCTTCTCCAACTTGGTTTTTGTTTCCTTTTGATCATAGTGGACAACAAATGGTGCTATGTGGGGATCTGTTTTATTGGTGTTATACTCAATCCTATGTGTCTCACGCCTCCGGAAAAGACATTTGCTTTTACTTGGATTGACATAGGATGAAGTTGAATTTCCTTATCTAAAGTTAGGAAGAATCTTTGCCATTTCAAAAGTTCTTACCATATACCGCTCGCACATCAATTTTAGAATGAAAAACGAAAACCACAGAGCTCTATCAATGTATGCTTAACCTTCCTAATGCCCGTATCACATAAATATTGCAGACAAGAGCAATGTACAACATACTCAACACCCTGAATTTTGATCGATTCATAAACTGATTATAACACAATTGGTGGCATTGATTTTATTGCATTGTTGAGCATTCTTCAAAGGAGCTCAACTTCAGTACGTGAAAGGGTAGCAAAAATCTGAAAGAGAGGGCCAGCCTTCATGAGTTGAGCCTTCAAATTAATGGCTATTGATCGAAGTTTCCCACAATTCACTATAATGAAAATGATGAAATCAGGTCCTTCTGACTTTGGATAACGTCATCGGAACCTGAGAAGGTCCCAGTTATATGATTCATGGCGGTACTGCATTTCCATCTCTAGTAGGATAGAGAACAACGACTCGTTCGAGGGAGCCGACAGTAACCAGTTAACTAGAGTGAACGACATGTCTCCCACAAGAGTTCATGGATCCCCAGCCTTAAGCCCTCAGCAAATCAGCAAGCGGCAAGCAAGGAACGACAGTAGCTGTTGCGTGGAGGGATTTAAACAACCAGTCACTTCCGCGTTCCGATCCATAGGCATTTGATGAACACGACACGTCGCCTACTTTAAGTGATCCTCAGGCATTGGGGGCTGGGTGGTCGGAGGAAGGTTTTAACAAGAGCCCCAAACTAGTTTGGGCCAGCATGCAGACAGAACTTGGGCCTTAGTATGTCGCACTAAAACTTCTTAAAGTGCAATTAGTAGGCTTGAGCAGTCCAGTATCCACGCATGAACTAGGCTTGCGCGTGCCACGATTTGTTTCCAAGTCCATAAAGAGATGAAATGCTTCAAATTTTGGGATCTCTCCGTTGTGGTTAAAAAAGAAAGAAATGATGTCAAACCGATTGTTTCATGAGAGCTAGACGAGAAAAGAGCCACCACCTGTACACAACACACAATATTCCAAGAAATTTAGCTTCATTTCCGACACGTGTAAACCTAGGGTAAACTCTGCTGTCAGGAAATAATTGAACCCTATGGCTTGCATATACATCCGTTCAGGCGGTGAAGCTTTCACCAGTTTCCGCTTGTTTCCAGCAATTAATCAGCTAATTCAATTGTCTCCCAGAAAACAACGAGCCAGGAAAAACCACGAAAGCCCCAATACGACGGGGATCCTATCAAATAAGGCGACTTTTTGACGCCATGGTGATCTTGCTTCCAAGCCCATTGTACCAGAAGATGCAGCAGTCATGCAGGTTGCTGAGAACCAAGTTCTTGGAGAGACCCCAAGAGGTGGCCATGCATCAGTTATGCAATCTGCTGCAAGACTTAACGTGAGAGCTGGTCTTCTTGATCGTGATGAAGGCAGCGATGTAGTCGGAGACCAGGGCATGGTAGTACCTGAAAAAAATGTTGTTGGTGATCGTGTTATCACCGAATCAATTGGTGGACAGGTTAAATTAATTACTTTGCTACGCTGAATGAATAGTACTGTTCTTATCTCAATGTCTGTAATTAAGGTCCAGTGCTTGATTCGGGTTGTGGAATTGAGCAGGCTGTGGCCACATATATAGAACCAAGGGTGCCAATGACTCCTCTAGGATTAGCTCCTGACCAGGATGCAATCACAATTGGTGAAGCTTTAGAGGCAACTGCTCTTTCAGCTGCTGGTAACAAACCAGTTGATCACAGTGACGCAGCCGCAATACAAGCGGCTGAGGTGAGAGCGACAGGCCTGTATGAGGTTCTTTCAGGTGGAATAGGCACGCTAGCACAGTCTGCAGGAGAGAGTAACCCCAGGGCTAGGCGTAATGAAGACAAGACCACACTCTCAGACGTTCTGACGGTAACTTATTAATTACTGAATTGATGCTGGTCTTAAGTGTCTCATAAATTAATTCGAGATGGTGCCATTAATAATCTAATTATATAAACTTCAATTGGTGGTTTAAATTCATTGTTATTATCATATGGGAACTGCTTGTCGTTTGGTAGGATGCTTCAATGAAGCTGGCATCTGACAGAATAGCAAGTCGGGAAGATGCTGAAGGAATGATTGAAGCGGAAGTGAGAAACAAGCCCAATAAGCGCACCACGCCTGGTGGAGTTGCGACTTCAGTGGCAGCTGCAGCTAGACTTGATCAAAATACAAGGATCTAACTTGCAAGTATAGATATGCAATAATAAAAAGCCGTATGCAATTTTGCAGCAAAAATATGTCTGCGAGATGCCTTTCAAGCAGGGGATTTCTTTCTCTTTGTAAGATTAATAATATTCGGTGTTTGCATTTCGTGAGAAATTTTAAAATACTCCTTGCATACTTATAATAATTAATTATTTTATTAGTCTATTTTTTAAGGAAGGAATATAAAAAAAAAAAATCATATCTGGATTCAAAAAATAAAAATAAAAATATTTTTTCAATATTCCCGAAAGCGTTTACTAAATTTTGAAATAAAGCTCTTTAATTTGCAGGTTGAGCGTATATGATGTTGTTAAATGTGTGTGAATCGACTCAATAATTTTGGATCAACGATTTTGATCAGGAAGTAGGGAACTTTTCCGCAATACAGTTCTGAATGCAATCGAAAGTGTAAAATCTGCCGTTTGATTTACTGGATTATGTTAAACACTTATAGATTAGTATAAAAATGAAGTACAAAAAAATCTAAATATCTTAAGAAAGAAAAAGATAAAGAAAATGGCACTTCTGATTGGCTACTTATATCATCAAATCAAGGCAATCGAGGTCTACACTTTCACATTTTTATTGGAAAATTAATTACTCTCTCTGTCTCCAAAAAATGGTCTGCTATTTTATTTATATATTTTTTAAAATATTTATCTAGTTAAAATTTTAAATAATGCCTTCTACTAAATATCTCTAATTGAACCTTATTTTATATATAAAAAAATGTTCAAATACAATTCTTAAAAAAAAAGCATTTTTAAAAAATATATATAAAAAAATTGATATGACATAGCAATTAATAACCTTCTCAATCTGAGTAAAAAGTCAAATGAAATAATCTTTTTAAAATAAAAGAACTGAAACATTTTAATTGAAATTTTTAAAATGGTTGAGCAAAGTTGAACTTTGTTAATCTGCGGAGTTAAATATATTTAATTTGAAGTCAGCGGATTGGTGTAGCTGCAAAAATTCCTTATAAAATGTTCCCTTATGAAGTTAAATGTTCCAATCCTACTTATCAAATCTACGGTAAATGATCATAATTACTTTTGGAAATATCTTAAATTTTAATTCTATTATAGATGCAGAGGGGGTTTTCCAAATAAAATAATGGTATGATGTATTTAATTTCTAGGTTAATGGTTCAAAAGGTACCTCAATTGTTATTTTTGTTTTAATCATGCTTTTTTATTAAATCTTTTATTAATGTCATCTATCAATATTTAATTTGCATCTGAATTTCATCTCTTAATTCAAATTTTTAGATAACGATATGGAATCTCGACAAAAGAGGTATAATATGTTGACACGTGATAAAAAAATTTTGTTTGATTTTCAAAATTAAATAAATAATTTTTTAAAAAAATGAAAAACCAAAAACGCCTTCCATGCCTCCATATAAAAACCCCAAAATCCCCAAATTAATTTAGATTCTCCCCTAACCAAGCAGTACTATTTTGACCATGATGATGTTGCTGCGTCTCCAGCAGCTGCAATCTCCTCCTCAAATTCCCTAACTCTCTCTCCATAAAAAACAACCCTTTTGTCACCAATCTTTCATCATTCAAATCAAACAACCCAAAACAAGGCTTGAATTTGATTCACAAAAATGAAAATTGCTAGATCATATTAGCAATTAAAACCAGTTTACGGGGATTGAGAAGAAGAAAATGAGAAATTGGAGATCTAATCCAAAAACCCTAGAAGAATTGAATTTCTTGCAAATTGTTTTAATTTTTAATTTTGTTTTATTTTTAGAAATTTGGAGGATTCTGGTTGATTTTTTTAGGACCGTTTATTGCGAACATGGTGGGGTACAAAAAGGGTTGGTTATATAGCTGTGGAAGATGTTAACGAAGAGGTATATATGAGGGCTTTTTAGCTTTTTCATTTTAAAAAATTTATTTACTTAAATTTGAAAATCAAATAAAAAAAATTTATCACGTATCAACATCGTACGTCTCTTTTTTTAATATTTTAGGTTGATATCTGAAAATTTAAATAAAAAGAAAAAATTCAAACGTAAAATAAACGTCCACGGATGACACTATTAAAAAATTTAGTTCAGGAATACAATTAAAACAAAAACAACCATGGAAAGACCCTCTGAGCCATTAATCTTTTAGTTTCCAAATAAAATAACATTATGGTGTATTTAGTTTGAAGTCAGACATTTAGTAATGACTTGAAATTGATTGTTTATAATTACGATCGCAGCTCGTTTTATTTAAAAGTTTGTGCCATATGTAAAAGCCAAAGGTGTTGAATTGTGGGATCTGCCACATGTTGTTCCACGCCATGTGTCAAACGAATTGCTTCAGAGAAATAGACGAGAAAGAGCACCGCTTTCAGACAAAATGCCAAGATCTTAGCTTCATTTCTTACACGTGTAAACCTAGGATAAACTCTGCTGCCAGAATCTAATTGAACCTAATCGTATACTTATAAATCCATTTGTATGGTGCATCTCTTAGCAAGTTTCAGTGTGTTTCCAGGAATTAAACAGCAAATTCAATTTTCTTCCAAGAAATGAGTCAGGAACAACCACGAAGACCCCAGTACGACCAAGATCCTGTCAAATATGGGGATGTTTTCGACGTCCATGGTGAACTGGCTTCCAAACCTATTTTACCAAAAGATGCAGCTACCATGCAGGCTGCTGAGAACCAAGTCCTTGGAGAGACCCCAAGAGGTGGGCCTGCCTCAGTCATGCAATCTGCGGCAACAGTTAACGTGAGAACTGGTCTTGTTGATCCTGATGAACCCAGCGATGTTGTCAGAAACCAGGGCATGGTAGTGTCTGACAAAAGTTTTGGTGGTGATCGTGTTATCACCGAAACAATTGGAGGGCAGGTTTAGTCAATTACTCTGGCTACTGTATATATCTGTGTGTGTGTGTTCGAATCTCCATGTCTATGTAGTTTAATTGCTTGATATTGGTTCGGGAATTCATCAGGTTGTGGCCAAATATATAGAACCAACAGTACCAATGACGTCTCCTGGATTAGCTCTTGACCGTGATGCAATGACAATTGGTGAAGCTTTAGAAGCAACTGCTCGTTCGGCTGCTGGCGACAAGCCAGTTGATCAAAGTGACGCAGCCGCAATACAAGCTGCTGAGATGAGAGCAACAGGTACGTATGAGGTGCTGCCAGGAGGAGTAGCAGCACAAGCACAGTCAGCAGCAAACCGCAACCCCAGGGCTAAGGATGAGAAAGACAAGATCACACTCTCTGATGTTCTTGGAGTAATTAATTATTTATTTAAACCGTAGATATATTGGATAATTACATTAATCCGTAATTTATGATAATGAATTAAATATTTGAACTTGGTGTTTAATTTATCAATGAAATGGTGGCAGGACGCTACATCGAAGCTGCCAGCAGACAGAGTGGCTACGCGTGAAGACGCCGAAGGTGTGATTGAAGCGGAGGTGAGAAACAAGCCTGACATGTGCACCACGCGTGGTGGTGTGGCGGATTCCGTGGCAGCAGCAGCAAGGCTTAATCAAAATCCAATGATCTGATCATAATATGTAACAGATGCTTTTTAAGATATCGTGTTCTCTCTTGGTTTCTGAGAAATAATATTGGCGCTCCTTTTCGTCAGTATAATCACTGACTCTGAATTACCAGCAAAATTAATTTTGAATCATGGTGAGTAAATAAATACACAAGTAATAATTATTTTTTATCCCTCAAATTTACCGAATAAATAATCGAAATAAAAAAATAAATAAATGAAAGGATAAATCCAATTCCGCCTCGAAGATATTGATCTGATCATAATATGGATGATACTTTTTGGTTATTGGGAATTTAGAGATTTATCGTTACAGATCATATAAACTGGAAAAGAAAAGGATTGGGAAATGGGCCTTCCATTGGCTATTTAATGGTTATAAGGTTTTAACAATGAAACTTTTAAAATTATATATATATATATATACACACACAAGGAATAAAAATGTATTTTATCCTGTAATTATAGAACCTTCAGACATCTATGACTGAAAATAAATTATATTTTACGAATGATGCTCAATTTGTTAAAAGTTTCAATTCTGAAAAAAAGAAACGAAAAAGGAAGGAGTAAAAATGCAGAATTGGACCAACTGAACTCAGCTAAATTATAGTTTGGGGAAATTGATATTGCTGAAAGTCATGAAACCGAAATTTAAATAATTATAATAATAATAATAATAATAAAGCATGCAAAACCCAATTGACTGAGAGACATAACCTTAATTTGGCAATTAAGATTTGAACTCCTAAAAGTTTTAATGATGTAGTTAAATAAAAATTCAAACCATTCGTAAATTATTTTATTTTTTTCATATTCGATTAATTATTTAAGTAATGTTTTTGGAAGATTACCATTTATCTTACGAAATTAAATATGAAAAATTTCGTATAATTAAGCTTTGGCTTCAAGAAAAAAGACTCCTGAGAGAACTAAGAAGGATTTCAATGCATTGAACACCGAATTAATTAGCAAGCTTTGGTACGATTCATTTATTCGTAAATTATTTCTTGTCATACCATGTTATAGAAACTAAATCTTCTGTCTTGCAAAATCATAAATATAGCAAATTACTAGATTGTTTAAAGCTCTTGTTCCAGTTTGTAACAGGTGGCTTTATCTTGCACATGCAGCTCACAGCGTGTCATAGGCCACGTGGGCAATTTCACACAAGATGATGACTAAAAGGACCTACAGGAAGTAACCAGCCACCACCTGTACAATAAGCTCCAGATGACTAGCTTTATTTGATACACGTGTAAAGCAAAGGAAACTGCTGTCACAGACCCATTGACCGCAACTACGTACTTATACTTGCTTGCAGTTTCAGCACCTCTTCATCTCTCGATTTTCGGTATCTTACTCTAATCCTCTAGCAGCCTCGGAAATCATCACCACAATCCAAAATGAGCCAGCAACAGCCACGAAGATCCCACTCTTACCCAGATTCCATGAAGTATGGCGACGTTTTTGATGTTCATGGCGATATTGCATCCAAACCTGTTGCCCCACAGGATGCAGCTTCCATGCAATCAGCTGAGAACTTAGTCCTTGGAAAGATCCAGAGGGGTGGTCCTGCTGCAGTCATGCAGTCAGCTGCAAGTTACAATGTGAGAGCCGGTATTGTTGATCGTGATGAAGCCACTGACGTAGTTAGAGACCAGGGCGTTTCTATAACTGAAGCAACTATAGGCGGCTCGCGTGTTGTCACAGAAAGAATTGGTGGAGAGGTTTAGTAATCTAAAACCAATTTGAGTACTTTTCTTTATTAGCAAATTTGCTAAGTTAAATATAATCCCTTAAGAATTGATTATATGTAGTAATAATGATTAAAGTAAGTTGCTGTTTTAATTTGAGACAGATTGTTGCTCAGTATGTTGATCCAAGAGTACCTGAGACTTCTACAGATTCAACTCTTGAATATACAATTGGTGAAGCTTTGGAGGCAGCTGCTCTTTCTGCAGGAGAAAAGCCCGTTGATCAGGGCGATGCTGCTGCAATACAAGCCGCGGAGATGAGAGCTACTGGTAGTAGCGAGGTACGGCCTGGTGGATTAGCTTCACAGGCCCAATCTGCAGCAGACGTTAACCCCAGGATTATGTCTGACGAAAACAAGACCACGCTATCTGATGTTCTAGGGGTAACTATTTCTTATTTTTCTATACGTTTTTGTTTAATTTGTGCTAAAGTCATGATATTATGAATTTGCAAGTAATTCTCGGATAAGACTTGAAATTAATTGTTGCTGAATACTTGGTGCCATGTTCTACTAGGATGCGACCGCAAGGTTGCCATCAGACAAACCAGCGACGGGTAAGGACGCTCAACTTGTAGTTGGAGCGGAGATAAGGAACCAACCAGGCACGAACACCACCCCTGGTGGAGTGGCCTCATCTGTTGCAGCAGCAGCCAGTCTTAATCGGATAAAATAATGTAATATATGTATAGATAAGAGAGACTTTACGCTTATATATATATAATAACACTCTTGTACTTATGGAGGTGAGACGCAGTAATAGGTGGTCTATGTAACATCTTTTGGTTTTCTAGGGTCTTGTCTTTGAGAGATTTTCGTAGTAGAATAATCATGTTTTTTACCTGGTAAATCAACGTGTAATGGGATCGTAGCTTTTTAGTCTCCACTTTTAGTAATTCGATGAGTCGAATGCAGAACCATCTAATAAATTTCTATCCAATCAAATTGCGGCATGCTCGACTGATAGTGAGCTGTTGTCACATTAATCCATTAATTCCTTTAAATGGGCTGGCTCGGTAATGGCAGACAAGTTCATACAATACAACACGACTCGATGCCCATTCTTAAGTAGGCTTAGGCCCAGAGAAAAATCGCTTTGGGCTTGGTTTCTTTGTGAAACAGGCCAGCATTTTGGATATCTTCTTAGGCCGCTGATCCGGTATAGAACACTTCATAAATGTACTCAATGAGTGTGATCTGCACGCAATCGTTATTTTATTTTTTATTTCTTTTGCGAAAGTGCTTGCAAAGCGAGCAGCACTTTATCACCAAGCCGATGACGAGGGGATGCGTCATTTTTAAAGATCTATATCGTTTGGGAAAAAAATTATTCTCACTTAATATTCTCAGGTAATGTAAAAATTAATACTCGGTTAATATACAAACTGATTAGAGCATATTTAAAGAGAAAAAAATTACATTGTGTTGATTATCATCTCATGTGCATGTATTCATATTAAATATCTTTTAAGATATAGATGAGAGATTAAAACTGATTAAGGCCTTGCGGCAAATTGAAAGAGCCCATCGTTTGATAAAACTGGAAAAGCCAACGTAATTATGCTAGATAATGACTCTTGTGTCTCTCGCAAATTTGCTCGTTAATCCTACACAAAAAAGCACTTTGTTTTATGGGATTTTGCTATTGGAAGTATATATCTTTTTAATCTGTCCAGAGCATCAAAGGAAATCATTAGTACTTTCGCAAGCTTCAATAATTCAGCAGTGCTTGATTGGCTGTACGACAGAAGTCTGTGGAAGTTTCAGTGACTAGAGTCACTGTAGAGCTCTGGCTGGCCTATATGGCCACAGCATCCATCCAAATATATAATTCCTACACATACAGCTCACTTCTAAGATCTGTTGCCGAAGATGCTCTGAATTGGCAGTGTGTCATATGATCTTCTTGTGCTTCCTTGTTGTTTCTTTCATTTTTATCCTCGGACACGTATGAGAACTGTGATCATGCAAACTATATATCTTTCTTTATAATTAAAAAAAGGTCAATATTTGCGTGCTATCAACTGTACATTGGTTCTTCCGACGGTGTTAAGAAATTAGATCACATGACCAAACACTTAGCAGATATGATCAGATGAACAGCAACCCCTGCACTAACGTGTTTTGATTAATTCTGTTGGTGGGAAAAGTTATGATTTCTGATCAAATGAAGAACACTAGCTACTTACCAATATAATAGTAATGCCATATTGCCATTATCTGTTTTGGGTATACATTTTTATGCCACCACATACATTATGCTGCTAGCCAACTTAATTTGCTAGTCTCTCTCCATTTTTAAGAGTTTTTTCTTCGATGGCTTGAAATAAATTATTAAAACAGTTAAGTTTATTTTATTTTCTTTAAACTGAATTGTGATGTTATAAAATTTATCTCATATCAAACAAAAATAATAAATAAGTACCATATAAAGTTGAAAATAGATTATAAAAGTTAAATAATTTTTTTGATAGAATAGTATCAAATTTAATACCATACGTTTAACGGTACAATAAAATTTTTAAAAATTCAAGTCATTTAAGAGATTTTAAAATATAGGCTACAAATAACAGTTTAATAAAAATATTAAAATTCAAACTACTTGACAAGTTTTAGAAGATAGCTCCAAATAAAACTTAAACTGTTTGACAAACTTTAAAAATTAGTTTGTAAGTAAAAAAAAAAATGTTAGAAAACTTAACAAATGAGGATACTAAGCCTAAAATACTTAACAAACAAATGGGCTTCAAATAAGAGGAGTGCTACAAAATTTATTTCGCATCAAAATCCAATAAAAAAGTTATGTTTTTTAAAATAAAATTCAATGTCAAAATTTAACACATGAAAACAAAAATATTTTACTTATCGTTTTTGTAATGAAAAAGTAAAGTAATCATATGATTTGAAATCATTGTAGCAATGACCATCTTTAGGAGATGGGCTTCGAATAAGGAGCGATACAGAACTTATCACAAATTGAAACAAAAGAAAAATTTACTTTATTTTGAATAAAATTCAATATCAACTACTAAATTTAACATAGGAAAACAAAAATATTTTACTTACCTTTATCGTAATTAAAAAAAAAAAGTAATCATATGACTTGAAATCATTGTAGCAATCACCATGTTTAAGAAATGGTACATTCTGTAATTAATATATAGTAAATGCACGATTATAAAAAATCATATAACTTGTAATAGGAGAATGGAAAAATTGAAGTTAAATATCAACTTGCATGATGCTAATTGAGATTTTGCATAGCAAGAATGATCGAGGAAAACGTATTAATATTGCTGTGTTTGTCAGGAGTAATGCAACGAAAAGGGACAAATTAATTGAGATAATAAATTTATACATAGCAAATCTTGTAAGGATTAATTAGATTAAATGGGTCAAACGTTTTTTTGAACTTTAGTTCATTTAAAAATCAATTTCTGAATTTTTAATTTTGGGTTTAACCTTCCTTAACCTTTAGTTTTTTTTTAAAAAAAAAATCAATCCAATCTATAATTTTTAACTATCACTTCTCCCTTTTTAAAATTCAATTTTTTTGTGTTTTGAATTAAAAATTTGCACATATATTCGCAACAATGCAATCCATTTTTTTGAAAAAAAAAAATCCTAGAATTTTCAAGATTATTATTATTTTTTATTTTTTGAACATTAGATATGTAAAAAAAAAATAATAATAACTCGGAATAATTCTAAAATTTTTAGAAAGCTCTAAATAAATCTTGTTAAATGATTTACATCCTATATAGATTTAGCAATAGAAAAATCAATCGCTAAAAAATTAATTTTTTGTAGTGCATGAGTCTATTCATTTGACTCGTTATTTTTTTTATACGAAACTATATGATATACTAAATTGTTTTTTTAAAAAAAAAAATTTACTTCAAAAGATATCAAATCCAAAATTAGAAGTTTAAAAACTAATTTTTAAATAGCTCATATTTCTTATAAATTTTAGTCTATTCCTATTTAAAAATTTTAGAAGAAATTTGAGCTATTTAGCCGAAGGTTCATCATCTTTGCCATTTCAGTTGAGAGTTGCAAGTATTTTCCTTGTAAAATATATGAAGCAGTAGGCAATGGCTATTCCTATTTTCATCGGGACCACTGATTTTGAAGTTGGTTTGGGTGAATGAAGCAGCCTTTTGAAAAGAAAAGCACGAATAAAGTCTCGTGAAGAGGCTGCTATCCGACGACAATTACCCAAATTCTCACGGTTACTGGCAGAGATGATCTTATTTTTCACAAAGGAATTCTGTTTTCTGGCAGTGGCAAAATATTGCCCCGTCTTTCTCATTGACATAAAGCAACAGTTCTTTTTATGGAACAACTTTGAGTATACATTGTATTATGGTTACCAGCTAGCTTTTTTTTTGATAATCTGATTTGCAACTTCGAGAAAGTGAGTTCTCTTGCTGGAATTCTCGCACGGCACATCTCGTTGGTGATACAACTCTTCTTCTGTTAGCAGACTAACGTTTTTTTTTTTTTTTTTTTTTTGAAATAAGAATATTCCACATGTATGCAACATCTTCGCATAGGGGTGGAGCCGGGTTCCACAAGCATGGAGTAAAGAGAAAAACTTTTGTATTATTTTTGTTTTTAATTTTTAAGTTTTTTTATTTTTTTTAAAAAAATTGAACGCTTTTTTAGTTGGTTGTTTTTTATTTTAGTTTTCTTTTCTTTCAAAAGAATGCATTTAGTTTTAATTTGATACTCAAATTATTAGATTTGATTTGCATCGCGATGCCTAAGGACACGATCTAACAGATCGTTGTATCGAGTAGTCGGATCATAGTCTCTTACCATAAAAATGACTGCATGCGCAGTAGTACCAACTATGAGAAATCCATCAATCCACATGTGATGTGTGAACAATGATAATTGTGTACCATAGTCCTTAGCTAGATATGGACAAGGGGGCATGGAATACATATGGTGAGCTACAATAATGATTAAAGAGCCTAACATAACTAGGTTAAGAGATAATTGAGCATGTCATGACGTAGTTAGGATCTCATACAGGCCCATATGACCCTGACCTGTAAATGGACCTTTATGAGCCTCATTCAGATTCTATTTTCCAATTTCTCAAATCCTATCTTGACCTTAAACACGAACGACCCAAACTTGATCCTATCCCAACAATCGGGGGCATCTCTACACTGGTTCCAGTCCATACCCTGTGCATGTTGATTGAATCCTAGACCGCCTTTCTGTCGTTTAGACCTGGTTTCGAATAGAATCCTGGACACCGCAGACTAGATCTCTCTCGAGTCCCTAGCATCCATCCCAAACCAAGTCTCCATCAAAATCTCGAGCTACTCGAAACAAATTTTAGTCCGAACTCCCGACATGATTCATGTTCGTTCTTGACTTTCGAACCTAACCTAATCCTCAAAATATATGGTGATATTGTAAAAATATTAGTTTTGAAAATTTTTTAAAACCATTTTTTTTTGTTTTCTAATTTTTCAAAACTTGTTACCATTTTTATTCTTTTGAAAAAAGCAAAACAAACAAATTTTCATATGTTTTTTAAAAGAATTGAAAACAAAAATACTGACGGGACTTATTAGAACACAATTCTTGAATTGAAAGTTTGAAACAATCACAAAATAATTCATTTAAACAATAATTTTACACACAATATATTATTCTAAAAATACCACTGTATAGTAGATGTGCCAAGCTAGAATAGATGAACTAGTTTTAAGAACGGTAAATTACAAAAATCCTCTCGACATGCAAAGAAATTATAGTGACCACTCATAAGGTTAAAAATATTGTAAAATACATTTTCAAGTTTAAGTAAATATTGCAAAAAATCAATTTGTATCCAAAATATCATTAATATTTTTATAAAATTTTCTTCTCAAATTAAGGGTGTTTTGGGTGCAAAAGAATGGTTTTATAATATTTTTAATTTTTTCTATAATTACTGTAATTTCATGATGCCTCGGAAAGAGTTATTGTAATCTATCATTTTAAGGAAAATAGAAGGCAAATGTCTAAAAGGAGCACAAAATTAAAACGCTAAAACTAACGAGGGTTACTATGGATTTTATAAAAAGCTAAACGGTCAGCAAGCAATTAATCCGCCGTGTCTGCACGTTCATATGCAACCACTTCACATAAGTTAACGTTTTATGATCATCTGAAAGGAATTTAATCCCATTGATTTATTTGCTTTTACCCCAACTAGAAAGAGATCATGAAACTAAAAAGGCGAAGAAGAAGCTTTGCAAGATTTAGAGAATTTAAATGGGAAGAACTTTTATCAACGTCAAAGAACATTGATGCTACTAAAATAAGGAAATCATTCTTAGATGCACTAATTACAGATGAATTCGATACAATAAAAAATTAATGCAAAAATTCTGTGTGTGATAAATAATAATTGCTTGCTTCAATGATTTAGAAAAAATAAGTTTGCCTTGATTAACTTTTGATTGCGCAGATTTAGGGGAATGGGAGATTAAGGAGGCATAGAACACAGCGCAAGAAACACGTTAGTTGGATGGGCCACCCATGTCGTATAAGGCTCCTAAACCATGTGCTTGGTGTGCTGGTCGTTGTAGAGTCAGTTGGACCATCTTTGTAACCTACCTCACTGGTAGGATTTTAACCTGTAATTGTTGCTCTCATAAAATCTTGACTAGGTGCAAAAGTTTTTCCTCATTAAGAAAATTTAGCACAAAAGTAAATGGTCAATCCCACTTCTGCAGTGAAGCTGCAAGATTTGTTGGCTAGAAAATGAAGAGAATCGCATACTTCTAATTCAAGAATTGGATGAAGCCATAGCAAGTGAAAATCAGTTTATGAGTCGTCATTATTCGAAAAACGAGTAAATTATAAATAAGTCACCCTAATTTTGAGAAATGAATTCGTTAATTTTCTTTATTTTAAAAACTAATTATTTAATCTTAATTTTGATTTTTTTTTTTTTGCTCTTTTCAATTTATTTCGATTTTCTATTTAAAAAAATAATAAAAATTATGAAAGGATTGATGAAAAAAAATAATATCTTATAAAATAATATAATATTAAATTAAATGTAGTCAACATTGATTAAAGACTAAATTATTGATTTAAAAAAAAAACAATTAATTTGTTTCTAGAAAATAGAGAGATTGATTTGTAATCTACTCTTCAAAAAAAATGGACGAATTAAATGTGAAGTTACTTTACATATATACATGAAGTTGATGTTTACAAATTATAAATGTGGATCCTTTGATGAGCAATTATATTTCAAATCTCACCATTAGTTTTGAATTAAACAGTTTAAATTATATGAGTAAAAAAATATTAGATGATTAAGTTGTTGTTATTTTTATAATTGCACTAAATCATGTAAATTTAATTTGAATTTGATATTTTAAATCTGATAAGTAAGACAAAACACAACAAGAACATAAAAAAATAAATAAACAAAAAGAGAACATTTCAACCCTAATGCGTGGATAAATCTCTATTGAATCTAATTAATCGTTTAGATTTAATGCCAAATCCATATGAATCTAATGTTCGCGCATGCATGAATCATTGCCCAGTTCGTAATTAATTAACTTCAACGTCACCTTTTCAGCGCAATCTAATCAATTAAGAAAGCCCCTTTTCTGGTACGATAAAAAATATATAGGAAGAATTTCGTAAGATTTCACTAACATTTTGTTCAGGTGAGTTAAAATCGTTATGGGGGTTCCAGTTAATCCAAAACATTTTCGTTTGGTAATTTCCACACAGTTGCCTCCACTGGACCACATAAAAGACCAGTTGCTAAAGGGAAGTACAAAATTGAGAAGGACTGACACGATGTTTATAGGCCCATCGCCATATATATCCCCACTCACCAGTTGGCTAAAGGGAAGTACTTGTAATGATAGGATGTATCCACATGGATGGTACGCATATATCTCTGTCAACACTCGAAAGAAAATCTACTTGTGATTGGAAAACTGGGGATCAGATTTGACTTCAAGAATCACAATTATTACAGTCCTTATGCGGAAGCTTAATACAACCTAATATGTATGACCCAACAAGTAATTTGCGACACAATGGGGCAGGACAGGTCCTGATTGTGTAATCTGGTGGAGTGATAAGATAATCATTACCGCCTGATACGTCGTTTTCTTATGTTATAATCAGTGGACTGATTATGACAATTCGCCTGCTTCGCTATAAAAATGGTAAGAATCATCCAGGACAGAATAAAATAAAATCTTTAACCTGTTTACCTACGGTGTAGAAAACCGGGAAAAAAAAAAGAAAGAAAAGAAGAAATTGCCTTTGGTTCTCCACCACTGCCAGTCTGCATGTGCAAGCTTCCAGCTTCCTTATAACACAAAACATGGTTCGCAAAATCGTTATCACAAGAAACCCTTAACTCTTACGCGCCCATGTCAGCGTGGAAATCAACATCCCATCCTTCATTTAATGAGGCAGCTGGATGGAGAAATTGTCCGATTGCTTGGCCTTGAAATACGGCCATTGCTAAGTCTGCAATTAACCTCCCTTTAATGGAAACAAAAATGACAAGTTGTTATACCTAGCGGCATGCCTCCGCGTCGTGGAGGTAATGTAATTTTGATTGTTGATTGTTTAATGATTTAACTAAGTTATGATAGTTTTATTTTTGTGTTGCTGTAATAATTATAATTATATTTATTTGTATTATTTTTAAATATGAATAGTAATGATATCATGCTCATTAAAAATATTTAATTTTTTCTAACTTGGTATAAATATTTAATTTCTTTTTTTATTGTTTGAAATTAAATTTAAAAAATTCTTTTTTAAAATTAAAATTTTAATTATTGTTCTATCGTATCACGTGATTTTGTAATTTTATTAATAAAAAATGACTTGATTGAAATGAAATAAGGGTTCAAATAATAGATATTTCAATTACTATGCTATCATAAACTTTTGAACAACTTGAAGAATTTTGATGTGAGTTGATTTAAGAGATGGTTTTCTTGAGTTTTTATATCTTATCCAAAAATATTCAATTTGCATCTTGAATTTAAAGTTATAAAATGAGTTTTTAATTGGTTTAAGTAAAAATAATTTATAATAAACGTGTGCTAAGATATTGCAATACAAAGTTTTTTGTTAAAATTTTTCTTATATTTTCTTTCTTTCTTTTTATAATCTGGCATCAATATTTTATTTTTTTCCTATTTATTTGTGTATGTGACAATAGAAAACCAATTTATGTATATTTTTTTAATAGATAGCAAAGTATTGTTGTTTATAATTTAAATATATAGAGTAAACTATGTGTCTTAACTATAAACACATTTAAAATTACATCTTTTTGCTATTATACATGTAGATGGATCACCGAAATCATTTGTAAGGCAAATATATGTCCACACATTTTGTTAAAAAAAAACCTATTTCACATTAAATAAATAAATAATTAACAGGTAATACATAAAATTAAAAAAAATAATAAACAAGCCATTAAAAAACATTCTCATAGAAAGGATTCAAAATTTGATTCTTAGTATTATTATTATTAAATGTAAATAACAACATAATTTCTCATTCTCGCAGTTTTTTTGTTAGAGTTTTATCCAATTCATGTAAATATAAGGATTAATATATATTATCAAAGCTTTTAAAAAATTGGTTCGGACAGTAAAAACAAAATATATTCAATATTCGATCCTCATCGTTACCAAATGAGGTGATAAATCTATGTTTAATTAGTCTCGTTTGCAAAGTCTTTCTAAACTTCAGTAAAAATGTGTTTGTATATATATATATATATATATATATAAGACAACTAACAAGTATAGTTCTGCTGTATAAATGGCCCAGCTTACAGGCTTTTACTGTCTAGTCGCCGCTGAACCAAAATGCGTACAAAAGACTAGTTACAGCATTCACCATCAAGGCATTAACCATGATGGACCCTCCTGGTCTCCTCTCCATATCTCTCAACCAACAACACAAATAAATACTGCATCACTCCCCCTTTTCCTTTGTTTCTCTTCCTTGATTGATCACGTTCACTCTTCTCTCTTTCTTTACCACACAAGCACAGAAGAAGAATGGCAGGCACAATAGGAAGAAACCTCAATCTGTGCTTCACTAAGATCAAACGTCCACCACCACCTGATGATCAATCCTCCTCTGCCCTACTAACACCAGATGATCACAGCCATCCATTCCTCATAAAAAACTATAATTCCCTCTATGACCCCACCATTGACTCCGCCTCCACCTCCACCTCTGGCAGCTCGTCCTCCTCCTCTGAACCTGACTTCGCCACCGTCTACGCCTCTCATCGCTTCTTCTTCTCTTCCCCTGGCCGCTCCAACTCCATCATTGAATCTACACCGTCTATTGTCACTTCCACAGAATCATCAGACAACCTAGTAGCTTCACAATCTGAAATCAATGCTCTGATAACGGATCCCTCCAATGATAAGTCTTTGTTAGTTGATAGTTGTTGTAATAATACCCATCCTTTACATGATCAAAAACCACCCCAATTATTAAAATCCCCAACCGTTAAAGACAGTGTGGCTGTCCCCACCTACTCACCGGACCCGTACATGGATTTCCGGCGATCCATGCAGGAGATGGTGGAGGCAAGTGACTTGGTAGATGTCAAGGCTAATTGGGAGTATTTGCACGAGCTACTATCGTGTTATCTTGCTCTTAATCCTAAGAGTAATCACAAGTTCATCGTTGCAGCTTTTTCAGATCTTCTTGTTAGTCTTTTGTCATCGCAAATGACGGAAGGTGGTGGCCCCCGGAAAGAGGATTTTCCCTCCGGTAGTCGTGGGATTTCGCGGCATTGACGTAATGTAGCAGTGTGGTGTGTCGGAAAATGATTATCTAATCTTGTTACATTTTAATTTAGTACTACATCAATGTGGGGAACTAAATTGGCCCTCCTTTCGTCTTTTATAAAAGCACCTTATCCACTCACAACCATCTTTCTTTTGGTTCTTGTGATTATTAAGCTGGAAACTCTCTTTTTTTCAATTTGTTAGCATTATTTTTGGGTCCTCGACTACAAAACATTATATATATATATATATATATATTGAAATTGGACCTTCCAATCCTGTGCTAGTTTTTTTTTTTTTTTTTTTTTTTTTTTTTGGAATGTAGGCATGTAGGCAGTATAAAGTTAGGTACTTGTCCTCGCTTTTCTTTTTACTTACATTTTTCATTCTTTTTTTTAAAAAAAATAGTTGTGTCTATACTTTACTTTGTAATAGTTGGTTGGGGAGAGAAGCTTTTTAATTAAGCCGAGGAACTTCCCCTCTAATATTATGTTCAAGAAATCAACGAGCAAACTTCTTTAATATTCTCAAGGGAAAAAAGAGAAACCTTTTAGGACATGTTCCATTAATTGTAAATTTGATAAGGTTACATTTTGCACTTTGTCGTCAAGTTTGATGCAAGGCCGTTTGTCTTTGTTGGATGACGAATAACATGTTATCCATCACCTGTTAAATAAATAATGAAAGTTTCATTAGACCATTTTCTTTCTTTCTTTCTTTCTTTTTTCCGGTACTTTCTACTTGACAGAAAAAAAAAATTAGTGGAAGAACAGCTTTAACTTTAGTTAGGATGAGGAATGTGCAGAATTAAATATAACCATATGGAAAAGGGGATTGCTAAGAAATTTTTCTACTGCTTACCAGGAAACATTAAAGACGTACAGTTGAAATACTTTTGTGAAACTTTCTTGCATGCTTGTCCAATTTTCCATTTCAACCGTAATTTGTTTCAATCTTTCAAGTTAATTAACTCTAATAAATCACTTTCTTGCATAAACAATTAATAGTATCATGTCCGCCCGTTGTTTTGTCGAGGTGATCATTCGAGACACGGGAAGTGGTAGGGTTGGGAACGGGTCAAATTCTGTCAAATGGTAATCTATAAAAAAATGCCGATGATTAGGTAATTAGTGACTAGTTTTATACTGACCACTAAAGAACAAGAATGATAATCTTTAGGGCAAACTCGTTGTCTTTTACAGGAGGAGTAAGACGAAGGTAGATTTGTCTTATAAGCACGTACAGGACTCCTGTTTTTTAAATATTTTTGAATTGGAAGAATCTTTGCGTCAAGATAACTAGTGGATTAACAAGTGGCCAAATTTGAGGCAATTAAAAAAAGTAATAACGCTGTCTTACACAGACAGCACAAGGGAATCGTGATTTTTGTCCTCCGTTTCCCTTGCAATGTTATTTTCTCAAGGCAGAGGATGAGCCATAAAAGATTCAGTGAAAGTTATAGAAGCCACTGATGATGACTTGTTTCTCCATAAATATGATTAAATTATGCTTCAACTTGTAATTAATGGAAACATAGCAATTGCAAAAAGGTATCTAAATATTACTGTACATGTGTGGTTTTGTCCCTCACGAGGTCTCTTGCTTGGCACTGGCTCATCAATGAGACCAAATCTCGAGTCTAATAAATATATCATCGTTAGTTAGGTATTTTCGTTCAGGTTATTTCAGGGTTTTTCATCCTTGTAATAAATAATCGCACCAAAACCATAGAACAGAGTAATTTTACCAGTGGAGGTATAACGAAACCAGTAGATAGAAATTATGGATGGACAAAACAGAGTGGCTCTGGCTAAGCCAGTGTTATATATATATATATATATATATACACACTCTTTTTTAAAATAATAACATAGAAACATACTCAACTTACTGACTATAATAAACTGTGCAAAGAGAGAATTATTATTACTACAATGGATTTAAAGTCTGATCTTGTAGAGGTCAATATATATTTATATTTTTAAATCACTAACTCTGCTTAGCGTCTAAACAGTGATAGTTTTCCACAAGCAATCTTCGTTAACGACGATTAGTTTTCATTTATTGTTTTATAGGCACAGGCATGATGCGATCAGATCGAGAAATAGATTAAAAAAAAAATTGTTACAGGGCTATGAAATTTCCAGCCCATAAAAAGATACTAAATTCTTCAGTATTGATTAAACTAGCTGAGTTCTCCAGGTGGGTTCATACTACATGTCTACATCATATGGATGGATCAAGCCCATGCAAGCTCTTTGAAAACAGACGCACTATATTTTCTGTCAAATCAAATTCAGCTCCCAGCTCAGTCCAGAGTCCATTTATCATGAGCCCACGCTCACCACTCCTACAATAATTTCTTCCGTTCTTCGTATGCTAGGGAAAACATGCAGAGGGGAGGAGGGGAGGGAGAGCAATGAGAGCAACACACGAACCTCAAACCTACGAGTTACGAGTTGCTCGAGTTCACCAAGATCTTTTCAGCTTGATATCTTCTGTCTGTCAAATAATTAACCGCAGTCTACAGCGGCAATTCTTCGCACCGCTCGATGCCAATTTTTATTGAAAATCTTCCCACTAGCATTGGTTGCCAATTACCATCACTCATTTAATTTTTTATTGGGTAAAAAGGTATAAACGCTCCTGAACCTAAATTTTTTTATTAGTTTTGTAGATTTCTTAATTTTAAAACTTTCGAAATTAATTTCACACAGTACGTCTAAAAATCTCTTATCTCCTTTCCCATTTTCATGAAAACTAGGCATGACAATAGAGTATGTCTCCGACTCATTAAACCAATCTCATATGCTATCCACCAACAAATACTATATTCATTATCCTATTTATTATCCATTAAAAAATATTTATTTATTTCTTCATTCAATCCATACCCACTATATTATATAATATTCATACCTTGTTCATATTCGTTTTACTTGTTATCTTTTTTTTCTTAAATTGAATATTTTTTTTAATTGAAAATTATTTTTTGTTACAAACTCTTTTTGGAAAAACTGTAACATACTAAAAATATTTTAATAAATATATTTAATAATTGATATCTTTTTAATACATGTGTGCATGTGTCAATGTTTTTTATTAGATAATTCTTTAAATTTAATCAATAAATAAATAGAATGATAGCACATGCACATCATTTCAATAAAAATTATCCATAGTAAAAAAAATGGTTTGAAAGCACACGAACATGAAATAACCAATGTACCAAAAAGCTAGAGAAACTAAAGAAGATTGCTGAAGATATCTCGAATTACGGTGTGCCTTAAAACGTGATTTTTAATTTGTGAACTTCAACGAACTGTCAATTTTTCCATTCCATTCTTACAGTCTTTCGACCACCAATATGCATGTACTCTTACAGTAACGTGTGAGCTATAGCTTAAAGCTATAGTTGCTTTTTTATAAAAAAAATTTGTATTTTAATATTTTTTTATGTTAATGGATAAATGATAGATATCAATAAAGTAAAAAGAGAATACTCAAATTCATGAATTAATCATCCATTAATATAAATAATTAATACTATTTTATTTATATTTAACTCATTAAAGTATTTTTAAAGGATAATTGATGGATAGGCTAAATGAGTACTGCTTTATATCCGACCCGTTGCCATCCCTAACCGAAACCTTCCCTGCCCATTCCGCCCAAAAACCCCCCAGCAGATTCTCCCAACCCAAATACTCTCCTCTCGGATCTTTCTTTGGACAAACTCGATCTTGGCCTATTTCTCTTAAAGCTCGCCCGTGACACCATTGCATCTGATGGAGGACCTATTAAGGCATTGGACTATGCAATTAGAGCATCAAATTCGTTGAAAGAATGGCAATTAAGAAAAGAGAAAAGCCAAGTTTGAATCTTTTTGCGAGTCTTCATGTTTTGGATTTTATTTATTGTAGTTTAGGGAGGTTTGAAGATGCAATTCTTGTGCTTGAAAGGGCCGTTAAAGTGTCTGGTTTGAATAACCATTAAAGTGTCTGGTTTGAGTAAAGAAATGGATTATACATTTGCTGGGTTTAGTGGGTATATGCAGTTGAAGAACACTTATTCAATGCTGGGTCAAGTGGATAAGTTTATCTAGTGTTATGAGAAAGGATTGCAGATTCAGCTCGATCTTGGGGGAGATAAATCCACGAGTTGGTGAGACTTGCAGGTTTGTGTGTTTTGGATTTTGAACTGCTTCTCTTCATGGATTGTTGTTTTATGAGATTTCTTTGTTTTTGGAATTACTGATTTTGTGTTATTGTGAATTTGAGAGAGAGAGAAATAACGCGTGTGTGAAGAAAAGTGAGTTTGTTGACTAAAAAAATCAGTCATGTGACTTGTAAATTCACATGAACACACTTGCCAAAGGTCTTGACACCTGCTTGAGCCATAGGTATGGGTTGATAATAATAACCATTTTCTATTGCTTTTCCTGTGTTATGCTCGAGCTTGTACAGACTTCAGAGCACTACACATCTGCTTGTTTATGTCTAGCCATTACAATTCATCCCCCTACTATTTTTTAGGATGACAAATAGCAAGGCAATATAATAAAGGTAACAGTGAAAGATGGAAGAACAATTATGGCTGATGCTGCTATCGTTGTTCCTTTTGGTGTACTGAAGTCTCAGACCAAAACATTTGATCCTAAACTTCCGAACCAGAAGGAAGAAGCCATTGAGGACATAGGGGTGGGAATTGCAGATAAGATTGTGTTCTGGCTAAAAGTAGAGTCATTGGTTGTTATTGCAGAGACATCATATGGCTACAGTAGCTGCTGTTAATTTTGCTTTTACACAACTCTAAAACTTCTAATAATAATATGTTAATTTTATGTTATTGTGAATTTGTAGAGAGAAGTTTTATTTTATTTTTTTCCCGTGTGAAGCAATCAGCCGGTGTGCACATCCTCCATTATTTCTGACAAAAAAAATATATTAGGTAAACTTAATTTTAAAAATTCTAAAGTTTAAAAAATTCCCAAAACCAATCAAAAAAATCAGAAATTCAACCTTAAAAAACTTCAAGTTTAAAAATGGTAAGAATTAACCAGCATATTGCTATAAATTAAGATCCTAAAACACCTTTAGCATATAGATGGTTTCCTTTGAAAAGGTTCGACAACGCATTTGGATGCAACAGGGCATCGGCATCTGCATGCCATGCAATTGAGACGACTTCAGATTCAATTTCACCAGTTTCCCTCTAATTCAGTATCATTTTCGTGAAAAAAAAAATCAAGACCCAAATTCCAGTTCAATTTCTATTGTGCTTCCCAATTTAGCATGTTAATAAAAACAAATCACGCCAAATTCAGTGGATATAATCCATTCGTTAAACAAATCAGACACGGATTATAGCCTTCCAAATATGATTCACTGTTGCTCCATCCAGACAGGGATGAATACATGCTTTTTCTTGACACTTGCAGACTATCCCCTAATCATGCATGGAGATTCTACATCTCTTCAAAGTAATGTTAAATGGGTATACCAGCAGGAAACACTTTTCTTGCTTGTTCTTGCATTCGACTCCATTAACAATCAAAAACCAGAATACCACTAAAAACACAATGATATCTCTAAGGAAAAATATTTAAACAAAAATATGATCTTCTCAATGACAATGCATAGAGAAAATATCCAACCAACAAAACACAACAGAATTCGAGAAACAATCTTAAGTTACACTAAAGTTCTGTTTTAAAAAGAAAAGACTGAGAACCAGAAAAATACTGCATAACAAGCAGGATAAGACCAACTAAAGGGACCAGATCATCGCTTCTTGGAGACACCAACAGTCTTCCCCCTACGACCAGTAGTCTTGGTGTGCTGCCCACGCACTCGAAGACCCCAATAGTGACGGAGACCACGGTGATTTCTGCAGCAAAATAATCATATAAGCTGAAGTAAACCCCAAAAAACTGAGAGATAAAAAAAATAGCATCTTGTTTCTCCCCCAAATAATCATGTCTAATAAGAATAAGAGCAAACCTGATCTTCTTCAAACGCTCAAGATCATCTCTAAGCTTCATGTCCAGTGCATTGGAAACAACCTGTGAGTACTTTCCATCTTTGTAATCCTTCTGCCTGTTAAGGAACCAGTCTGGAATCTTGAACTGGCGAGGATTAGCAACAATTGTCATAAGCTTGTCAAGCTCCTCAGCTGACAGTTCACCAGCTCTATAAACAAAGCCACTCAAATGTCAAAATTTGATAACATTCATCAACAGCCAGCTTTGAAAAAACCCCACAAACAAATATGCAAATACAGAAACCAAAAGAAAATTTGTGGTAAAACCAGCCAGCTCTTACAAGCAATTAACCTCTAATAAAGTAAGTAAAATGCAACCAGGGATCAATATAGATTTCTCATAAAACTAAATATCCTCAAACTTAAAAGTAAGCAATCTATAAAAATCCTACAACATAATTTTCAATTTATTTTCTAGCAAAAAAGCCAGCCACCGAGCTTGTAACAGACTATAGCTATAACAAAAAATCTGTGATCGACTAAGCAAAGAAATAGTTCCGAAGAAAAAGGTGAGATAATGAAACTCGTAACAGAATAATATATAAACAAGAGGCAAAAGGTAAAAAGTAAGCACCTCTTGTTCATGTCAACATCGGCCTTCTTGCAGACAATGTTTGCGAAACGGCGACCAATACCTTTGATGGAGGTAAGAGCAAACATAATCTTCTGTTTGCCATCAACGTTGGTGTTCAACACACGAAGGATGTGTTGAAAGTCTTCGTTTGCTACCAGCGACTATGAAAATAATTCAATCATAAGAAGAAAATAAAATTAAAAAACTGGTTTAAGTACATAGATCTAACATATGTAATGAGAAGAAACCAGGAAAGATTGGAAGATGAGATTTCATTGCTTACCATGGCTATAGGCTAGGGTTTCAGAGGAGGAGTGGGTCTTTGGCTAAGCGGCGCCTGCTTTTTGAGAGTGAAGGCAAGTGACGAAGTCCCAAAACCCTAGATGTAGAGGCAGCGTTATATATAGTTAGCTTCAAGAGAGGAAAAAAAATTGATTTTGCCGAGATTTAAATGTGTATGGACTGATCTGCCCCTTGTTTATTCAGCAACTATTATGTATTTAATAAATTATCAACATAATTTACTTAAAAATTATTATTTTCATATTAATAACAAGTCAATTTCCTATAAATTTTTTAAATAACAAAATACATTTCCTTTATTTTTCAAATTAACGAAAAAGTGAACAATATTGTTAAATAGATTTCAAAAACATGATTATTAATTTTATCGGTCAAATTATATCGGGTGTATAAATAGATTAGACTCATCATGCACTCGATATCTGATTATTTTTTAATAAGAAAGATGAATGTATAAATAGATTAGACTAACCATATACTCGATATAAGTGATAAAGCGTTGCGACTAGTATTGACTTTTATATTTTCAATAATTAAGTAATTATTTGTTAAATTTCTAAAATTTAATTTAAGTTTTGATTGAATATAAATTTGATTTAGAGAAATAAATTGTGAATAATATCCAATGAAATTATAAAATAGTGTTATTATGAAATAGCAGCCTCAGTTACTCAAAAAAAAAAAACTGCCTTCTCCAATATTATCTTTTGATTTGACACTTTCACAGTATTTTTCTGTATTTTTCCCTAATTATCAATGGGGATTTTTTTTTATTTCTTTTTTAAAACAAGGAATAACCAGCGCCATTCTCGACAGGAAAAACACAAACAGGTGACAGCGTGTCAACCACGGCCATTTTAACACAATCGAAAACAACAGAGCGAAAAAGGGGAAATGTAAAGCATGAATCACAGCAATCAGGCTCTTTCATGATCTCTAGCAATGATTTTTTTTTCATTTACGTTAGGCACAGGAGAGGTCAAGATGCAAAACCCTTAATTGCATCTAAATCTAACTTACAAGTTTAGCTACAGGAAACGGCTCTAACTGTACAAAAAGATGTCCTCTAACTGTTAGATGAGCAGATGATTAAAACGACAAACTTGGTCCGTAAACACCTGCCAAAGCTGTCATCACCATTAAATGAGGCATTCGAATGCTATATTGGCATCCAAATCAATGACATCCACAACATGCCTGCTTTCTATTGCTAAAATGCGCACATCGAAATCAACTAGCATGGTTGGACAAAACTATCACATCAGGTGCACCACATGATTTACCACCACCAGAGGCACAGTGCAGGCCAACACCAGGACCAGAGCTTGAATTGCGTAAAGGTTCGGAGGCGCACTGTGTCAAATTAGCAGGCTCAATCTCAGAAACGGAACCGGGGTGCTCTGAAAATTTCGTATTCATCAGAGGCCCACCAGAAATTAAACTTCCATCAGGAGAGAGGGCATCACTTTGAACTGTGTTAGACGCTTCTTTGAGGTCATGGACACCATCTGCATCAACTCCACAAGAGCTCACTATGAGCTCTGTGGCAATGCAAAATCCATTACTTCTGCAAGATTGCAGATCAGGTTTTGCAGGGACATCAGAATGTACAGAATTGGGATCAACGGAAGCTAGGACAACCATTTCCTTGGCACTAGGCCCCTTGCCCTGACAAGAAGAAATGATATTTTGGTTGACAGGCAATACACCACAATGACCATTAACAGTATCTTGCACTTTCTGGGGAGGTGACGTGGTTGTTGATTGAACTACATCACAGGAAATATTGCAGGTAGTAGACTCATAGTGAACAGCATTGCCATCTGAAACTTTAAGTTCACGTGCAGAAGCCAAGTGCTGGGGTTGACTTGTTACCATTTTAGAAGTGGTATGCAAAGAATTGTCATCAAGCAAATCGAGGTTCTGTCTGCCACTGCTATCTTCTACTTTCACTTCACAAGTTACATCCTTGGAAGCACACTGACACTTCCCTTGAGAGTCAGCCGCTTCAGACCCAATAAAAGACATGCCGGATGGTTTGCTTTCAACCACTGAAAAATCATTCTGGTCCATATGCGTATCCCCTTCCAGCTTCCTCTCACCATCAGAGGTAGCAATGGAACCAGGAACAGCACTCTGATATTCAGCCACATCACACAAAGAATCAAGTGTGTTCAAAGTACTTCTGTCTCTGCCCTCCAGATTATCAGGAACCACACTCAATTGATCCGCAGTTTTTTCCTTGGGACAAGCAGGTAGATTAGTATTTTCACTTGTAATATCAGAAGTATCATACAGGCAATCAGGAAGGGAACCAGATTCAACTGCAACAGCTTGATCGTTTATTTTGCCAGTATGAGGTACACTAGTTTCACTAGAACCTTTCAAATCAAATCCCACTGAAGGACATTTCTCATCAGAATTACATGTCTCATCCAGGGTATGATGTTCCTTGAGTTCCAAGGACTTCAAACCTGCATGTATATGTGGTGTAAACAAATTATCAGCAAGATGAGAAACACAAAAAAGTTGCATATGTAATATCAATTAAAGATTTAAAATAGTAAACACCTTCAGTGGGAACCATATTTGCTTCAGCAAACTGATGATGCTTCAACAATGGTTTTAGTAACATATCAATGCCAGGGAACACCACCATTTTCATGTTCCTCATTTTTTGCTTGCTCGATCCTTCAAGTGGCTTAAAACCAAAAACAGAAGTCCAAGTTTCCCTTAGATCAGAGATTGCAGGTATGACCAATTTCTCAACATTTAGAGAGCAGAGAGCCTAATGACAATTTCAGAAAAGACAAATTTAAAAAAAAAAAAAAAAATCAATAAAAAGGGAAACTACAAGGTGTTATATAAATGAAATTCAGAAAAGCTAGTGACAGTAGAATCACTGACATTAACACATGAATTCAGGTTAGTGGGCAAAGCTTACAAAATTTTAATTTAGTTTGCCATCTCTACAAAAAGATACATCAAGTCAAATTCTTTCTCAAGATACAGGGGGACAGGAAGAACTAAGTAATTGTTGGAAAAAGAGTAGTACTTCAGTTAAATGACACAAATTTATGTCTTAATATACTCTACTCTACAGCATCTCAATATTGGTTCACTATTTCATCATTTTTTTTAATCCAAACCAAAGTAGCACACAATTTCCCACTGTTACTACCTCTTTTCTCCCATTATTTGTCATGATTCCTTTCAATGCTTTAAAAAAAAATGAGATTTTCCTTTCCTGCCACCACCTCTATCTTGTGTAGGGCACCAACATATAGGAAGTACACTCCCATCGTGTTAACAGCAAAATTGTTCTTGCACATGAGACCAGAAAGTAACACAGTGCACATGGTGAACACACTTTATATAATCCACAAATCCAATGAATTTCCAGAATTAACAAAACATCTGATCACGTGTAATAATCTGCAACAAAAGAAAACATAAACGCAGAAAAAATATGCAGAAAAGGTAACCAATAGCAAACATACAGTTTCAATTGCACTTAGAAGCCGACGGCACATTCCTTGACGCCTGTACATGTGACGGGTCCCGATGAATGGCATCTCTGCTAAATGGTTCCCATGGATCCTATTTCACCAAATATTGAATAACTGTGATTCTGAGTTTTTACATGGTCATAAACTGCTACTTGCACATGCATGAACATGTCGATTAGCAGAAAATAGAAGGAAAAAAGAAATTTAGCATCAACATTCAGCACAATTGGCATTATTCCAACGTAAAGAGGAAGAAAACAAATGGGAAAGTAGATATCAAGAGGACTACATACATTTATGTACATAACATCAAAAAGGATACTAATGCAAGTACGCTATGCAAAAAAGGTACAAGAGCACAATTGCTGAAGACAGTAAGAGCAACAATCTGACACAGATTTGTAATGCAACAGTCCAAAAAAAGGCCACAAACCCTATTCTGCTGTATCGGCACCACATCCACTTGCTATATAGTGGCAAAGGTACTAATGCGATAAAAAAAATTGGTAGCAGCAGCTGGAACTTCAGAAGCAGAAAAGAAAAAAAGAGGCAAGTTCACATGAACTTAGTTTTGCCATGTTTCTGTAGTATCACTTTTTTTGTTTTTTTCAGAATCAATATAAAAGACTCCAATATGGAAGTTACTGGCAAAACAAAGATGATGATCAATCGTAAAATGATTGAAAACAAAACCTCAATTGTAGTAAAAAAGGATTCATGCAAATGGTTTACTAATGTCTTAAATTACAACACATCCAATCATTCGTCCAATAGAAAGTGCTTAACAAAAAGGAATAGTCAGGTAGAAAACTCAGTACATAATCCCAGAAAACATTCATAACAGAAATGATTCGATGTCCATATGCACTATTTTCCAAATATAATTTCCAATAACTTTGTTGTACATACTGGCAGAATCTAACCATTGATAAAAAATCGCAAAGCAGCACAGTCCACTACGCAAAGTTAGGCTGAGATATACCTAATGGATGCAGCAGAGACTATTTCATCACCTCGCTCTAGAATTGCAGTCAGAAAACCACAGTAGTTCAGTCGATTGAAGTTTGACCTGAAAAGGAATATTGCAATTCGTTAAGAAAACAGATTGCTTGCAAAATTTTGACAACAACATAAAAGCAATCACAGTGAAGTAGATAATTTTATCAGCATACAGCAGGAAAGAAAAGGATGATAAGTAAAAGAGAGTACGACAGCTACTTTCATATTCAAAAGCCCACTTTACAAGAAAATACTATTAAGTTAGCTGTAAACTAAGTATTAAGAGGCCAAAGATATGAAAGAAATTACCACATAGATACACAATAGACAAAGTACAACAAAACAGGATACTGCTTTTTGGTCAAATACAAACAAATAGTTGGGCCCTCCACCATTAGCATAATTGCATACTGCATTGTAACATGGTAAGGCAATTAAAAAGAACTACATGCAGCATCAGTTCCCTTTTTCTCTGCTTGGTTCAATAGCATATGAATCTGCAGATTCTGGAGGAATATAACTGTCATTTTATGAGCTATGCTTCCTCGACCAGTTCTATAATATACTTTAAAGGCGGTAATCAATTGGGAAAAAGAGAAAGGGAGATGATTCCACCACTAAAATATACCTCTTGCCTAGGCTTGTAAGTTGTGATTCCACCACTAAAAATCTCAACATCAAGATAAAAAGCTTCTCACAAAGTTGTAACACCAATAATGTGATGTATCCACAAAGAACCAACACCCCACCCCCACCCCACACACACGAAAATAATAATAATATTATTAAACCCCAAAATGAAATTGAAAAATAAAAGAGAAATCAGAAATGTTAGTTTTTTCAGATTAATGATGAAAATTTCAAGTATAATTATGATATAATTGTGCTTACCCAAAATTATACACAATATTACGAATCAGGTTGACCCCACTTCTATGGTCAGGCATGGGCAAAAAGCACTCATCCATTATGTGCAACGCAACAGCTACCTTGGAATTGCATTCAACTTTCCGGTGCATTCCACTGAGAGAAATATCAGAGCCAACATGAAATCGGCGAACAAGAGTCCATGCAAAGCCTTCTTCCATTTCATGTTTAACCCCAAGAAGCGCCTGTAGTTTATCATATAACTGATAGAAACAAAACCATTTAGGTGAATTCCGATGCACATAATAGAATTCATTTTCAAGTTGTCTTAGAACTTGTTTAAATTCAAAACAATTACATAGAAGAACTCCACTTTACTGAGAACTCGGGAGAAATAAACTACTGTGACAGATATCAGAGCACTTATCAGGGACATGAATAATCTCCAAGTATAGAAAATTTCAAGTATCACAACCAAGTCAAAAAATCAATTAATTATATTCCAGACTCCTATTGCCAAATCCCACTTCACATGACATGACCCATGGCAGATTTTAGGGGACTGATAGAATTGCATAAAATGAATGACAAAAGCAGTGATCCATGAATCGAAGTCTTAACATTACCCCAGAGTGATGTCTGCATTTCTCCAAAGTCTAACCACTCACATATTTAATTTGCAGGCAGCAATTAGTTTTCCATTGTCAGTCAAAGTGGGTTAATGATACCCAGGGTTCACAAGCCAAAAGAATTCCTGAAAATTAGTGGCGAAAGCAAAAATGGTTTCATATCTTATTAGGACCATATTACAACCACATTAACTAAGAAAACTAAAACAAAACGATATATTACCATTCATTTTACTGTATATGCAGATACAATACACTGTGGACTGAGACTCAGTTTTCCTATTCCTTTAACTGTTCATGTTTTTTTAATTACTTTACCTCCCCCACTCAGCCTTTGAGTCTTGTCTCTACCCTTATCCTTATTTCTTAATTTCTTTACTGCCATTGTTTGTTATTACTCTTTTGCCTTTTCTTTTTAGAGTTTTTTTTTTCGCTTATGCTTGTTCAGATCTAATTGAGATGACATTGTAGTATAACTTAATAACTTCCAAAACTAGGCAACTCTTCAGCTTCAAACTCGGAGTTGCAACATAGAATACCCGTTGACAATCAAGTTTTCAGGAAGTTCGCACAAAATGTTTTAGAGTATCAGACATTTTCGTTTAATAAAATCATGCAATAAGCTACAAGCTGCTAAGGTTTCTTGTCACTTGAAAATAACGAATCAGATATAAAACAAAGAGATAACAATAACGACCAAAAGATGATTTGCAGGTCCAACAGAACATCCATGATTATACAATACAATGGTAACTAGAATAATACCTCTTGGCATTTCTTCCCACAGAAGGATAGACTAATGTGATCATTTATGGTGTCCTCAGCAATAATACAGGAGTGGTGATCTGCAGCAGAAGATCTATTAAATGTTCATCAATTAAATAACAATGAATAGAAGAAAATTCAGCATGGTGGAAAAAGAAAGAACAAAAATACATTAAATCGCTATGAAGGTAGAGTCAATACATTTCTCCTCACACAAACAACATGTCAGTAATGCAGGTCGGGCAGCAGCATCATTCTCATCCTTCTGACATGTATCCCCACCAGACATCCCACAAAATTTGCATGAACAATATGTGCAATTCCAGACCCCTGAGGGGAACTTCTGCCACAAGAAAAACAATATATTAATACATGGTGGCATTTACAGAAAACCAAACTCATTTGTATGAGTAACCACAGAAAAGCTGATCTAATAAGATGTTATGGGCAATATGTGCAATGCCAGATTCCAGATGAGAACCTCTGCTGCTAGAAGAAAACAATCTATTAATGATATGATAACATTTACAGAGAATGAAACTGAATTCTGCAACCAACAGCAGAAAAGATGATCTCAAACATATCATAAATAAGATGCTATAGAAAGGCAACTTCACCAGAAACTTTTCCACCGTTCATTTCTTAAAATCTAATAAGGAAACTTTATTTTGAGTTTTTATTTCTTTTAGAAGCTGGAGAAAATTTTTTGCTACAAATAATCTGGAGAACCTTGGAGGCGAAATTTCAGGGCTGACTCAGAATAGCATAACGAGAGGAACCGTGCTTAGGGTGCGGAATGTGATCTTCTAAATATAACAACAATAATAGGAATCCAAAAGCAAATACTACCTTTATCTCTAAGCAGCTTTGATGGAATGTTGATGGGCAACTATCACAGCAAATCAGGTCTCCACCATCTCCACAGATCCCACACGTATCATCATTTGGATCTTGACCATCGGTATCAACGAAATGGAACCCTTTACGATCAGACTCATCCTGTTTATGCCATGCCTCTAGCTGGCAGTGCAAGAGAGAAGGTCCGTTCTCTAAACATATGTTTTTGAGTGGCTGGCAAGATTTGCTGCCTGCATGAGCCTCAAAGTCTGAGATTGCAAAAGTTTCACCACAGCAATCACACTGGATGCCATCTGTTGTGATTTTACCCTTGAGCACTGTTCGTGTCTTCCTGCGTTTCAAGTACTGCACCTTTCCATCCAATGGCACAGTGCCCAAATCAATCATCCAGGCAAGTACAGTTCGCTTCCCATTATAAACTACATAGCCATCACCATCTGAATGTGCACCTTCCTCAGAGTTGCGAATCATTAGAGCACACCTCTTTCTATTATGTGTTTTGAGTTGCTTATGATCCCTGACTGCTGTTCCATCATCTGACATACCAGCACAATCGTCCTGTTTACGGAGAGAAGATTTCTGTTTTGTACTGTCTTTCAACTTCGTATGTCCAGGAGTTTCCACGGCACCCAGTTTTCTCTTGTGCAGTTTTCCTTTCTTGTTTTTCTGTTTTGCAACTCCTTCACCTGTTCTCCCACCCTTCCCCTGCTTCCATTTCTTTTTCTTTTTATTTTTATCACTCCTTTCCTTGCCCATTGTTTTTGCTAGCATGCTGAGTTCTTCATCCGGTAGAGGAGTAAACTTGAAACCAGTCTTAGAAGTACTGGAATCACCACCACCGTCTTCATAATGCTGCTTAAGCACCCGGTAAGCCAGGGTAACAGACCAGTGCGTCCTTCCTTCAGGATTAACATACACAGCATCACAGTACTCTCTACCATTCCTAGGCCTACGCTCAATTGTCCAGCCTGCACCCAAAAGAAGTTCTATAATTTTATCTCTCACTACTGCCTTCTGTTTACTTCTCCCCTCTTCCTTTTGATCATTGCTGCATTTGATCTTGCTAGCTGTTGCTAACTTTGTTGCATTAGATTTTTTGCCAACCAGTTCCTTTCCAGATAATGCACTTCTAGCTCCCACGTTGTGATTCTTATTACGTCTTGTCCTTTGCCCCACCAGTCTTTTTCTCAGCCCACCCACCTTTACACCCTTGTTCAACTTGCTGTGTCTCCCACGCTTAGGCTTCAACTTCTTCCCCACTTTACCATAAGATTCATCACTCTCTTTGCCAGAAGATTCTGCAATGTCATCCTCAACTGCCTCAATGCTTTTCTTCTCAGACTCGTCACTCTCCTTAGCCTTGGGGGGTCTCCCACGCTTAGGCTTTAATTTTTCACGCACCTCATTATCTGACGGTCCACTCTCTTTGCCAACAGATAGATGGCTGCCTTCTTTACCTGCCTTGACTCTTTTCTTCTCAGACCCATCACTCTTCTGTCCCTTGCGGCCCCTTCCACGTTTGTTATTTAATCTTTCCCTTGCCCCGTTATGTGATTGATCACTCTCTTCGCCAGCAGATTGATCTCTCTCTTCCCTTTCCACCTCAACCCTTTTCTTCTCAGACACATCATTCTTCTGAACCTTGGGGGGTGTCCCACACTTAGGCGTTATTTTTTCCCATACCTCATCATCTACCCGATCACTCTCTTTACGAGCAGATTGATTGCTTTCTTCATTTACCACCTCGATCCTTGTCTTCTGAAGCCCATCACTCTTCTGAGCCTTGGGGGCCTCCCACGCTTGCGCTTTAATGTTCTCCCGACTTCGTGATCTGAATGATCACGGTCTTCGCCATCAGGATGATCACTATCTTTCTTTTTCACCCCAGCCAATCTGTTCTCAGACCCATCACTCTTCTGGTCCTTGGGTGAGCTACCATGATTTTGCTTTAATTTTTCCCTGGCCTCGTTATCTAATTTCCCACTATCTTCACCATCAGAATGATCCCTCTCTTCTGTTTTTACCTCAACCCTTTTCTTCTCAGAGCCGTCACTCCCTCCGGTCCGCTGCCCTCTACCAACTACCTCCTTACTCTTAGTTTCTGTCACAGACCTCGATCGCAGAACCCTGACAACAACCTCCCTTGCCTTCTTCTTTTCAAGGCCACTATCCTCACTCTCTCCCTCGCCATCAACTCTACTTCTTTTCCTTCTATTATTAATACCCTCAACAGCACTACATTCCCTAGTAACACTCTTTCCTTCACATTCTTCTATTTTAAACCCATCTCTCTGATTCACTTCCATTTCTTCTTTCAGTGCCTCTTCTTGATTCAATTTCAGGTTCTCCTCATCAGTCAACTCACAATTTCTTTGTTTCAACCCACCAACTTTCTCAGTAACCATTTCCTTGCTCGGCGAAACCTCAGTTTTCTCCGTTTTAGTAAATAAATTGGCACTGGATCTCAACCCTTCCTTCATTCTCTAAAAAAAAAAAAAAAAATCCCTAAAACTTTAGCTCTTTTTTTTTTTTTTTTGGCAATAAAACTCACAAGTACATAACCTCCATTGATCTTATTCGGCAATTAAAGTAATTCAATGCTCAAAAACTCGCGAGCTGGATCTACAAATGACGGTTTAAAACCTTTAATCAAAATCTGGCATTCAAAAATAAATAAAAAAATAAAATAAATTCTGTACGAATGATCTTTTTAGAATAAATAAATAAAGAAAAAAAAATTAGGAGCGGTGAGCGAAAGTAAAGAAACTTACTAATGTAGTAGAGAAGACAAGATGACAGGATCCTACGGAACCATGAAAAGGTCTGAACGAGGCTGAACCGGTAAGGACATGGCGAGTCGGAGGTTGTTGTACCAAGATTGGGTTTGCATAAAAAAAGAGAAAGCTAAGGGGTTTAGAGAGAAGGATCGGAGAAATTTTATTATAGGACCTTTTTTGAGTTTAGGGGTTTTACGTTGATTAAAATAAACATCAAGCATGGTTGTCCCATCCCATAAAACATTAAGTAGGCAGAATAGTCATTTCGTATTGCTATGATTTTCAATTTCCCTCCATGGAACATGCTGTCCTTGAGAAAAACATCCAACCCATTTTTTAAGGTGACAGTTTTATCAGTCGTTTGAGAATATTAACTTTAGTTGTCCATTAAACATCGGCCTAGGGATTAAAGACTTGAAGTTTAGATCTTCCTTGTTGGAACATCAAGTTAAAAAGGAAAAAAAAACGGATCTTCTTGTCCTAATAAACAAATATTAATTTTTAGGACTTGATAGTATCAATCATAGTTAACTCTTTTCTATAAACCCTAATATTTTCTTTACTTCCCCTTTTATATATATATAACTCTAACCATTATGCAGTGATTTTTTAACCATCGACAACTTTTCCTTCTTTTCATTTGATAAAATCATATATAATTCTATAAAGTTTTTTTATTTGATTTTGCTTTTATTTTTTTAGTCTATCAGTTTATTAGTTTCATTGTCCGTATGATGCAACAACGATGCTATTTTAGAAAGCTTTCGACATGAAAAATCATAAAATCTAATTCAACTTTATTATTAAATACTGACCTAGTTATTTAAAGTACTTAAGCTTACAACTTGATTGGAAACTTTAGAATTGGATGGAAATAAAATAATTCAACACCATTTATCCAATTCCGGTGATTAGATAGTTTTAAGTACTCGTAAATGATTTTTACGATTAATTAAAATTAGAGATTTTTGTATATTTATAAATCCACCCAAACGAGTGTGATTTGCTTTGTAACTTATCCGTTAAAAACCTATCTCGGTAACATCCTTCTCTTCCCTTCTCGTTCTCTTTCACACCCATATTTTTTGAATAAGTTTTATGGAAATCCGGACAAGTCGAGTAAATTATGTATTTTTACAAACTCAAAAACATATTTCAAATATAAAAATTCAATTAGTAAATCAAAATGATTCAACCAACCTACTTAAATAGTTGAAATCAATTTTAGTATAAATTTAGTTTCAAACAAGTTGTTAGATCCTCGCAATTGGAATGTCAAATTAAAAAGACAAAAAGTACTTCCCTTTATCCTCCTAAATAAAAAAGTTAAGAAATATCATTCTCGAGACTAAACAATGTTTAATTCTTCTTTCCAAACTCGTAAAATCTCTCTCGTTTCATCTTTTTAAAAGAGAAAAACCTTAATCTCATGTCGGTGATTTTCTAAGCGACAATAAATTTTTCATTTCTCATCTTACTTTTTCGTCTATTTTTTCTTATTTCAATTTTATAAAATCAAATATAATTATATATGGTTTTATATTCGATTCGTATCTTTTTCATTGCCTACTAATTTTCGGATTATATCATCCATTTGAATAAAAAGATCGATAATTATATATTATGATTTGAAAGAGGTTTACATTTTCTAATGGCCATGAAGAAACGAGATATTTCAAAACTAGAGCCATATGGCACGGCCTATCTCCATTGATTTATGGTGATCGGATATATTTTCTACGCGCATGAGTTTCCACAACAATACTCTTCATGAAAGACCAAAAAGTAACGATCATCTAGAATACCTTATTTTGCCATTTATAGTTGGTTGTATTGTTTAATCTTTTTCAATTGATAAATTGCAATTTTCATAACTATTAGGTACCGGAAACAACGTATTTTGCACTATTTCATGTTCAATAAGATTTTTACGTTCCATGATTAAAAAAACAATAAAAAGGATTGAAATATATAATTTTTAAGCATTTTTTTCAAAATCAAAAGATTTTTAAATTAAAATTTAAAATATTAAATCGTAATCTCATTCTTCGACATTCAAACAAGTCATTTATACTTAACTTAATGAAAAAAAAATTTTTTGCCTCGATAGCATACCCACATCATTCAAGTCAAGTTTTCGAAGACAAAAACTAATTTTTAATAGGCAGTAAGATGGGAGAAGAGTTGAGTATACTTTTTCAGAGTTTAGAGGGGAAAAAAAGAAGAATTTAGAATTGTAGAGTAGAACCTCATATTTGTGCCCACCAAGCAACGGTCATATTGGTATTGCTTCGAGGGTTTAAATTTTTGTCAAAAGATAATTTTAGCCTCGTATCAATACACGTGAAAAGGCTCAATATAATGCCGGGTATTTTTAGCAAATTAGCATATTTGCAACTTTTAATCCTACCACTTTTATACCAAACAAAGGAGTTGTGTAGACCTCAATCTACTTCAATCCAGCTCTATTGTAAGATTGGCTCCCAAATACAACAAATACGAAAGGCTTTTATCAAATTCAACCATTGCATGAATTAAACTGGTAACATGCAAGGAGTTTAAGATTTTAAAAATTTTACTAGAAAATCATAGATTCAAATTTTGAGAAACAATAAATTTGGATTTAAGATTGGAGAGGAGAATCCATTTTAGTTTTGTGTAGCATAAAATTCATTAGATTTATCATTTAAGTTTGGAATCAAATAATATATATATAACTTCACGTAAGAAGTGGTAGACTTAATCTTAATTGACAAAAAACAAATTAATTAAAAAATATCACTTCATCTCTCTCTCTCTCTCTTATCGGCAAAATCAACTAATACAATGTTTTCAAATCAATTTTTAAGTCAATCGAGATTAAGTCAACTACTTTCTATGTCGATTCACATCTAGTTTTGGATCTATTTTATGAGTCGGACTCTTTAAGTCCATTAACGAGTCTATGTCTATAGCCAAACAAATGAGAAAGAAGAGTTTTTCAAAAGTAAAAATTGAACTCCTATGTCAAAAACACATTATCTTACCACTTTAACAACAACATTCAAGGATTTTTAATGGAGTAACAAAAAAAAAACATATATAAAAGATAAAGGAATAGATGTTGATGTAAAGTAAATCCTAAGCATGTGAATTCAAACATCATTAGTTTGTTATGTACTATATGATTTACTAGCATAGCCATAGATGGTTCCCACATTATCGGAGTCGACTTCGATAATGCAAACGTTGAATTATTTATGGCCATGATTAGAGTGTTGAATATTAAGCTTATCGTACTTAAAACACCGAACCGTGAGAGAGAGAGAGAGAGAAAGAGAGAGAGATTGAAATATTAAGTTTTCAATTACCTTTATATAATTACTATTCGCTATGCTTAATTTTTTTCTTTTGTTAATGCTTTACGAGCGAGATTTTATCTTTGTATATTGAAATGGATAAATTTTAAAAAAATTACATATGTCGTTGTATCATTAAATATAGCGATCAATTATTGACTTTGTCATCACAACCTAACCAAGAGGAAAAAAAAAAAAAAAGAGCGAGTCTACGTAAAAAGCTACCAAAACATTTTGTTCCGTTACTTACATAGTACACACATAACCTATGCTAATTATTCGAAACTTAATTATTTTATAATCTAAGAAGTAAAAAAAAATTAATAATATATAAACTAACAAAGCCTTAATATATATTAAAATAGTTATCGCCATCTCATCACTACCATCATTGTAATTGGTATTACATGTTATATGATTTATTAGCAAAGTAATAGATGGCTCTCGTACTCGTCGAGAGTCGGTTTTGATAACACGAATGTTGAATTATTTATGACCATGATTAGAATGTTGAATGTTAAGTTTATCTTGCTTAAAACACTAAATCACATATATTTTTATGGTTTAAATGTTAGATTTTCATGTACTTTTATATAATAAACATTTGCTATGCTTTAATTTTTTTTCCTTTGCTATGTTCTTTAATAGTTGTCGTTAATTTTTTAATTTTGTATATTGAAATTAATGTAAAAATAAAAAAATACATATCTCTTTATATCATTAAATATTGTAAGAATATAGAATCAATTATTGATTTTGTCATCACAACTTGACAAGAAAAAAGAGCAATCAATGAAATAAGCTACCAAAACATTCTGATCTATCACTCACACACACAAACACACACAACCTATACTAATTATTTAGAAACTTGTCTTTTTTATGACCTAGGAAGTAAAATTAAAATATAAAAACTAACAAAGTTTTGATATATATTAAATAGTTATCACCGTCTCATTACTCGTCATCGTTGTTATCGTTAGTACTTGTAATTGATATTATATATGAACCATATGATTTACTAGGAGAGCAAGTAAATGGCTCTTGTATTGTCATGAGTCACTTTTGATAACGTAAATATTAAATTATTTACGACCAAGATTAGAATGTCGAATGTTAAATTTGTCATACTTAAACTACCGAATATGTGTGTGTGTGTGTGTGTGTGAGAGAGAGAGAGAGAGGGAGAGAGAGATTTAAATGTTACGTTTTCAAAAACTTTTATATGCTTGACATTTGCTATGTTTTAATTTTTTCCTTTTTTATGTTCATTAATAGTTGTCGCTAATTTTTTATTTTTGTATATTGAAATGTACAAATAAAAAAAATACATATGTTTTTATATCATTAAATATTGTACGAATA